AAATTTAAAAAAAAATTTTAATCATCGAATTGAGAAAATTTATATCTATAATTAGCAAATTGTCTAGTTAACAAAATTTTCATTTACAAACATTTTCATTCAGTCAAATTTTTATATCTTTACAATTTATTTTCATTTGCGTACTTATTTAAAACTTTCGGCTAAATATTAGAAATTTTTTAAATGAAAATTAAAAAAAAATTCCTTTCAAAAAGTATGAAAATAAGTTTGTTATTAAAAATTAGGTTGGACAATAATTCTATTATATACCTACTAAATTTTCGATTAAATGGAAATTCGATTGATTAAAGACTGTAGTAGGTAAAAATCTGAAAAAAATATATTTTTTTACCTAAAAGAAATTAGAATTGTGATTAAATAAAAATTTCGTCACATCATTTTTATCAAAAAGGAAATTTCATTTTAAACAAAAATAATTCACCGATTTTTGAAAATTCACCATCAGAGAAGTTAAATTAGAAAAAAAGAAACTGTTCGGAAATTTGAAATCATTCAACTCTGAAATTTATATTTTCACGAATTGCTATAAAAAAAAAAAAATTCCTCTGTATCGAGTATTTAAAAAAAAAAATTTATTCGAATTTTCAACTCGTCGATTGGAATTTTTTGAACAGCGATCAGTTATTTGCTAGGAACACTGCGAAAGCACCAATTTCTATATAGAATCCAGAAAAGAGAGCAAAAAAAAAAAAAATGGGAAAAGAGAAAAAAACAAGAGTCGCTCGACTTTTGTAATAAGCGAGACTCGTGCTACCATGAAAATTTCCGATAATGTCAGATCCAGTTATAACCATTTTCAACCAACTTTTAACTTTTCACGAAATTTTCCCAATGTCAGAGAAGATTATTTCCGATAGTGTTATCAGCTTCAATTAATTTCTCAAATCATCAGAAACATAAGTCTTAATATAAAATCTCTCAATTCTGATTGCAATTGAAATTTTGCTAATTTTTCAGTTAATTTATTTATCAAAAATTGCGAAAAAAAAAACTTATTTATTTTTTTAGTTTAATTTTAATATAGAAAAAGTTTATCTTGACTTTTTCTGAAAAACAATTTTTTTTTACGATATATGTACAGAATAATGTATGTTTTTTTTATGAGCAATTTTGTGAGTTATAAAAAAGTGGAAATAAAATTTTTGATTATTAGAATAGATGTATATTTTTGATAAAATAAAATTTATAGAGGGTGAAATATTTAGGTATATATTTTAAAGAAAAAAAAAGTATATTATAATGTTATTCACGCGCCATTGAATTAAACCATATTATATGGACTTATAGGAACATTTTGCGAATATTTATGGTCGAGAGGAACGTCGCAATGTACATTTCACATCGTCATGACACAGACAATAATGCATTGCTTTCTCAACTTGACTCGCATACTCAGTACCAAGTTAAGCTTTACAAAGCTTCTGCTGTTCCTGCTGTTTGAATTTTATCATATCTCAAAATGCAAGGATGAAGGGGGAAGGGGAGAATTTATGTTCTAATTTTCATGCAAGTTTGCGCATTTAATTCCCGATAATTTTCCCCTTTCGTAATTCTATCAAACGAATTCAAATATTTTACAATAGAGTTTCAAAAGAAAAAAATGAAAACTATACCGGGATTTTTAATTGTAAATTGCTATTTTAAAGAGCAAGAAAGAAGTTAAAATGAGATTTTAATGACAATTTGTACTTCTTTTTTTTTCTTTTGAAAGTTTAATAAACTCGTCGGTCTGAACAAGTTTTTGCTGAAAACGGTAATCTTATTTTGAATTTATAATCCGTGAAATTGTAGACATTTTCCTTTTTTTTGCAGATTTGAAGAATTTTTGTTTGTTTTGTAAATTATTATTGTATTTTAAATATTGTTTCTTTGTATTTTATGAAAATGTTATTGTTATTGCAATTATAGTTTAATCAATAAAAATTAGTTTCATTCAGTCAATTAATTGTTGTTGCTAATAATTATTATTAATGCAATTAGTTTAATTAATAAAAACTAATTTTATTAATGCAATTAATATTCCTAATGCAACTTATTGTTTTTTTTATTAATTTCTTTAATGCAATTAAATTATTTTTGCTAATAAATTTATTATTGCAATTAATTGTTTGGCTATTAATTTTATTAACTTAATTTTTTATTAAAATAACTGAATTCTTGTAAAGAATTTTATTATATTTTCCAAAAATAATAGAATATCTGCGAAAAATTTTGTTATTTATAAAGAAATAGATGAATTTTTTATTAAAATTTTAGAAAATAGTAATTAATAACAATCAATTAATTTTTTTAATGCAATTAATTGTTTGGCTATTAATTTTATTAACGCAATTAATTGTTGCAATTAGTTTCATGAATAAAAATTAATTTTCTTTCAAATTTCATAGGAATTCAATTCAAAATCTCTTTAAACAATTAGATTATCGTAAAATGTTATTGAAATGAATTTAATACCTACTTTAAAAATATCTATTAACAATTTTTTTTTTTAAATAATTGAATTTATTATTGGGATGTTGGCAAAAATGAAAATTCTGTCTAGAAATTGAGAGAAAAATACCATTATTCTAACAATTTTTCTAAACGAAAAAATAAAACTTATTATAATTTTTAAATAATAGTTTATTACATTTAATCCGCAATAATTTAATTATTGTATAGAATTTTATTAGAATTTTTGAAAATAATTATATTCTTTCCAGATATATAATTGAAATTTTATTTAAAATAATTAAATTTTTGTATCAAGAAATTGATTAATTATTTTTTGAATGATTCAATTCTTTTGAAAAAATTGAATTCTTGCGAAGAATTTTATTAAAATTTTTGAAAATACATAGACGAATTTTTTTTTCAAGAATTTTATTAGATTAGATTTTTCAAAAATAAATTATTTTGAGGAAATTTCTTAAATTTTTTCAATTCATGTGAAATATTTTATTATAAAATTTTTGAAAATAATTAAATTCAGTCAAAAAACTTTATTAAAATTAAAATGAAAATAGGTAGTTTTATTCCTGTGAAAAATGTTAATATTTTTGAAAATAATTAAATTCTTGCTAAGAATTTTGATTTATGGAAAATAATAGAATTATTGGAAAGAATTTTATTAAAATTTTTGAAAATAATTAAATTGTTCTAAGAATTTTATTTGAATTTTTTGATAAAAATTAAATTCTTTATGTGGAATATAATTAAAATTTCATTGAAAATAATATTGAATTGTAATAAACAATTTTATCAAAAATTTTGGAAATTTTTTTTTTTCAAGCATTATTGACAATAATTGAATAACTTACAAAAAATTTTTTTATTTTTTAAAAATAATTGAATTTGAGATATTTTTTATAAACTGTATTATTGAAAAAAGTTAAATTTGTACGAAGAATTTTATTATTTATGAAAATAATTGAATTCTTGCATAAAATTTGATTAAAATTTTTAAAAATAATTGTATTGTTTTGTAGAATTATATTAAAATTTTTTTAAATAATTAATTTTGAAGAATTTTGTTTATTTTTAAAAATAATTGAATTTGAGTTATTTTTTAAAAACTGTATTATTTTTGAAAATAATTGAATTCTTGCATAAAATTTGATTAAAATTTTAAAAAATAATTGTATTGTTTCGTAGAATTATATTAACATTTTTTTAAACAATTAAATACTTTCGCCGAATTGAATTATAAATTTTTAAAAGTAATAGAATTCTTGCATAGAATTTGATTAAGAATTTTTTAAATAAATAAATTCAAGAAACTTTATTGAAAGTAATTGAATACCTTACGAAGAATTTTTTTATTTTTAAAAATAATTGAATTCGTGTTTTATTTTTTTTTTTTTTTTTGAAAAATTATATTGAAATTTTTTTAAATAATTAAATTTTTTCACGGAAATTAAATTAAAATTTTATTGAAAATAACTAAATTCTTGTAATAAATTTTTAAAAATTTTTGAAACTACTTGAATTTATGAGAAAAAGTTTATTATAAATTTAAAAAAAAAATAATTGTATTCAGTTAAGAAATTTTATTAAAATTTATGAATAAAATTTTGTTCTAAGAATTTTATTTAAATTTTTTTATAATAATTAAATTTTTACGAAGAATTTTGATTATTTATGTATGGAAAATAATGGAATTATTGGAAGGAATTTTATTTAAATTTTTGAAAATAATTAAATTGTTCTAAGAATTTTATTTAAATTTTTTGATAATAATTAAATTCTTTCTATGGAATATAATTAAAATTGTATTGAAAATAATTGAATTCATGTGAAGAATTTTATTATAAAATTTTTAAAAATAATTGCGAATTCAGTCAAGAATCTTTATTAAAATTGAAATGAAAATAGTTTAATTTATGCGAAAATAATAATTTTTAAAAAAATAATCAAATTCTTGCTAAGAATTTTGATTATTTATTGAAAATAATAGAATTATTGTAAAGAATTTTATTAATATTTTTAATAATAATTGAATTTATGAAGAATTTTGTTATAAAATTCTTGAAAATAATATTGAATTCAGTCAAGAAACTTTTTGAAAATTGAAACGAAAATAGTTTTAATTTCTGTTAAAATAATTCGAAAATAATAATTTTTCGAAAATAATCAAATTCTTTCTAAGAATTTTGATTATTTATGGAAAATAATAGAATTATTGGAAAGAATTTTGATTATTTATGGAAAATAATAGAATTATTGGAAAGAATTTTATTAAAATTTTTGAAAATAATTGAATTCATGTGAAGATTTTTGATATAAAATTTTTAAAAATAATTCATTGAAGAATTTTGATTATTTTTATGGAAAGTAATAGAATAATTGGAAAGAATTTAATTAAAATATTTTTGAGAATAATTGAATTGTTTCAAAGAATGTATTTTATAATATTATGTTAAATAATAATTAGTTAGAAACGAAGAGAGAAGAAGAAGAAGAAGAGGAAATTATTAATAAAAATAATATTTCTGTTGCAGATTATAGAGAGGCAGAATAATGTGTGATTCATTCCAAAAGTATTAATCGGCTAGTAAAAAAAAAAAAAAATTAACGTCGAATGTCTGCTAAACCTACAGCAGACTTGTTAAAAAATCTGGATCTAAAGACCAGGTGATGAGCTCAGTTTGGTGGGGAGCCTCAAGCACACAACGAGACTCCAAACATGTTTCGCTCAAAGATAAGGATTCACACTTGCCAGGTGATCCTGTTGACCTCGCTAGTCTGGTTCCTTTTGGACGTGATGATATTAATGTTCTATTCGGACTGCATCGGCGGCTCAGGTTGGAATTGTCCTGACATTAGGCAAACTGAAGAGCCAGAAAGCGCCAATGAATTAATTGGCGATGTTGATCCAATAACGAAAATGCGAAAGAAATATAAGCGAAATGAAATATTTGATTGGCGACCGGCGGCAACGGTGAGAGGACGCTCGGGTAGTCCTGGCGAAAGTGGTTCGGCCGTTCATATTCCCGCTGAGGATGAGGCGAAGCAGCAGGAACTTTTTAAATTGAATCAATTTAATTTAATGGCGAGTGATATGATTTCGTTGAATCGCTCATTAAAGGATGTTCGATTGGAGGATTGTAAAAGTAAAACTTATCCCAAGCTTCTTCCAAAAACTAGTATTGTTATTGTTTTTCATAATGAAGCGTGGAGCACATTGTTGAGAACAATTTGGTCCGTTATTAATCGTTCACCAAAAAATTTACTACAAGAAATTATTCTCGTCGATGATGCCAGCGAGCGAGGTGATTATCATCCACTAAAAATTTTCTCCACGTTTAAACGAAAAAATTTTTTTTTTTTTTTCTGCAAATATTATCTTCAAAATCTCAAAATTATTAATTTCAAAATCTCAAAATTATTAATTTCATAATCTCGAAATTATTAATTTCAAAATGTTAAAATTACTAATTTCAAAATCTCAAAATTATTAATAATTTTAAAATCTAAAAATTATTAATTTCAAAATCTGAAAATTATTAATTTCAAAATCCCAAAATTATGAATTTCAAAATCCTAAAATTTTGTGCGTTCAAATAATCGAAATTTTATTCTTTTTCCATTTATCATTTCTTCTCCAGACTAAAATTTTTGTTGCAATAATTTTGCGTCACTTTAAAAAAATGTTAATTACGAAGTTTCTATTTTCAAATTTAAGTTTTTAATTTCTATTGTGAGCAGTAATTTACGAAAGGGTTTTAGAAAATAATTCATTCATTTGAGCCTTCATTTGGGAAACATTAAAAAATTACTCATAAAAAGCAAAAATAAAATTTAATATTTAGACATATTAGAATCTTTATATACATAATTTACTTTTTTTACTTCAATTTTTAATAATGAATATAATTTTTATATATAATTTTTAATAACAATATTATTGCAATAAATTTTTATAACAACTATTATTGTAATAAATTACCATTTGAAAATTGCAATATTATTGACATAAATTATTATTGCAATATTGTTGCAATAAATTATCATTTACAATATTATTGCAATTTTTATTCGCAACATTATTGCAATACAATCTTAATTCTCAAGGAGAAATGAATAAATTTCGCTATTTGAACGTTCAGAACTTCTTTTTTTCTTTCTTTTTTTTTTTCTTTTTTTTTTTTTTTTTTATTTTTATTTAAAATTTTCTCATTAATGGTTCTTCTAAATAAATCGAAATTAATATTAATTATAACATCAATAACTAATATTCTATTAATTATTTACAATAGTATTATTTTTACATTATTTATTTTTGCTTTTCAACTATTTAAAGTCATTTTTTTAATTTATTATTGCAATACTATTTACATTTTATTTGTGTCTTTCAAATTATTTAGTCTTTTTTTTATTTATTTTTATTATTACAACTAGACAGTGAAATTTGTATTATTAATAAAGATAATTGAATGATTGCGAAGAAATTTATAAAAACTTTGTTAATAATTGAATTTTTTGTGAATTCAATTATTAAACAAAATGTAATAAAATTGTTTGCAAACATTTAATTATTTTCATGAATAATGAAAATTTTCTTTAATTCAATGATTTTCAATATCTACGATTTTAATAAAATATTTCAAAGGAATTCAATGTTAAAAAAAAAATTTAATAAAATTCTATGAAAACATTTCATTATTTTCATAAATAATAAAAATTTCACAAGAAATTCAATTATTAACAAAGTTTTTATGAATTTCTTCGCAATCATTCAATTATTTTTATTAATAATACATAATTTCACTGAAACTCAATTATTTTCAACATTTTTTTTTAATTTCTTCGCAATAATTCAATTACTTTCATAAATAATAAATTTTTTACAGTTATTTAATTATTTTAATAAATAATAAAAAATTTTCACGGATTTCAATTATTTTTAATACAATTTTAATCGAATTTCTCGAAAAGTTTTATTAAAATTCGCCAAAGAATTCAATTATTTAAAAATTTGTTGACAAAATTCTTTATTCTTTATTATTTAGGAAAATAATTGAATTCTTGCAATGAATTTTTAGTACATTTTTCAAAATAATTGAAATCCTGTGAAAAGTATTATTATTTATGAAAATAATTGAATTATAATTGAAAATAATTGAATTCTTTCAACGAATTTTTATTACATTTTTTTTAAATAATTGAATTCTTGCAACGAATTCTATTAAATTTTTTTAAATAATTGAATTTAAGTGAAAAATTTAAAATTTAAAATTTTTAAATTTTTTTAAATAATTGAATTCAAGTGAAAAATTTTATTACTTGTAAAAATAATTGAATTCATGCGAAGAATTTTATTAAAATTTTTATAAATAATTTTTGACTCGAAGTAATCGATAACTTCATGTTTTATAATAATAAATATTCTTATAAGATGTTGAATTTCAAATTGAGTGAAATACAAATTATGCATAAAATGGGTATATTTTCTATTTCCAATTTTATTTTCATTATTATTGGAATATTATTTGCATTTTATTTTTGTTTTTAAACTATTTAAAGTTTTATCAGTGAGTTAACTTTGATTTCTTTTTTAGACCATCTAAAGGAGGATCTCGAGGATTATGTAAAGACTTTACCAGTTTCAACTTCTGTTTTGCGCACGAAGAAGAGATCAGGACTTATAAGAGCGAGATTACTTGGCGCAAAGCATGTAAAGGGTCAAGTAATTACATTTTTGGATGCTCATTGCGAGTGCACGGAAGGTTGGCTCGAGCCACTGCTTGCAAGAATAGAAAATGACAGGACGACAGTGGTTTGTCCTATTATCGACGTAATTAGCGATGATACTTTTGAATATATTACAGCCAGCGATATGACCTGGGGAGGTTTCAATTGGAAACTTAATTTTAGATGGTACGTTGAAATAATAATTTCCAAAAAGAAAAAAAAATTGCAACTAATAACTGAAAAATTAAAATTCGTTTCTTTCTGTTTTATTCGATTTTGGTAAATTTCGAAAAGTAGTTTGAATTTTAATATTGAAAGTGAAAGATAAAATTTACTTTTTATTAAATTCAATTCAGATAAATTTCGAAAATTAATATTTTCAACTTAAATATTCATACTAAAAAATATTCAATTTTATTAAATTAAATTTTGGTAAATTTAGATTAAATGTTTTGAAATTGAATCCAAACTGAAAAATAAAATTCAGCCACTAAAAGATACTATTTCTGTTTTTTTTTAGAATTTCCACTATTTTAAATTCGCTAATGGTAGAAATCAAAAAACTATTCGCAAAAATTAAAATGAAATTCTTTAAAACAATTCAATTATTTTCAAAAAATATTCAAAATTCAATTATTTTCAATATCAAGTATTTTCATAAAATTTGGCAAACGAATTCAATTATTAAAAAAAAAATTTTGATAAAATTCATCCAAAATTCTATTATTTTCATAAATAATAAAATTTCCACTGGAATTTAATTAATTTAGAATAGCATTTTCAAAAAAATGTCGAAAAAATCAATTATTTTACAAAATTTTTATACCATTCTTCACAATATTTCAATTATTTTCAATAATAATAGACATTTTTCATGGATATTCAATTTAAAAAAAAAATTGTTCATAAAATTTTAAGCAAGAATTCAATTATTTTCATAAATAATAAAACTTATTGAAGAATTTCAATTGTTTTCAATGCTATTTTAAATTAATTAATCGAAAAATTCAATTATTTTCACAAATAAAGTTTTCACAAGAATTCAATTATTTAAAATAAAATTTTCATAATATTTATTTGATTTCGAAAACATTGATAATAATTAAAAAAAATTTGTTATAAAATTCTTATGAAGAATTCAATTTTTTTCAAAAATAATAAAATTTTTCACAGAAATTCAATTTTTTTAAAACGTATAATAAAATTTTTTTAAAATTCAATTATTTTCGTAAATAATAAAATTCTTCTCAGGAATTCAATTATTTTTGAAAATTTTAATAATATGTTTTGCAACTATTCAATTATTTTCATAAAGAATAAAATTCATTGCAATATTTCAATTATTTTTAATACAATTTTACAGGAATTGCTCAGAAAGTGTTAGTTATCTTAAAAATTTAATTTTAATTCCTCGAAAAAATCAATTATTTAAAAAATATTTTTTTCACAGGAATTCAATTATTTTCAAATATTTTAATAAAATTGTTTGAAAGAAATAAATTATTTTAAATACAATTTTAATAAAATTTTTTTTTGAAATTCAATTATTTTTTGAAATTTTAATAAAATTCTACCCAAGAATTCAATTATTTACATAAATAATTCTTCGAAAGAATTCAATTATTTACATAAATAATTGTTTGAAATAATTCAATTATTTCGATAAATAACAAAATTATTTCGGAAAATTCAATTATTTTGAGGCATTTTAATAAAATTCTTTGCAAAATTCAATTATTTCCATAAATAACAATATTCATCACAGGAATTCAATTATTTTTAAAAGTAATAAATTTTTTCTTAGTAATTCATTTATTTAAAAAAATTCTAATAAAAGAATTTAATTATTTTCATAAATAATAAAATGCTATTTAGGAATTCAATTATTTTCAAAAAAAAAAATTGAATAAAATACCACTCAGACATTCAATTATTCTCAAAAATTTTTATAGAATTTTTTGTAAAATTTAATTATTTTTAAAAACTTTTCGCAATTCAATGATTTTCAATATTAACTGTTTTCATCAAATTTCCAAACAGAATTCAATTATTTAAAATTTTTTTTATAAAAATCTTCCTAAGAATTCAATTTTTTTCATGAATAATAAAAATTTTTCAGGAATTTAATTATTTAAATTAGAATTTACATAGAAGTAGTCGAAAGAAATCAATAGTTGAAAATTTTTTATAAAATTCTTCGCAAGAATGAAATTCTTTTTATAAATATTTAAATTTTTTTGATGAATATAATAAAATTCGTTGCAGGAATTAAATTTATTAGCTGGATAAGAGTGAAGTAAATATTTTTGATGAAAATTAGGAAAAAGTAAGGAAAATAAAATATAGAGTGGAGTTTTTGTCAGTTTTGTCAAGTGTGTAAAATGAGTTTTTTGTTCGTCAAATTTAATTTTCCGATTGCTACTTTTTTACTACTTTTTTTTAGTTTGAAAGCTACTTTTTGCTACTTTTTTAAAATTCATTATCGAGTGCGAAGTCTGATTTTAATATAATCATTATATTTTAATATCTTAACATTTATAAATATTTAATTAACGTCAATTTTCATTAACGTATTTTTTAATCGGAAAAACGAAAATTCTTTTGTTCTGAATATTAAATTAGAAAAATGAATTGCGATTCTGAAATAGTTTATAAAATCTGTTTTTTTAATTTTATGGAAATTTTCTTCCTTTAAATTCAGATACAACTTTACACGATACTAATGAATAAATGTATATAAATGCTTTTTAAGAATCGTTAAACTCTAAATCGATTTTCTTTTATGACACTGTAATCTAAATGGCAGAGCGTTAATTATATTTTTAAATCAGTCTCTGTAGAAATTGCTTCCCGATTATGGCCAATAGCTCGCAATGGCGTTATTGATTAAACGAACTTCTGCTTTATTAGTTTCAGCGAAACAAATTGATAAATAGAAATTTGAAATTTATTTCATTTTCAAAATTTAAAATTGAAATTTATTTTAATTCGAATTTGGAATTTTTTCTACAACAACGAGCACCTATTGGCAATTTCTTTCAATTTTCTTTTTCCTACTTGGAATTTTTTTTTGATAAATATTTTTTTTGAAGGGGGATTTTTGTGTTTTTCAAACTGAAAAGTGATTTGTAATTGTTTTTTGTTTTTCCCCACCAAATAGGTATAGAGTTGCTCAAAGAGAAATGGAGAGGAGAAAGAGAGATAGAACAGCACCGCTTCATACACCGACAATGGCAGGTGGATTGTTTGCCATCGACAAAGAATATTTCTATCATTTGGGCGCATATGACGAAGGAATGGATATTTGGGGCGGAGAGAACTTGGAAATGAGTTTCAGGGTAAGCATTTTATATTTTCCAGTTTGGTGCACGGTTTACTTTTTTCGAAGTGGAAAAATTCTGCCATCCATACAGAAACATTTTGCTTCCCTAAATTATCGATTTCTGCTTCATAAACTGAATATTCGACTAATTAAAAGCCCTCGAGTGTGTTCACATCACTCGAATGCATTTTCATAAACTTTAATCATTCAAATTTTTAATCATCAACTATTTTTATATTCTAATTTTAATTAATAATTAGCAATTTGCGGAATTTTCGCATAATTGCATTTTTTTAAAATTCCGAACGTTCAAATGAAGGAAAAATTTTTTTTTTTGGTATTTTTAATACATAGAAAAAAAAAATATCAAAATTAATGTTTCTAAAGTTCTGAAATTTATTTATTTCTTCTTTAAATAATAAATATGAAATAATAATAAATAAATTAAATAAGAATTTTATTGTCACTGTAAAAAAAAATTGTAAAGTTACTAATGTTTTATTTTTATTGCAATCAGTATGTTATGAAAATAATTTTAATGAAAAATTTTTCTAGGATTGACACAAAACTTTAGTTATTGATTATTGCAGGCATCACAGATCGTCCTTTTTGTCCAAGAAAAATAATAAATTAACTTTCAAATAATTAAAATATAATTAATAGTTTTTTTTAGAAAAAGAAAAATATAAATTTTTGAGAATAAAATTGCCAATCAAAATATTTATTTATTTTTATACAATTTATTTACTAAAATATTTCAAAATTAATTGGATTTTAAAAGCGTTGCGTTTACAATTTTCATAAATAGATAAAATTCAAAAGGTTTTAATTAAAAATTTTATAAAATTTCAATTTTGAATTAATTTAATTAGAAATTTTAAAGAAATAAGAGTTTTGAAAAATTTTAATAATTCAAATTCTTCTGAAATTAGTTAAATTTTTTATAGTATATTTAATTCATTATTAAAAATAAAGGATTTATAGAAGAATTTTAGTTAAAATACTAAAAAAAATTGAATTTTCGAGAAGTTATAAATTATTGTCGAAATTTAAGTATTTTCAAAATTAATAAAATTCTACGTAGAAATTCAATTATGTTCAAACATTTTTAAAAATTGTCATCATAATTTTAAATTATTTTTATAAATAATAAAATTCTTTGCTGAACTTTAATTATTTTAAAAAATTTTAATAAAATTCTTGGCAAAATTCCAATTATTTTCAAAAATTTTCCTCAATTCAATGATTTTTAATATTTAATATGTATTTTAATAAAATTTTCTAAAAGAATTCAATTATTTTAAAAAATTTTGAAAAAATTCGACTCAAAAATTCAATTATTTTTACAAATAATAAAAATTTTACAGAAATTATATAATTTTCAAACTTCTTAGAAATATTCTTAATATTCTTAGAAATATCTTTGCAATAATTCAATTATTTTTATAAATAATAAAAAAAGTTTACTGGAATTAAATTTTTTACAATTTTTAGAAATTTCTTTGCAATAATTCCTTAATTTTCATAAATCAAAAATTCTTTTTAGAAATTCAATTATTTAATTATTTTATAAATTTCTTCGCAATCATTCAATTATTTTCCAAAAAAAAATCAAAAAGTTTACTGGAATTTAATTATTTACAAATTTTTTTAATAAATTTCTTTGCAATAATTAAATTATTTTTAGGAATTCAATTATTTACAAACTTTTTTAATAAATTTTTTCGCAATAATTCAATTATTTTCATAAAAAATAAAATTCTATTTAGGAATTCAATTATTTACAATTTTTTTTTATCAATTTCTTCACAATAACTCAATTAATTTTTTAAATAATATAAATTTCACAAAAAATTCAATTATTTACAAAGTTTTTATAAATTTCTTCTCAGTAATTCAATTATTTTCATTAATAATAAAATTTGCACTGGAATTCAATTACTTTCAAATTATTTCGCAATAATTCAATTCTTTTCAATTTTGATTCATTTTTTTAAAAATTTTTTATAGAGAAGAGATTTTTAAATTTTTAATAAAATTTTTCCAAAGAATCGAATTAATTTCTAAAACTTGTTTCAATAGTAAAATCTGTGGCAAAAATTCAATTATTTTCAATAAAATTTCACGAAAGAAGTCAATTTTTTTCAAAATTTTTAATAGAGAAGAGATTTTAATATTTTTAATAAAATTTTTCTAAAGAATCCAATATTATTTTCTAAAAATTTGAATTCATTAATTAAATGTTTAATTAAACACAATTATTTTAAAAACTTAAAAGAAATTGTTCATAAAATTCAATTACTTTCAAAATTTTCAATTAGAATTATTAAATAAACTCCATTAATAAAAAAAAAAAAATGAAATTCTTCAAAATGAATTTAATTAGGATTTTTAGAAATTTTAATAAAATTCTTCGCGAGAATTCAATTAATTTTTTATAAATAATAAATTTTTTATCGTCATTTAATTATTGTCATAAATATTAAAAATCATCACGGAATTTCAATAATTATTTTTAATAAAATTTTAATTGAATAATTTTAAAAATTTTTAACACATTTTAATTTGTTGTTTAGTTTATTTTTTGTTCCCGTTTTTTTTCTTTTTTTAAGAAAAAAAAAAATTTCCCTTTTCACTTTTTTTTTTGAGGATAAAAGACACTGTGATGCTTGTTATTATTTAACCGATTATTCTTGTTCTTAATTTAAAAAGTAATTTTTTTTAGCAACGAAAGCAAATCTCATCACAGCGTGTACTAATGATTATTTCCAAAATAGGATTGTCGACTAAAAATAATGTTTTACTTTTTCCCATCGTTATCATTGTGGATTTATGTAGAGAGTTACTTTTAGATTTGGCAGTGTGGCGGTACTTTAGAAATCAGCCCTTGCTCACATGTTGGGCACGTATTTCGCGACAAGAGTCCCTATACATTTCCGGGTGGAGTCAGCAAGATCATTCTTCATAATGCAGCCCGTGTAGCTGAGGTCTGGATGGACGAGTGGAGAGACTTTTACTATGCTATGAACCCAGGTTAGATCAATTTTCTTGAGTGCGTTTTTCATTCGCAAAAGCTTCGTTTAATATATACTAACGCTAAATTTTGTCGCGCTCAGTGATTTTCTCTCTAATATTATACTTTTTTTCCAAAAAAAAAAAAAAAAAATGTAATCCGTGCTTGATCGTTGCATTCGAAATATGTTGAAATCTAACAAAAACGTAACGCTTTGTCAAAGTTTCTTTTCATATTTTGAAAATTATTTAGATCAGTAGATGAGGAAAGAAATTTTTCTTTTTTCGTCTTATAACCGAAACGAATTTTTTTTTATTCTCTACTTTCTAATTTAGCAAAAATATCAATTTTGTAAAAATATTTTAACTTTTTTCGATCTTGTTAAAATTCACTTCGTTTCGTTTGTATTTGTTTCGTTAGCTGTACATTTTATTTCCATTTTTTCAATTTTCCCAATATTTATTATTTTTCCAAAGAAAAAAATATTAAAAATTTTTTTTTGAAAGAGAAAATAATCTTTTCAATTTCCCCAATATTTATTATTTTTCAAAAGAAAAAAATATTTTCAATTTTCTTTTTTTAAAGAGAAAATAAAATTAATTTTGATATTTTTATGATGAATCAAAAAACGAATGAAATTAGTAATTTTTGATTGAATTGAATTTTTAACGTGAATGCTATTTTTGAAAATTTAATTATCTCCTTTTCATTATTTTAATGGTAATATTTGTTGATACAAAATTCTGTCAATTTGCTTTTTGATTTTTATGGGTTGATTGGAAAGCTTTTGACGGGTATCTGATATATAGAATTTCTAGTTAGAGAAAATTAGTTTTACTGCGGAATTTGTAATATTCGAGTACTAGTATTTTTTATTCTGGTTATTTGAATTCTCTATAGGTAGAAATACTTTGATTACGATGTTAAAAAAAAAAAAATAAATTGGCTACTACAATATTGATGATGAAACAAAAAAAAAAAAAATTGCGCTTTTTGAAAATTCCATTAAGTAGTTATCGCTTATTTATTAGAGACTGGCTCTATTAAATTTTCATATTAATTACTTTTCTAGTTTCAGATTTGTTCTTCACTGAAACGTTACGATTATTTTTTTTATTTTTTCTTCGAAAAGGAATAATTTTAATTTAATTTTATTTATTTAGTATATAAATTTTCTTCGAAAAGAATAATTTTATCAAAGAATTTTATTAAAAAAATTTGATAATAATTGAATTCTTACGAAGAATGTTATTATTTAGGAAAATAATTGAATTCTCGAAAAGAATTTTGTTAAAATTTTTGAAAATTCTAAATAAATTCTTTCTGAAGAATTACTTGGATTTTTTTTAAATAAAGGAGTTTCTTTAATAATTTTAATTAGAAACATTAAAAACAATTGAAATTTTATAAAGAATTTCTTTCAAGTTTTTAAAATAATCTTGTTTGTTAATAATTGAAATTGAAAATAAACATTTAACTACTGGATTTTATTAAAATTTTTTAGAAAATAATTGAATTCTTTTGTAAAATTTTGTACCTGATTAAGACAAAAATTGAATTCTTTCTAAAGTTATTAAAAAAAATAGAATTTTTTCGAAGGATTTATTAAAATTTTAGGAAAATAATTGAATTCATTTGAAAAACTTTGTAACGAATTAAGAAAAAAATTTAATTCTTTCCTAACATCTTTTAGAAAATAATTGAATTGTTTTGAAAAATTTTATAACAAAATAAAAAAAATTAAATTCTTTTGTTAAATTTTTTTGTAAATAATTGAATTTTGGCAAAGAATTTTCTTATTTATATAAAAACAATTGTATTGTTTGTAAGAATTTATTAGAGTTTTAAAAAATAATTGAATTTTTTCGAAAAATATTACTAAAAATTAAAAATAAAAATTGAATTCTTTTGAAAAACTTTACAACGAATTAAGAAAAAAATTGAAATCTTTCGTGAAATTTTTTTGAAAATAATTGAATTTTTGCAAAATTTTTTGAAAATAATTGAATTCTTTCGAAGAATTTATTTAAATTTTAGAAAATAATTCATTTTTTTCGCAAAATATTATTAAAAAATTTTTTTAAAATTGAATTCTTTTATGCAATTTTATTAAAATTGTATTAAAAATCATTGAATTTTTGCAAAGAATTTTACTATTTATGAATAAAGTTGAATTTTTTTGAAGAATTTATTCAAATTTTAGAAAATAATTGAATTTTTTCGAAAAATATTATTAAAATTTTTTTTAAAAATTGAATTTTTTCATGAAATGTAATTAAATTTTTGTTTAAAAATAATTGAATTTTTGCAAAGAATATAATTAAATTTTTTCGAAGAATCTATTAAAATTTTAGAAATAATTGAATTTTTTCGAAGGATTTATTAAAATTTTAGAAAATAATTTAATTTTTTCAAAGAATATTATTAAAAATTTTTTTTAAACTGAATCCTTTCATGCAATTTTACTAAAATTTTTTTAAAAATAATTGAATTTTTGCAAAGAATTTTCCTATTTTTATGAATATAATAAAATTTTTTCGAAGAATCAATTCAAATTTTAGAAGAAAATTGAATTTTTTCGAAAAAAATTAAAAATTAAAAAACAATTTGAATTCTTTTATGAAATTTAATTAAAATTTTGTTTATAAATAATTGAATTTTTGGAAAGAATTTTACTATTTTTAAATATAATTGAATTGTTTCGAAGAATTTATTTAAATTTTAGAAAATAATTGAATTTTTTCGAAAAATATTATTAAAATTTTTTTTTAAAATTGAATTTTTTCGTGAAATTTAATAAAAATTTTGTTTAAAAATAATAGAATTTTTGTAAAGAGTGCAATTAAATTTTTTCAATTTTTTCGAACAATCTATTAAAATTTTAGAAAATAATTGAATTGTTTCCGAAAAATATTATTCAAAATTAAAAATAAAATTGGAATTCTTTTGAAAAATTGTATAACGAATTAACAAAAAAATTGAATTCTTTCGTGAATTTTTTTTTTTTTTAAATAATTGAATTTTTGCAAAGATTTTACTATTTAAAAAAATAATTGAATTGTTTCGAAGGTTTTTTTTTATTTACGAAAATAATTGAATTCATGCGATGAATTTTATTAAAATTTTTGAAATTAATAAACAAGAATAATTAATTAGTAAATTGGTAAATAATTTATTTATTCATTTACAATGTTTATAATTGAATTGATTTAAAGTTTGAGTCTGAAATTATTCAAAAATTCATATTTGAATATAAAAAATTTTCTAATTTGCATAATAAAATTTTTTTTAATTAAAATTAAACAAGAATAATTAATTAGTAAATTTATTAATAATTTATTTATTTATTTTTTTTTTAAATTAAAATTGTATTTTTCAAATCTGAAATTAGAAGGAAAATGAAAATTGAAGGCCAGAGGTTCATTGGGGGAAAGTATAGAGTGAGTGAGACTGAATTTCGAATTTTCTGTGAGAGGAGAAAAAAAATCATTGCCTTTAACCACTCGTCCATCCAAACTAACAATAAGATTCATTGATACGCTTTTTAACATTTTTTAATATTCATTATAAAAAGCTCTTGTAGGTGCCGATGGAGAAGGAGGGGAATTATGCCGATGCGGATTAATTCGTAATTTAATTACAATTTTATTTAAATTTAGTATCAATGCTAACAAAATAATTGAGCAATATATTTATTGTATTGAATATATTGTTTCTGCTAACACACTAACAGAATTGAGTTGGTTAGATATGGATGTGTGGTGGGACGTTGGAAATCGCGACATGCTCGCATGTTGGACATGTGTTTCGTAAGTCGACTCCCTACACCTTCCCCGGAGGCACGAGCAAGATCGTGAATCGGAACAATGCTCGCCTCGCTGAGGTCTGGTTGGACCAATGGAAACACTTCTATTACAACATTAATCCAGGTAGCACTAACGCCTGCGACGCTGATTAATCAACACGATTGTTTCCTTCAATCAATCAAAGAACAAAAAAAAAAAACAAAATTAAATAAAAATAATTAATAGCATGCTCTCTTTTTCTTCCTCATCATATCGTGATTCTTTGCTTCTATCATTTTTTGCCTCAGATACCCGTTCAAAAAAAAAAAAAAAAAAAGAAAAGAAAACGTTTTTCATTTTCAGTCGCTTTCACAAATTCTTTTTTGGGAAAATAAAAATGATATTTTAACGATAGAGAAATCAGTCGAAGGATGCATCTCCCTTTTAGATTTAGCTAAAGCCTGCTTAGATTTGTCTTCCATTTAGAAGTTTGGTAGACAATTTTTCGTTTTTGAATATAAAATTCAAAATTTGTGTGAATGTTTTTTTTCTCCTCGTATTTTACTTTTTCTTTTGTAATTTCCTTTTTTCTATTGGTATATAATTTTCCTTTATTGGAAAAAGTTGAGAGAAATAGTATTTTTTACATAAAATAAATAATTTTTTTTTGTTCGAAAGCATGTTTTCAAAATTTAGATTATCGTTACACTTTTATTACAGCAAAAAAAAATTATTGAAAAATTGTAAAGAAAATATTTTTTTGGTTTTGGTTTGATGGAGATTTTCTGTGAGCTGATCACCAGGCACTGCACATATATACTTTTTCATTCATCACTCTCTTCATATTATGAAGGCATTTCACACACTCAAAAAAAAAAATCCGCACACTGCAAGAAAGTAGTAAAACGAGAATTATCCTTTTTTTTGTGTAGATAAAAAGAAATATTAATTTTTGTAACTTTCTTTACAGGTGCTCGTAGTGTTTCTGTTGGCAATGTCTCGGAACGAATTGCATTAAGGGAAAAACTTAAGTGCAAAAATTTCAAATGGTACTTGGAAAATATTTATCCAGAGTCGCCGATGCCTTTGGATTATTATTATCTCGGCGATGTGAAAAATGTCGAGACGAGAAATTGCCTCGACACGATGGGCAGAAAATCGGGAGAAAATGTTGGTGTTACTTATTGTCATGGACTCGGTGGCAATCAGGTGAAATTTACAAAAAATTTCTTAAAATTCAACATTATTTCTTCTTTTTTACAATTTAACTTCATTATTCTTGGGCTCTTCAAAAACACTTTACCCAATTTTTTATCTCAGTCCTTTGGTTAAAAATTTAAAATTATAAAAAATTATCAAAAATTCGAAAAACCGAATTTCTTCAAATTCAACATTTTTTCTTTTTTTTATGGCATTTAGCTTCATTATTTTTGTGCTCTTCAAAAACACTTTACCTAATTTTTTATCTCAGTCCTTTGGTAAAAAATCTAAAATTATTAAAAATTATTATCAAAAATTCGAAATTCCAGTGGATTTTTCAATTTAATTTCCACGTCATATAATATAATATTATATCTTAAAATTTCTAATTGAATTTCTATTGAAAAAAAATGGAAAACAGGAAAAATTTTGAAACTTTTAAAAATTCCAGGCCTTTTCCATGATTTCCAGAAGCCTTTTAAAAATTTGTAGGAACCCTGATTATTGAATTTTTGCAAAGAATTTTACTGTTTATGAGCATAATTAAATTTTTTTGAAGAATCTATTAAAATTTTAGAAAAAATTTGAATTTTTTCGAAAAATATTAAAAATTAAAAAAAAATTTAATTCTTTCATGAAATTTAATTAAAAGCTTGTTAATAAATAATTGAATTTTTGCAAAGAATTTTACTATTTTTAAATATACATATAATTAAATTGTTTCGAAAAATTTAATAAAATTTTAGAAAATAATTGAATTTTTTCAAAAATATTCTTAACATTTTTTTATAACATTTAATAAAAATTTGTTTGTAAATAATTGGATTTTCTGCTAAGAATTTTACTATTTAGAAATATAATTGAAATTTTTTGGAAGAATTTATTAAAATTTTAGAAAACAATTGAATTCTTGCAAGGAATTATATTAAAATAATAATAATAATAATTGCAATATGATTAATAAGCATATTTTTTTGCAGGTATTCGCGTATACGAAGAGACAGCAAATAATGTCAGATGATATGTGCCTGGATGCTGTAAGTCCTCATGGACCAGTGAAGATAGTCCGTTGCCATGGAATGGCCGGAAATCAAGCTTGGGTTTACAATAATCAAGTAATTTTTATTTTTTAAATTTATTTTTCGAATTTTAAAAAAGTGAAGAAATTAAATAGATGTTACAAAAATAATTTTTTAATGAAAAACTGTTCACTAAAATAATTTTTTTTATTGAAAAACTAAAAGAATTGTTTACTGTAAACTTATTCAGAAGAAAATTTTTTTACTAAGATAATTATTCAGTAAAAGAATTTTTTACTGTGATAATTGTTCAGTAAAATAATTATTTTCTAAAAAATTCTTTTAGTAAACTATTTTTTTTAGTAAAAAAATTGTTTACTACTAAAAAATTCCTTTAGTGAACAATTTTTTTTAGTAAAAAAATTGTTTATAGTAAACAATTAAAAAAAAAAAGATTTGGTAAAAGATTTGGTTAGTAAACGATTCTTTTAGTAAAAAATTTGTTTAGTAAACAATTCTTTTAGTAAAATATTTGTTTAGGTAAAAATTTTTTTATTATAAATTTTATATTTTTCTTTTTTTCCATTATAAATAAAAAATTATCGTGAAAATACGAAAGTGTACACACTTTCGTTTTTTCACTATAAATTTGTTATTTTTTGTTTCTCACTGATTATAAATGAACAAAAATTTAATTTTTCTACAGAAATAAATTTTCTCTCGTTTCCTTTTTTCCAGACGAAAATGATAACACACACAAATACGGGTTATTGTCTCTCAAAACCAAGACCCGGCGACGCAACACAGCCAATTCTCGCTAATTGCGATCCACGTGTTCCCGGACAAAAATGGATAATGCAGAGTAAATTCAAATGGCAAGCCAGCTAATACCAAGCAAACGCAAAGAACCAATACTCGGTACTTGTTGATGCGTTGAAGTATTTATAAAAATTAGAGGACTGAACTTTTCAGGGACCTTATTAATTCTGAAATTTATGAAAATATCATAAACAATCTGTTGAAAGATTCTTTATGATCGTAATAACAACAAAACAAACAAAAAAACGCAAATAATTACGAAGACTAGACAATTTTTTCTTAGAAAGCTAATCTAGTGTTTTATATAGAATATTTGAGCATTTACTGCCATTTTTTATGGTATGCTTTTGAGTTTTTAAAGTACGTTGTTTTGAAAGATTAAAAAAAAACACAGTACCGGTGCAAATGAAGAATAACGTAAATTTTTACCGAATGTTAGATGAAAAAAGAGAGAAAGAAAAGCATATCAAGTAACTGTTATTTAATTAAAAATCATTGTTGACTTGGGTAAATTTAAGTGTAAAGGCGAAATTTAAAAAAAAAATTGCTAATTTTGGGATGAGTGCAATGATGACCTTCCACAATTTAAAAAAAAGAATTAACAGCTCGAGAATAGAGTTCAAGCCTTTATTTTATTAATCAAAGCTAAGTCAAAGTTTTTAAATAAAATAGATTGTAAAAATAAATTGTAATTGAATATCTTAGGATTTTAAATAGACTTGTATTGAATTGAAGGGAAAACAAAATATTGACGGCTCGGTATTATTAAATTAATATCTTTTGTAAATATCTAAGATATTTTCCTCATAGTCAGATTCAATATTTAAGTTAACTAAAAAACTTTTTTTTAAGTTTTTATAATTATCCCCATCCCTCCATAGTCAAGTTCAATTTTTAAACCCCCCTGCCTTCCCTTTTTGTGTTTTTTTTAAGCTCTACTTTTAAATCATTCCTCATAGTTGTTAATTTAAATGTTTTTCTTAGGTAATTTTTTTTCTGTTTTGAACTCTCGTGATTAAGTGTGTTTTTAAACTTTCGAACGTTCAAATGAAGAAAATTTTATTACTTCTTTTAAAGTTTTAACAGAAATTTTTTATATTAAAAAAATTAATTCTTAACTGAGGGCTCGAACTAGGTCCGTAAATCCCGTAAAGGTCCGTAAACACTTTTAAGAGCATAATTCTCATTTTTTTAAAAGCATAATTACAAGTTTCTGAAGAGCATAAATTGTCTAAATTGTAAATTATTATTTAAAAATCTATTTTTATTTAGAAAAGTTTCGTTTATTCGAACGTTCGAAAATTTGGGGAAACTAAGTGGAAGATAATTAAATTGTTTCTATTAAGCTTGGCTTTAAAAAAACCAGATTTTCTCAAGTTCTTTACTTTGTGTATTTTTGCTTTTAATATCGATAGAATTTTTAGAAATATAATTTTTTAAAAAAAGTCATTTAACATTTATAGAAATTTAATATATATTTGAAAATGTTTTTAATCGAAAATCTGCAATACTTTTATTAAAAAGTAATCAAAATTGCAAAATTTTTTTAGAATTTTTAATATTTTTGATAATTAGATATATTTTACAATTATTAGTAAAACAAAATTAACAAATTTGTACATTTTTTTTTACAAATTTAGATCGCTGATAAGTAATTTTTCTTTAATTAAACATAACTTCTATTTCTGAATGATTTTTTTTCGAATTTAGCATCAGTAGTAAAAAAAAATAGTTTTTCTTTCTGAGTCTTCCGTAATTTTCTTTTTCTTAACGATATATTTAATTTAGAAACAGTCTGAGATTTTACAATTTAGTATAATTAAGAAAGAAAAAAAAATGTTAATAATAAACATTTTGAAAAGTGAGAAAGTTAATTCAGATATTGAAGCAAATGTTCCTCGATTTCTGTACATTTTTCTATATTTTATCTGTTGCTTAGTTAAGAGATCAATTTACGTTTTATACATATTATATAAATGTAATTTCTCACTGATAAGATATGCATTGTTTCTTTATAGTTGTGTACACACAGAAAACGCTACATTTATTTAAAATGGGAAAAAAACAATTATAGAAGATTGTACAGTTTTAAATTGAAAAAAAATCAACAATTAGTCTATAAGTATCTTATAAACATTGAAGAAGAAAAATTGTATTTATCAAATTTAAAACTTTCGAAGTAAGATGATTTTTGTCATTTGTTATTAAAAAAAGAACAAGACGATTTTAAAATATGAAATCTATGATTGGTGATGGTGCAGCAATTTATCATTTTACAGCTTAAATATATTTAATTCATTGTTTTAAGATTGCAGTATTTATTTTTATATAGACCTTCATAGCTTTTTAAATGAAAAAAATATATATAATATTGAATAAATCTTTCTTTAATGGTGCGAAAATTGATGAATTAGTTGAAATATATGAATAAATGTTTGTAGAAAAAAATTGTGTTTATTTCTTGGTGTAAAAAAAAGGTTTCGTTTTATTCTCCATATTTCAAAAAGTTGAAAGGACTTTTCTTTAATATTTTTGTAGAAAATTCCCAATTTTCATAAGGAAATGATTTGCATCATTTCTATTTTTTAATTACAATTGCTTTAATAAAATTTTAAGTTTTTTAAAAATAAAGGAAAAAATTGTTTATAAATTCTATTTGTCAATTACAAATTTTAATTGAAATTGAAACTTTTTAAATTTTTAGAAAATAAAGGAAAACATTTTACTCAAAAATAAGTTCTCTTACATTTATTTACGAATTTCTTTTAAATTATTCGAAAACATCAATAACTTCTTTTTTAAATAAATATTTAGTGATTATTATTTTTCAATAGGAATTAAGATTTTCAAAAATTTCAAATTCAAAAATTTTTGAAATTAAACAACTTATAAAAAATTGTTATAAAACATGAAGAAATCGATTACTTATTTATGAAAATAATTAAATATTTGCGTACAATTTTATTAATTTTTTTTTCAAATAGTAAAAAAATAATAGAAAAAATAAATTTTTCAATAAATAATAATCAAACCGATTATTCGATTCATTTAAGTATAAAAATACTTAACAAAAAATTGTTTTAAAAAATAATTTTTGTGTCTCATTGCAAATAAAATGTTTGTCGAAACGTTAAAATTGTGGTTTTATTATTTTAATATTTGACTTGGATGATTGAAATTAATATACTTTCTTTTATTTTTCATAAATTGAATTTTTTCCCCGTTCGGAATTCATTAAATGATAAATGAATAAAAATTTGATGTTATTAAACAAAAGTAGGTTTTTATTGTAATTTACAATTGATTCGAGAGGTGTGTAAGTAAATTAAGTGTAACAGAAGTTGTTTGGAATATTTAATTTTTTATTAAATAAATTTACTGGTCTTTGACTTCTCGGAGACGACGGACTGCTGACCTGACGGAAGCAGCGGTCGTTGTGGAGTAAACCCATGCACCTCCGGCGACTGTCCTTTTGCACCTTTTGCAGGACCAGATTCCAACAACGCTGCGTTTCATGGCCTCCTACAAAAGTTAAATAGAAATAAATTTTTTTTACTCTTCTGAGCCGATTTTTAAAAAAGAATTTTAAATTTAATAATAACTAAAGGCGCTTGCACACTTCTAAATTTTTAGACGAGCAGCGAATTTTCACGACCTTGAAATGCACATTACTAAATATGATTGGCTCTGACAAAAGTACATTTTCTCGCAGCTTTTTGTAGAGCCAATCATATTTAGTAATGTGAGTTTCAAGGCCATGAAAATTCGCTGCTCGCCCAAAATTTTGGAAGTGTGCAAGCGCCTTAAGAGACTGCTTTGAAAACTCAGAATTCTTTCCATAATTTAAAATAGAAATCAGTTTAAAGCAAATTTTTACAATTTACAATTTCAAGACAATTAATAAAATTCAAATTAAATATTAACTATAACTGACTATTTTTGAAAATTCAGAATTCTTTCCATAATTTAAAATAGAAAACAGTTTAAAACAAATTTCTACAATTAAAAATTTCGAAAGAATCACTAAAATTTCAATTATTTAAATTAAAATTATTAACTAAGAGACAATTTTTGAAAATTCAAAATTCTTTCAATGGTTTAAAATAGAAAAGAATTTTAATAATTTAAGATTCCAAAAAAATCAATAAAATTTAAATTGAATATTAACTAAGGGCCTATTTTTTAAAATTCAGAATTCTTTCAATGATTTGAAATAGAAAATAATTTAAATCACTATTTTAACAAGTAAAATTTCAAAAAAATCAATAAAATTTGAATTAAAAAATTACTAAGAGACTATTTTCTGAACTTCGAAAATTCAGAATTCTTTCACTGATTTTCTAATAAAAAAGAAAATAGTTTAAAACAATTTTAACAAGTAAAATTTCCAAAAAAATCAATACAATTTAAATTAAAAATTAACTAAGAGATTATTTTCTGAATTTTGAAGAGTCAGAATTCTGTCAATGATTTAAAATAGAAAACTAAAATAATTTTAGTAATTGAAAATTTCGAAACGATCAAATTGGAAAATAACTAAGACTATTTCTAAAAATTCAGAACTCTTCCAATAGAAAGAAATTTCAATTCAAAATTTATTTTCTATAATTTATATCCATGTCCCATTATTTATTCGTCTAAAGAAATAAAAAGAAATTAACCAGAAAAAATTGATTTATTTCTAAATAAGTAGATGTCAAAGTAAATTCGAATTTTCTCGATTGAGATTGAAAATTCAGTGTCAGAATTTTAGTTTCTTAGTCTTTAAATTCAAATAAAACGAAAGTTAATAAAGAAAAATAATTACCTTTCCACAGAAGGTACAAGTATATTTACTGTGCTGCGTAATTTCCATCTTTTTCACCATTTTTCTAAGGGAGGCACCATATCTGGTACCATACTTCCCGGTGATTCCTACCTTCTTGGTACGCTTGGCCTGTAAAATAAAAATACATCACTAACACAATTCACTCCTAACTCATTATTTATAAAAACAAAATCACAAATATAACAAATTATTATTACAAAAATTATAAAATCATCATCATTTAAATTTTTTTACATTAAAAAAATACGAAAAATACACTCCGATTTAGTCATGTGACATAACCTCCAAACATCAATAAACAAAATTTAGAGAAATTATTTTTAAAAAATCGACACTTTGGAATTTAATTTCTAAATGTTATTTATAGAATATTTTTTTCAATTTTCACTGTTTTATTCAATTTAAAGCAACATTTAACTTCACTTCTTGCAACAATTGACAACATAACCTCACCATTTGTTCAAATCTGAATTACTGTCAAATTACACAGGTTTCGGAGGAAATAATTATTTAAACATATAAACGTATGTTTACAATTTACAATTTAACAGTTTTTTAATAATAATTTGTTGTGATTACACGAAAAAAATGAGATTATTTCACTTACCATTTTTGTATTGATACAATACACACGTCAAAAGAACCGGAAAAGAAACGCGGTTCAATGAAATCAAAATGGCGTTGCCTTCGTTTCGGCAACTTCCGGTTATTTGAATTTTTAAATTTCAATTTCGTAAATTTAGAAAAATCGAATAATTAAATAATTATTAGAAAGAAAAAAATAACTGAATGTTTTAAAATTTATTGTTTTTTTTTTGCTAATTTTATTAACATTGTTATTTATATAATTTTTTTTATATAAAAAATTTTTTATTTTTTTCGGAATTTTTTTTTTTTTGTAATTTTCTAAATTAAAAGCATTTAGTAATAAAACTCGAATGTGAGTCTCTACTTTTTCTTCGTCTTCGTGTTTTACTTTGTTGTCTCTCTATTTGTTTCATGGAAGGGAATTCTATTTTAATTCGGTTCCAAATTACAGTAATTACGTGTGTCACAAAACATATGACTCCTTGTTTTCTGTAATATTTTAAATTATAGAGGTAATTAAACAATGATTATAATTAATTATCCCTAAAATAAAAAAAAAATTAATTTTTATTAATTAATTATTAATTAATTATAGTATTAGTCAATTATTAAAAATTTATTATTAATGAATTGTTAATTAATTAATTATTTCTCAATTATTAATCAATTTCTTATTAATTATTGTTAAAAAATTTCTGATTATTATTAATCATTAATTAATTAATTGTTAGTCAATTATTAATTTTTTTATTATTAATCAATGATTAATTAATTATTAGTAATCAATGCTTAATTAATTTTTTGTTAATCAATTATAAATTATTTTTAGCCAATTATTAATTAATTATTATTAATCAAGTACTAATTAATGAAGTAATAATCTATTTTTTAATAATTATTGTTATTCAATTCTAAATTATTGTTGATAAATTCCTCATGATTATTAATCAATTATTAATGATTATTAATCAATTATTAATTAATAATTGTAAATCAAATATTAACTAATTTTTTGTTAATCAATTATAAATTATTTTTAGTCAATTATTAATTAATTATTATTAATCAAGTGTTAATTAATGAATTAATAATCTATTTTTTAATAATTATTGTTAATCATTTCCTAATGATTATTAATCAATTATTAATGATTATTAATCAATTATTAATTAATTATTGTAAACCCAAATATTAATTAATTTTTTGTTAATCAATTATAAATTATTTTTAGTCAATTATTAATTAATTATTATTAATCAAGTGTTAATTAATGAATTAATAATCTATTTTTTAATAATTATTGTTATTTAATTTTAAATTATTGTTAATCAGTTCTTAATGTCTATTAATCAGTTATTAATTAATTATTGTAAATCAAATATTAATTAATTTTTGTTAATCAATTCTTAATTAATTTTTTTGTAATAAATTATGAATGATTATTATAAGTCAATTATTAAATAATTATTATTAATAGTTATTAATTAATTGCAATTGTTTATAAAAATATAATATTTTTTTAAAAATAATTTTTGAAAGTAAAATATAAAAAAGGCAAATTTAACTTTATAGTAAATAATAATTAAATATAACAAAATTACTTGAGAATTGAAAAATCGAGTGTCCTTGTAACGTGGAGGCTGAGATAAAATAATGTCAAAGCAGTAAATAAACATAAAAGTTCTAAAAAATTATAATTTGTATAAAAAATTTCGACTAATTTTGAACAACCAAATTTATCCAATATCTGTAAAGTAAAAAAAAAATTATTTACTTTAAATTAATAAACATACAACAAAAATTGGTTTTAATTTAAATTAATCTACTAAATTTGGAGTAAAAATTTATATTTTTTCCAATCTTTAAAAAATTTGGATAATTTTTTTATTATTTAGAAATTAACAATTTAAATAATTATACTCATGAAAATATTGTAATTTGGGAAAAAATTCATAAACATTACTTCATTTAATTTTTTCGGCAAAGTTCTCATGATAATCACGTCAATTGGTGTCCAAATACAGGCCAATGAGAATTCCAACAAAAACATTGTTGCTAAAAACTAATTAAACATTTAATTCAATTTTTAATAAAAACTAATTGACAAAAAAAAATTCTCAAATTAAAAATTATAAAATTAAATTTAAATTATTTTTATAATAATTTGTCTTTTATAAAATACAATTACTTTTATTGAATGAAAATTACTTTCACAAGAAAGTAGTTTCATAATTAACTAAATTACTAAATAAAAGTAATTTTTAAAAAATTTAAAATAATTAATTAAGGGGATTTGAACCTTGATGACGTCATAGTTTGTGCAAAGCATTAGTTTTAAATCTGTGACGTCATCATGGTTCAAATGCCCTTAATGTAATTTAATTTTAATTTTTAAAAATTAAATAAATAAAAGTAATTTTTCATAAAAAATTACTTTTATAATAAAACAAAATTAAAAATTTCAAAAACAATTTTCAAAACATAATTAATAAAAAAGAATTAAAAATTAAACGATAAGTAATAAATAATTTATGAATAATTATACAAAAAAAATTTTTAAATTGCAAAAGAAATTTTAAAAAAGATAACAACAGAATAGAAATAAAAAACATAAACAAAAAATTTATAAAAGATTAGGTTATAATTAAAATTAATTAATTTAAAAAAAGAAACTAATAAATTAATTTTTTTTTAAATTTTTACCTCATAGAGGGAAAGTAAAGCAATCGGGGGCTTTCGAAAAGTATTTGGAAAGAGGTTTATTTTTAAAATAATTATATAAATTGCAGATGCAAATAAAAAGGAGGTTAAAGGTGGTCCAGAGAGGAGTGGTTTACCATCCCAATCTTCCAAATCATTTGCAAAACATGTTTGAAAAACAAAAATTCCAAGGACATGTAATAAAAAAGCCCAAAATGTATTCAAAAATTTTGCCATTTCAAAATATAACCAATGATTTTGAATAGTTTCAATGTAATCACTTTTTTCTTTTAATAATGTTTAATAACAAAGTTAGATAACTGAAGTTCATCATTAATCGTTTCTGGAAATTCGACTTTTCAAAAAAAAAAACAAACAAAATGTTTTATATTACGTTTCTATTTTATAAATAAAAATATTAATAATTAATAATATTTTATAAATGTGTATAAATAAATAAATAAATAAATATTTATAAATAATTTTTTTTCTATTTTTTATTACTTTTATTATTGTTTGTATTTTTTATATATTTTTCTTATTATTTGTAAATTATATTATTAATATTTATAAATAATAATCGTTAGTTCCGAATTCGAGAATAATTTATTAATATCTAATTTATTAGAAAAAATTCAGAGAAAATAAAATAAAAAATAATAAAATGAATAATAAAATTTTTGTTTATAATAAATATTGTTAATATATAATATTGGTTAAATTTCTTGCAAGTGGAAAATGGAAAAAATTCGTAAAGTTTTCAAAAATATTGCCTGAACCGAATTAAAGAAAATTTTTTTAATTTAAACAATCTAAAATAAATTAAATAAAATAATTAAATTTTTTTTCAATTGCCCGAACAAATAATAATTAATACAATAATAATTAATAATTAATAATAATTATACAAAAATAAATATATTATTTTTTTCTTGCAATTACAATATTTCTATTTTATTCTAAATTTTATTCTAAATAAAAAGACAAAATATGAAAAATTTGTTCTTAATTTTTGTTAAAACAATCAAGAAAATAAGTTTTTATAATTTATTATACAATAAGGACATGTTTAAAGTACAATTCGATAACATAAAATTTGTACAAATTTGTTCTTTTTTAATATAAAAAAAAAAATTGAACTCGACACGTTGGAAGATTTCGAGAGAATTAAAAAAAAATTGTTTTCTAATCCGGCGATTCAAATGAATATGAATTTCTATATTCTTCTACATCGTCACTAGCCAAACTTTGGCATTTGTCAGAAAAATAATCAGCATCATCGGAATCATCATATTCAGTATCTCCACTTCCATCTTTATTTCTCAAAAAAAATTTCTCCTCCCTAAAAAAAAATTTTTTTTCATTTCAATGTCTATGTGGGGTAAAAAATTAAAAACTAATATAATCTTGTGGAAGAATAAACAATTTTTTTTTATCAATTTCCTAAAAAAATTATTAAAAAAATTATTTGTTGACTAAAATATATTTTTCAAATTTTAGAAAATAATAAAAGTAATTTTAATTTCACTTCTTCTCGTGAAATACTTTACTACTTGGTCCAGATATCGAGAATTCCATCCAGTGATTCTGTTGCGTCCAGCATCCAAACGAAGGATAAGAGTGATAAGCAAAAAGCTGTGTGAAATGCGGCCATTTCATCGCACATGTAAGCTGCAAGTGCATTAAGAAACGAATAACGATCTAGACCCAATGCATCATTCAACCACTCCAACTAGAAATTAATTCAATAATTACGGAAAAAATTACATTTCTCAAAATATTACAAAATTTATTGTTCTCATTAGGATTTAATTAATTATTTAAAAAGAAATTCATTTAAAAATACTTTCATCTTCTTTTATTCACAACTTTTTAATGTGAATGAATTTTTTTTAATTAATTAAATAAATAAATTTTAATTAATTAATTGAACTATTAAATTAACTATTAGACTGAAGCAAATGATTTTTTTAGTGTAAATAAGCAAATTCAAATTAAATAATTAATTTTTCTTAATATTTAATTAATTATTTGAAGAGAAATTTATTTAAAAGTACTTTTTTATTTATTATTTTTATTTATTTATTTATTTATTTATTTATTTATTTATTTATTTAATTAATTAAATAAATAAATTTGAATTGAACTATTAAATTAACTATTAAACTGAAGCAATTAATTTTTTTTAGTGTAAATAAGTAAATTCAAATTAAATATTTAATTTTTCCTATATTATTTAATTAATTATTTAAAGGGAAATTCTTTCTTAAGTACTTTTATTTTTTTACTTCTTCTACTTTTAATTTCTTTAATAACTTTTTAATGTAAATAAATTTCTTTTGAAATTTTAATTAATTAATTAAATAAATTAACTGAAATTTAATAATTGAACTATTACATTAATTATTAATTACGTTAACTATAAAAGAATTTAAATTAATTATTTTTTTCTAATTACAGGGTTGCCACAAAAATTTAATTTTGATTTTCCCTGACTTTTCCCTGATTTCCAGACAAAATTTTGACTTTTTCCCTGACCCTGAAGAATATACTGATTCACACCAAAAATTATTCATGCTATAATGCTTTTAATTAATATTCAATTATAATTTAAATTTTTAAGTGAAATTCATTTTTTAATCAATTTTTATTAGAAAATTTTTCGAGCATTCAATTATTTGAATACAAAAATAAATAATTTATTAAATAATTGAATATTTCTTAAAATTTATTGAATTTTTATAAAGAAATTTATAAAAAAATTTAAAAATAATATTGAATTCTTTCGGCGAATTTAAAAAAAAATTTTTTAAATAAATGCAATTTTTTATCATTTTATTATTTAAAATTGTATAAAAAATAATTTAAATTTTGCGATAAGTTTTGTTATTTTATAAAAATAATTTAAATCTTGCAAAGAATTTTATTAAAAATTTTTTAAAGAATTGAATTCCTGTGAAGAATTTTATTTGTAAAAATAATTGAATTCCGGAGAAAAATATTATTATTTATGATATTAATTAATTATTTTCTTGTGAAGAATTTTATTCAAATTTTTTTAAATAATTGAATTTCTCAGAATTTTTTAAAACTTTTTAAAAATAATTAAATTCCATCGAGAAATTTCATTAGAAAATTGAAAATAATTGAAATCTGACGAAAAATATTATTAATTGTTTTTTTTTAAATAATTGAATTCCTGTGAAAAGTTTTATTTTTGAAAAGAATTGAATTCTTGGGAAGAATTTTATTAAAATTTTTTAAATAATTGAATTGCTTCGAAGAATTCTATTTTTTACGAAAATAATTGAATTTTTTCGAAGAATTAATATTTTTTACGAAAATAATTGAACTGTTTCGAAAATTTTTTTACAAACATTTTTGACAATAATTGTAATTTCCAGGAAGAATGTTATATTTTACGGAAATAATTGTATTCTATGATCAATTTTATTATTATTTTTTAAATTTATAATTTTATCAAAATTTTTTAAAATAATTGAATTCTTGAGAAAAGTGTTATTATATTTATGAAAAGAATTGATTTCTTGCGAGGAATTTTATTCGAATTTTTTTCAAATAATTGAATTCCCATAAAAAAGGTATTATTTTTGAAAATAATTGAATTCTCAAGAAGAATTTATTGTATTGATAATAATTGAATTGAATAGGAAAATTTTATTAAAATTGCAATTTTATTATTTTGTAAAGAATTATGTCAACATTTTTTTAAATAACAGAATTTTTCAAAGAATTTTATTTAAATTTTTCGAAATAATTGAATTATCCAGAACTGTTTTTTTCAATTCTCTAAATATATTTGAATTCTTATAAAAAAAATTGGTAAGTAATTGAATTCCTGTGAAATTTTTATTAAAATTTTGTTTAAATAATTGAATTTTTTTGGAAAATTTTATTAAAATAGTATATATTAAAAATAATTGAAATGGGGAAAATTTTTGAAAATAATTGAAATTTTGTCAAGAATTTTATTAAATTTTTTTGAAAATAATTGAATTTCGGAGAAGAATTTTATTATTTATAAAAATAATTGAAATTTTGATGAGAATTTTTATAAATTTTTTAACATAATTGAATTTATGCGAAGAAGTATATCACTTTTGAAAATAATTGAATTTCTGTAATCAGATATTTTAAAAATTTCTATTTAAATTCATTAAAAATTGAAATTTTCTAAAATTTCAAAAAAAAAACTAAATAAAAATCCCTGACTTTTCCCTGATTTCCCTGAATTTCTTGTCTTCCCTAACTTGTGGCAGCCCTGAATTATTTAATTAATTATTTAAAGAAAAATAAATTTAAAAATATTAAACATTTTTTTTTAGAAATTTTTAATTTATGTAAACAGACTATATATTTATAATTTACAGAAAAAAATGTCTCTTAAAAATACGGTCTAATTAATTAATAATTATAATTTCTTACGAACCCATCTACTCGATTCTTGTGTCATACACCAAATTGCATTCACAAGTGGAACCCAAATTGCTTTCATAGATAAATTTGTTACTAAAGAAGATACCATCATCTAAAAAATTATAAATAATTATTATTATAATATTGCATTTATTATTATTTTATATTTCTATCAATTTACTATTTCTAATTAATTATTTTTATATTATTCAATTTCAATTTACTTTAATTATTTATTTTATTCTTTTTAATTGTTTAAAGTAAAAAAAAAATTGTCAAGTAAAAAAAAAAAATTATTTGATTCAAATAACCGATTACTTGTCTATTATCAAATAATTTGTTTTTATTTTTTTATTAATAATAAAAAATAATTATTTAAAATAATCATTAATATAATATTAATTAATCAAATAATTTATTTGTTTAGTTAAACGGGCAAAAGGCACAGTAATTAATAAATTATTAAAATTTATAATTAATTGATTAATTATTGATAAGTAATTGATTATGTAATTAATTAATTGTAAAATTAAAAATTATTCGTGCACTGTTAAAATAAAGAAAATAATTTTATAATTAATTGTAAAATAATAAAGATGTAAAAATTTTGAACATTACCTCATAAACAATCATTAATTGAACAGGTGGTTCCTTTAAAGATCGTGGCCATAATTTATACTCGGCAAGGAGACACAATACTGAGAAAATGAATAAAACTGATGCGTACGATGGATCGAAGGGTAAATTTAAATCATCATCGAAACACAATCCAATAATGCAAATTTGTCTTAAATGTATGTAAATTCCAGTGGCAACGATTATAATCCAATGATAATTAAAACACTCAAAAAAATTTTTTACCGCATCCATATTATTGTATATGGACAATTTCTCCGAAAATTATTTATTTTGGGCCCAATCTATTTTTTATTTGAGAATATAAAGTGTTTTATTAATTATTTTCAATTAATTTAATATTTTTAATATTTCATAATTAAATAATTTATTTCTATTGTTTAAAGAAATAAAAAGAAATATTTATTAATTATTTTCAACTAATCTGATAATTATTTCTAACTAGTTTAATAAATTTAATTTAGTAATTTAATAATTTATCTATTTAGTGATTTAATAATTTAACAGTTTATTTCTAAATAAAGAAAAAATTATAATTATAATTCTGTTTTATTTATTTTAAAGTTAACCAAAAATTTGCTAAAGTGTCAAATATAAAACACTGAATATTTTTTTCTCTGTTAATTAGTATTATTATTATTATTGGTTCAATTATGTTGCACTTACTGTAATATTTTTGTTTTCCAAATCCGATGAACTAAATTATTCACTGACTTTTACCGAATTTTTCACACTTCTCGATTTCGACGATAAATTACAAATAATAATAAAAAAAAACAAAATTAACGTGAATCTCAACATTTAAATTTTTTCCACTTCTCATATGTACAATTATTTTTTTAAAAAAACTGTCACATACGTCAAAAATTTGAAATTAGCGTTGGAAATTGTTTTCCTCCCTTTCAATTGTTTCATTAAAATTTTCACAATTTTATACCTTTTTTTAAATAATAATTTTTAAATAATAATTTTTAAATAATTAAATAATAATTTCTAAATAATAATAGATTTGGAATTAATTTTTAATTCATAAATTAATTTTTCATTTATTATTTAATATTTATTAGTTCTTAAAATTAATTAAATTAATTCATTAAAAAATATTTTTCAATTAAATTGAAAATTTATAAAAAATAAATAAATATTAATAAATAAATAAAATTGCAAATTAATTAAAAAAATTCTAATTCAATTAATTCCGTTGTGTTAACAAATTTTATAGAAAATGAATCTATTTAATAAATAGACGACAAAAAATATTTAAAAAAAAATTTCTTTGTGAAAATTAAAAAACTTTTTTTTTTTTTTTATTTAACAAATGCTCGGAAAATGACATTGTAGCTTTCAGAAAGCTAAGTACTGGAAAAAGCCTGCCATTGAAATAATGGACAATGAAAGCGTTCAAGGAAAAATAAAAGAGGGTAAAAACCAGAGAAAAAGAGATCGTGTGGACAAGAGAATTCCATTATCTTTACTTCAGATGCAATTTTAAAAATGAGGGTCAACAATTGATTTAGATTTAGAAGCGACAAGATTTCAAAAATCAAGTGGAAAAATATTTATTGTTTTTTAAAAAAAGAAAAAAAATTTTTTTTTAAATAACTACCATCGCAAATCGCAATGTTATTCAGTCCACTGGTATATACTCTTTCCTTTTTCTAACAGATGTTAGCTACAGGAAAAAAAAACGATCTTTTATGTGGTTTCTCATAAATAATGCATTGCATTTAGAGATGGACTCTTTTCATAAGGGTAGAAGGTAGAATAATGCGCATTTGTTATCAGTTTTTCTACTAGAAAAGAAAAATAAATAAATAAATATTTTATACACTAACTAATACTGTTAAATTAATCATACACCCACTTCTTTCCCACTTTTTTAATCAAATATCCTCCTCCACCATTACATTTGCATTGTTCTATTATTTTATCTCGATACATCGCTTGAATGAAAAGAATAAAAATTTTCCCTTAAAAATAAGCTGATAAATCTAGAACTTGGAGATATCGGGAAATTGCTCTTCACAAGCTAAGCTCTCTTATGGCGCTCTTTCTTTCTTTCTTTCTTTTTACCTTCCATTTCATGACAATAAAAAAAGTCCACAGAGACAGATAGAGGATTTAAATTAGAGAAAATTATATAATTACACATGAATCTTAAGATGATAAAATTTAATATTATATATTATATTCGTTCATCGCGCTTTAAAAATATCTTCTATAAGAGATTTATAAATTAAAATTTATCAATTATATACATGGTTGCCACAAAATGATAAATATAAAATTCCAGAATTTTCCAGGTCAATACTTATGAAATTCTATTCAAAAATTAAAAAACTTTCTGTCCCAATAACACATTTTCAGCTCTAAAAATTTTTTTAAACTTCCAAATACACCAAAAACTTATAATAAGAATTACAAACAAAAACTTTTTCTTCCTCAGAGATTTTTATATGGCAATGAGAAAAAAATATTTTTTAATTTAATTTAATTTCAGACATTTTTTTCAATTCAAAAAAAATTATTTACTGTTGCTAAACTATGGCAAGAACAATACTAATTAATATCTGAGTCATCAAAATTAATTACAATCACAATTCATAAAAAGTAACCACAGCCGATAATCAGCAGAAGATGAAAAATTATTTTTTGAGTGAACTTTATTTGCTGTTTACTAACAATTTTCAGTATCAAAAATTTTTACTGGTCCTAAACTATTGATAGAACAATTCCAAAAATTATCTAGGTACTAGGTCATAAAAAATGATTTAATGAAAAATTTCCCAAAAGTAACCACAGCCGATAATCAGCAGAAGATGAAAAATTATTTTTTGAGTGAACTTTATTTGCTGTTTACTAACAATTTTCAGTATCAAAAATTTTTACTGGTCCTAAACTATTGATAGAACAATTCCAAAAATTATCTAGGTACTAGGTCATAAAAAATGATTTAATGAAAAATTTCCCAAAAGTAACCACAGCCGATAATCAGCAGAAGATGAAAAATTATTTTTTGAGTGAACTTTATTTGCTGTTTACTAACAATTTTCAGTATCAAAAATTTTTACTGGTTCTAAACTATTTCTAGAACAATTCCAATAATTATCTAGGTCATAAAAAATTATTTAATTAAAAATTTACTAAAAGTAACCACAGCCGAAAATCAGCAGAAGATGAAAAATTATTTTTTGAGCGTTCTTTATCTTCAGTTTACTAACAATTTTTAGTCACAAAATTTTTTACTGGTCCTAAAATATTGCTAGAACAATTCCAAAAATTATCTAAGTCATAAACAATTATTTAAATAAAAATTTACCAAAAGTAACCACAGCCAAAAATCAGCAGAAGATGAAAAATTATTTTTTGAGCGATCTTTAGTTTCAGTTTACTAACAATTGTTTGTCAACAAATTTTTTACTGTTTCTAAACAATGACTAGAACAAAATTTTCTCAAAAATCTTTAAAAAAAAAACAGGCGAAATTCCAGAAAATTTTTTAAATTCCATACCTTTTCCAGGTTTTACAGGATTTCCAGGCTATGTGGCAACCATGTTTATAGCTTTTGTTTTGCAAAAAAATTAAGGCATATGAATATCCGATCAAAAGATATTAGTTAGAATATTTATATTAGAAGATGAATTTTATTGAAAAGAATTTTCGAAAAGCTAAATAAAATAATTTTGATTTTACAATTAAAAAAAAAGAAAGAATGTCAAGTTCAGGTTGTTTAAAGTAGTTCTAGTAATTTTTTTTGGGTTCTAAAATAGGTAACTTGCCACTGGAAAGTTACTAAATAACAAGCTTGTTGTTAAAGAATTTTATTGTGACTTTTAAATAGTAGCAGGTCCACCCGTAGGCCATCTGACAATCAAAACAAGAAAAAATGTACCAATTGGTTTGTTTAAAATAGTTCTAGTAATTTTTTTTTTGGGTTGTAAAAGAAGCAAATTGTTGCTAGGAGGTTGCTAAACAACATGCTGGTTGTTAGGGAATTTTATTTTGCCTTTTAAGTAGTAGCAGATCCACCCGTACGCCAACAGACAATCTAAAAAGAAAGAATGTCAAGTTTAGGTTTTAAAGTAGTTCTAGTAATTTTTTTTTGGCTGTAAAAGAAGCAAATTGTTGCTGGAAGGATACTAAACAACATACTGGTTGTTAAAAAATTAAAATTTGTCTTTTAAGTAGAAGAAGGTTCACCCGTACGCCATCAGACAATAAAAAAAAAAATGTCAAGTTTAGGTTGTTTTAAATAGTTCTAGTAATTTTTGTGGTTTGTAGAAGTAGCAGTTGTTGCTAGCAAGATATTAAACAACACGCTGATTGTTAAGAAATTTTATTTTGGGTTTTAAGTAGTAGGAGGTTCATCCGTACGCCATCAGACAATCAAAAAAAGAAAAAATGTAGAGTTTAGGTTGTTTTAAAGTAGTTCTAGTAATTTTTTTTGGGTTCTAAAATAGGTAACTTGCCACTGGAAAGTTACTAAATAACAAGCTTGTTGTTAAAGAATTTTATTGTGACTTTTAAATAGTAGCAGGTCCACCCGTAGGCCATCTGACAATCAAAACAAGAAAAAATGTACCAATTGGTTTGTTTAAAATAGTTCTAGTAATTTTTTTTTTGGGTTGTAAAAGAAGCAAATTGTTGCTAGGAGGTTGCTAAACAACATGCTGGTTGTTAGGGAATTTTATTTTGCCTTTTAAGTAGTAGCAGATCCACCCGTACGCCAACAGACAATCTAAAAAGAAAGAATGTCAAGTTTAGGTTTTAAAGTAGTTCTAGTAATTTTTTTTTGGCTGTAAAAGAAGCAAATTGTTGCTGGAAGGATACTAAACAACATACTGGTTGTTAAAAAATTAAAATTTGTCTTTTAAGTAGAAGAAGGTTCACCCGTACGCCATCAGACAATAAAAAAAAAAATGTCAAGTTTAGGTTGTTTTAAATAGTTCTAGTAATTTTTGTGGTTTGTAGAAGTAGCAGTTGTTGCTAGCAAGATATTAAACAACACGCTGATTGTTAAGAAATTTTATTTTGGGTTTTAAGTAGTAGGAGGTTCATCCGTACGCCATCAGACAATCAAAAAAAGAAAAAATGTAGAGTTTAGGTTGTTTTAAAGTAGTTCTAGTAATTTTTTTTGGGTTGTAAATAAAGCAAATTGTTGCTAGTGGGATACTAAACAACACTCTGGTTGTTAAGAAATTAAAATTTGGCTTTTAAGTAGTAGCAGGTCCACCTGTACGCCATCAGACAATGAAAAAAGAACGAATGTCAAGTTCAGGTTGTTTTAAAGTTGTTCTAGTAGTTTTTTTTAGGTTGTAAAAAAAGCAAATTGTTGTTGGGAGGATACTCAACAACATTCTGGTTGTGAAAAAATTAAAATTTGGCTTTTAAGAAATGGCAGGTCTACCCTACCGTACGCCATCAGAAAATCGAAAAAAGAAATAATGTCAACTTTAGGATGATTTAAAGTAGTTGTAATAATTTTTTTTGTGTTGTAAAAGAAGCAAATTGTTGCTGGGAGGTTGCTAAATAATACCCTGGTTGTTATGAAATTTTATTTTGGCTTTTAAGTAGCAGCAGGTCCATCCGTATGTCATCAGACAATCATTAAAAGAAAGAATGTCAAGTTTAGATTGTTTTAAAGTAGTTCTAGTAATTTTTTTAGGTTGTAAAATAGGTAAATTGTCACTGGGAGGTTATTAAACAACACGGTATGTGTTAAGTAATTTTATTTTGGTTTTTAAGCAGTAGCAGGTTCACCCGTACACCATCAGACAATCGAAAAAATTAATAATGTACCGATCAGTTTGTTTTTAAGTAGTTCTAGTAATTTGTTTTGGGTTGTAAAGGAAGCAAATTGTTGCTGGGAGGTTGCTAAACAACACTCTAGTTGTTAAGAAATTAAAATTTAGCTTTTAAGTAGTAGCAGGTCCACCAGTACGTCATCAGACAATGAATAAAGAACGAATGTCAAGTTCAGGTTGTTTTAAAGTAGTTCTAGTAGTTTTCTTTGGGTTGTAAAAAAGAAAATTGTTGTTGGGAGGATACTAAACAACACCATGGTTGTTAAGAAATTTAATTTTGCTTTTCATTCTTTTTGCTTTTGCGGGCAATTCAAAACACTGTTTCCTCTGCAACTCCGAATATTTTTAAGTAATTCTGAAATTAACTGTTACTTCAAATATTTCGATTGGTAATTGATACTTCTAACTGATTTGATAATAACAAATTGTAAATAATTAAAATTAGTGGTACTCGCAAATGTTATAAATTGTATTATATAAATTTATCGATTATGGCAATTGGCCCTATTCCAATTATTGTTTGCGACGAATTACAATTGCTATATAACCTATTTCTTGATGCGAAGAGAAGCTGAGAAAATTCACAATAACTTAGGTAAATTTATTGTTAAATAGAGCCGTTTGAATGGGAGAAAATGATTTGAAACTTAGTTAGTCTCAAAGGGCGTAGCTCCTTGAAATTGAATTTTGTTTCCTGTGTTAGTGAAACTGAGTGTGTATCATCTTGGAAAACTAGATTACACCATCTCTCTTGCATCATTCTTAAAGACCACTTTCAACTTTCAAATACACCCTTCACGATTTGTCTTTCGAATGACACTTCGTAAAATTTTCTTTTTCAAAACTTTAATTAAATACCGAACACTGTGAAACATCCTCTGTAGCAGAGAAAAAATATACTTGATTTAAAAACATATTTATTAGTCGTAAGCTTATTATTTATTAATTATATATTTTTTATATTAAACTTATTCTTTATTATTATTTATTAGTCATATTTTTCAACCATAATTGTCGTACAAAAATTACAAAAACGAAAAAGTTTTTATACTAAATTTTAATACCTTAAAAAATCAATTACAAAAATCCTTTTCAATTCAGTTTAATAGTTATTGAAAATAGAATTTCTTTTCGAAATTTAATTTTAATACTTTCTCTGAGAAGTAGAAAAAAATGAAAAGTGTCGAAAACTTTGTATAGAAATTAAAATCGAACAATCATTTTTTGTTACGTAATTTCTTGATACCCATAAAGGTCGAAAGGGAAAATAGAGAAGTACGTAATCTTTGTTTTCAACCTTGATAAAAAAGATCGTATAAGGAAAAATTTTTTTCTACAAGAACCAGAAATGAGGAATGGCAGAAAAAATGGTAGAACTCGTTAAAATAATAGTTTCGTTGACTAAGGTGATTTAAAAAAGAAAGAAAAATCAAAAAGTTTACTCTTCTTTTGTCACGTTCGAATTCTTTGTTCTTTTTAAAAATCTAATTGTTCTTATTACTTGCAAGTGATTATTATAAATTATAATTTATTATATATTTATAATATATATTTATTAGTAATAATATATTTATTGCTATAAATACATTTCTTTATTTTTTACACCCTAAATTTTAATTAGTAAATATGTGAAGAAATTTTGTCGCAGTTGTTAGAATTCTGCCAAAAATTTTTTTTTACTAATTTTTCGACTTCTTTTCTGTTATGATAATATTTGAGGAAAAAAATTCATAATAATCGTTTGTATTTTCCCCCTATTGTCAGATATCAAAGAGTTTTTCAGATAAAAAACGAAGGGTGGGGAATGCACATAAACCCTGAAACTACGGAGCACTCGTCACTGGCACACGGGCCACGTCGACGGTCAGGCCAGTCTTACAATCAATCTCGCGTTGCTAGTATCGCGTGAAAAGATTAAATTACATATTCCATTACTGTCGTTCGTGCAAAACTCTTTTTCTTCACAGAAACTTATTTTTATTTTAGTGATTTTTTCATCCACTAAGGATCTAATTTATTTTCAATTCATTCAGAGGTAAGAAGTTTACAATCAAAAATAAGTAATTAATAGAGGAAAATAAAAATAATTTTTTGTGTATTTAAAAACAAATTTTTTCTCTTTCAAACAAAATATTTTGTATGTAATATAAATTTGTATTTAAAAAAAGTGAATTCAAAAAATGAATGGAAAAAATTAATTCTAAAAATGAATTTAAAAAATTAATTTAAAAAATTAATTCAAAAAATGAATTCAAAAAATGAATTTAAAAAATTAATTTAAAAATTAATTCAACAAATGAATTTAAAAAATTAATTCAAAAAACAAATTCAAAAAATTAATTAATAATAATTAAATTATTATTAATAAATCATAATAGAGAAAAAAATATTTTTTGTGTAAAAACAAATTTTTGTATTTGACACAAAATTTTGGTATCTAAATGAATTTGTATTTAAAAAAAATTAAACTTAAAAAACAATTGTATTAAAAAATGTTTGTATTTAAAAAAAACTCGTATTTAAAAAAAATTGTGTTAAAAAAATGTTTCTATTAAAAAAACTTGAATTTAAAAAAATTTTTCTATTCAAAAAACTTGTATTTAAAAAATTTTTTGTATTAAAAAATATTTATTTAAAAAATATTTATTTAAAAATGCGTGTATTTAAAAAAATTGTTTGTATTTTAAAAAAAAAATTTTTTCTGTTTAACGGCAAATAAAAATTTGTTTCTATTAAAAAGTAAATAAATTGATTAATTAACAATATACTTTATCGCCTACGACGACAAGAATCGTGCTTATCAAAATGAAGTGGAAACTGCTTTTTATAAACGTCTGACATTTAAATGAGAGTTCATTGCTCAATTTGTTTTGGCAAGACCAAGGGCAGTGAAGGGAATTAGCATAAAATGTACGAGATTTAGCAATTATTGTTTATAAATTATAAATTAGAAATTTAATGTGCATTTATATTTATTGACAATTCAATAATTTAAAAAAAAAGAAATGCTCTTCTCAATTTTGATTGCACTTGTTGAAATTTATTTTTTCATTTTTCGCATCTGGTCTCAACAGCTAATCCAGTAATATTAATTAGCAACGTTATTAATAATTAGCACCGTTAATTAATTAATTAACTACCAAGTTAATTAAAAAACTGTGATTATAAATAAAATCACAAATCAATTTTGTCTAAATAATTAAGTAAATCATTTCAATAAATTAATTGGGTTCTAAAGAATAAACATGATTGTTAATAAATTTATAAAATAAATTTATAAAGTAAATTTATATAATAAATTTATATAATAAATTTATATAATAAATTTATAAACTAAATTTACAAAATAAATTTATAAAGTAAATTTATAACATAAATTTATAAACTAAATTTATAAAATAAAGTAAATTTATAAATAAATAAATACATAAATAAATAAATTTATAAATAATTTTTACTAAATAATGAAGTAATCATTTTAATAAATTAATTAAGCACTGAGTTAGCTAGAAAAATTTAACTGTAAACAAATTTTTTATAAATCAATTTATAAATTAATTTAACTAAATAATTAAGTAAGTCATTTAAATAAATATGGAAAAAAATTAGATAAATAATATAAATAAATTCATAAAGTAAATTTATAAATAAATAAAGTTATAAATAAATTTACAAATGAATAAATTTTAAATAAATTTCACTAAAAAATTAAGTAAATCGCACCTCAATAAATTAATTATGCACTAAGTTAGACAGAAAAATTAGATTATAAATAAATTCATAAAATAAGTTTAAAAATAACAAATAAATAAACTTATAAATAAATTAACAAATGAATAAATTTATAAATAAATTGCACTAAATAATTAAGAAAATCATCTTAATAAATTAATTAGGTACTAAATTACATAGAAAAACTTGATTATAAATAAATTTATTAATAAACAAATTTATAAATAAATAAACTTAAAAATAAATTAACAAATGAGTAAATTTATACATAAATTTGACAAAATAATTAAGTAAATCATCTCAATAAATTAATTAGACACTAAGTTAGATAGAAAAACTAGATTATAAATAAATTCATAAAATAAATTTATAAATAAATATGTAAACTTATAAATAAATTAACAATTGAGTAAATTTATAAATAAATTTCACAAAATAATTAAGTAAATCACCTCAATAATTTAATTAGGCACTAAGTTACATAGAAAAACTTGATTATAAATAAATTTATTAATAAAAAATTTATAAATAAATAAACTTTTAAATAAATATCCTAGTAAATTAATTTATAAATTAATTTGAATAAATAATTAGGTAGATAATTTAAATAAATTAATTACATACAAAGTTATAGCTAGAAATACTGCAGATTATAAATAAATTTATAAATCCATTTATAGATAAATTTGACTCAATAATAAAATAAATCACCAAAAAATAATTCATAAAATAAGAAATGCATTATTAAATAAATTAAAATAAATCAATATTATTTATCAGTTTCATTAATTAATTTATTAATAGGTATTAGTAATTAATCACAATAAATTATTAATTTATTAATAACTTTATTTATTGTTATTCTGAAAAATTATTTTTTCGTTATTAAATTTTTAAAATAATTATTTTTAATAATTAATCATTAATTAATATTAACTTTAATTATATCAGTTAATATTAATATTAACAATTAATAATAATAACTAATAATAATTGTAATGAATACAAAAGAATTATTATTCTTGGATAAAATTTTTTCTGTAATTAGAATAAATCGTTGAATTTTGCACTGAAGAAAAATTTATTTGATTCAAAAAAGCCGATCACTTGACTTTTATTAAAAAAATATTTACTTGAATTAACCAATTTTTATTATCAAATATTTACTATCAAATTTTTATTATCAAGTAAATAATTTTTGAATCAATAATTTCAATATCTGTTTAAAACAAATTACATTTTTTATTGACACGAATAAAATTTATTTGACACAAGTAAATATTTACTTAATACACAATATTTGTTTGATACAAATACCTAAATACATTGTTTGATACACATGAATATTTGTTTGATGCAGGTAAATATTTACTTGACACAGATAAATATTTACTTAAAACAGATAAATTTTTTATTTGATACAGATAAATATTTACTTGATACAGATAATTTTAAATTAAAATTATTAATAATTATTATTAATTATTTAAATTAAAATTAAATTTTAAATTTTTATTTGATACAGATAAATATTTACTTGATACAGATAAATATTTACTTGAAACACAAAAATATTTGTTTGATGCAGATAAATATTTACTTGACACACATAAATGTTTGTTTGATACAAATAATTACCAATTTGATGAAAAATAAATATTTATTTACCAACAGACAACTAATCATTTATCAAAATAAATTTAATTGTCAACCTTGATAAAATATAAAAATTCGTGATTTCCACATTCGGGTGGATTTTTAATTTCAATCCAATATTCTCGATAGGAATTTTGTGTGAATTTTGTATATATAATGAAATTCCGGAAATTTATTTTTAATCTCGTGTCGTCTCTGTTTTTGATTTGCCAGTGCAGTGTCAATATAAATTCAGTTCACTTTGATCTCAAGCATCTCAAGTGAAGTGATGGGGTTGCGTGAATGAATTGAAAAGGTTAAATGCAATTCATCGGGACTGAAGTTTAATTTCTGACAAGTGTTGAGTTTATTCATTAAAAAAAAAAAAATTAAAAAAAGAAGAAGGGGACAAAACACGTGTTGTTGGCAAAGAGAGAATGGCAATAAACGGAGTTTCCTTCATAGAAAAGTAAGAGTGGTTTACCCGACTGCCAAGAGTAATGACCATGACTCGTTTTTTATATATATATATATATATATTTGTTACGTTTTAAATCATTTCACTTGCGTCATAAAATCCCCACTGTGGAAATATTCAAAATTTTCCTCCTTCTTTTTTTTTGCTTCTTTTTGGAATGTATATTATTAACGCGGTGAGGAAGGAAACTTTCGTGACGTACGTTCGGGGATTCCCGTTTAGATGAGAATGTGGTTTGCTTTAGAAAAAAAAGGAAAATAAAAGATTTAAAATATGTATGTTTTCAAGTGCATTTCATAAGGAAATGTTTAGGAAATGCTTAAAAGTTAAAAGTAGTTGAAAATTTAAAATAGTGGAATATTTTCTTTTCTCAATTTTTTTTTTTTGTTATTAGGGAAAAAAAAGTTTATTATAACTAATTGGAAATACCTTTACGATGAAAGAGTATTTCTTGCTCCTTTTTTATGTGACACAAATTGCTCAATATCGGTTACTTAATTTCTTCACATTCTCACCACGTCATTTCTAATATGCTTTTAATATCGACAGTTGAAAAATGATTAGATAAAAAACATAATTGGGGAATTTCAAGTAATCAATGAAGTGGCAATTTTTAATTTTTCAGCTTTCAAAATTTGTTGTTTATTTCGTATTGACGCCAAAACTGAATTAATTAGTTTATTAGTTCTTTGGGTTAAACAATTAATTAGCTATTTAGGGAATTAATTTATTAATTAGATACATTCAATTTTTTGTTCTTTTATATTTTATTTGGTTCAGTAATTACCAATCACTATTAATTATTAGTAATTGTAATTAACTATTAATTACTAGTAATTAACTAACCATTAATTAATGGTAAATGTAATTAACTAACTTTTAATTACTAGTAATTAACTGACTATTAATTACTAGTAATTAACTAACTATTAATTACTAGTAATTAACTAACTATTAATTACTAGTAATTAACTAACTATTAATTACTAGTAATTAAATAACTATTAATTACTAGTTCATCTAATTAACTATTAATTACCACATGGAGAAAAATATAAAGTAGCTTTTACTACTTTTATAGTAAAAAGTTTCCGGTAAAGCATTTCTGTTAATTTTTACTACTTTTGGAGTAAATTTTGCTACGTTCGAAGTACACATTTGTAAAAATTAGTAAAATTTACTTCGAACTTAGCAAAATTTACTCCAAAATTAGTAAAAATTACCAGAAATGCTTTACCGGAAATTTTTTACTATAAAAGTAGTAAAAGTGACTTTATATATTTCTCCGTGTAGAAATTAACTATTAATTACTAGTAATTAACTACTACTTACAATTAGTAACTAGCAATTATTGGTAATAGTAATTAATAGTCATTAATTACTAGTTATATACTAGTTACTAATAGTTATTAGTAATTACCAGTAATTAATAGTTAATTACTATTAATTATTAGTAATTACTAATTATTAGTAATTATTAGTAATTATTAGTAATTACCAGTAATTACTAATTATTAGTAATGATAATATACAATTAATAACTAGTAATTTTTTGTTCCTTTGGATTTTATTTGGTTCATATTAGTTGTTTTGTTTTATTTTTATTTATTGTATTCTCGTTATTTTATTTGGTTTTTTTTATTTATTTTATTTAATTTATTTTTACTTATAAATTTTTATTTCTAGTAGTTAATTACTAGTAAATACCTTGAACCATTAATTAATCACTAGTAATTACTAGTCGTTAATAGTTAATGGTAATTAGTAGTAAATAATAGTTAAGGGTAGTTACTAGTAATTAACTACTAAAAAAAAAATTTATTAGTAAAAATAAATTAAAGAAAATAAAATAAATTAACAAAAAAAAAGAAGAATACAATAAATAAAAATAAATTAAAGTAGATAAAATAAATCAACAAAAAAAAACAAATAAAATAAAGAGATTACAATAAATAAAAATAAAACAAAAATAATAATATGAACTAAATAAAATCCAAAGGAACAAAAAATAACTAGTTATTAATTGTATATTATAATTACTAGTAATTAGTAATTACTGGTAATTTCTAATAATTAATAGTTAATAATAATTACTGATAATTAATAGTTTAATGATTATTACTAGTAATGAATAGATAATAACAATTACTAGTAATTAATAGTTGGTGATAATTACTAGTAATTAAAAGTTAATGATAATTACAAGTAATTAATAGTTAATGATATTTACTGGTACTTAATAGTTAATTATAATTACTAGTAATTAATAGTTAGTGATAATTACTAGTAATTAATAGTTAGGGATAATTACTAGTAATTAATAGTTGGTGATAATTACTAGTAATTAAAAGTTAATGATAATTACAAGTAATTAATAGTTAATGATATTTACTGGTAGTTAATAGTTAATTATAATTACTAGTAATTAATAGTTAGTGGTAATTACTAGTAATTAATAGTAAGGGATAATTACTAGTAATTAATAGTTGGTGATAATTACTAGTAATTAAAAGTTAATGATATTTACTGGTAGTTAATAGTTAATTATAATTACTAGTAATTAATAGGTAATCATAATTACTATTTGTTAATGATTATTACTAGTAGTTAATAATAATTACTAGCCGTTAATAATAAGTAATAATTAATAATACCAAATAATCAACAGAAATTAATAATAATAAATTTAATAATTTATTTTGCAGTCGGATATTAATAGAAAAAAATGGACGCGCCAGGATTCACAGAATTTGCGAGAGCAATGATAGATTACATCACAAATTATTTGGAAAACATAAGAGACAGGTATGTATGTTGCTGATAATTAGTAATTTTGCAATTAAATAAACAAACGCTTAATAAAAAAAAAAAATAAAACCTAATTACATTGATTAGAATATAAAATGCAAATAATGACTCTAATTAGTCAGAAAATGGGAAAACAAATTTAATATTAAATTTTACTATTTTTGCGTTCGGAAAAAATAATTATTTGAAAAATTTACGACCCTATTTATTAGTTTCTCGTTAATTATTTCAATTTACAGAAATCCTTTAATTTATTGCTTTAATTGCAAACTTTATACCACTTTGTTATGAAATTAATTATTCTTGTAATTCTAACATTTAACGAACAAATGTTTAATTTTAATAAATTTTTAATTAAGAAGGATTAATTTAATTAGCAATAAAAAATATGTTAATAATTTGTCGATATCATTAATTAACGATAAATTAAATGGAAATAATTAAAATAATTTACTATTAATCAATTTAATAATTTATTGTAACAATTTTCATAATTTATTGTAACAATTTAAATAATTTATTGCAACTATTATTATAATTTATTGTAACTATTTTCATAATTTATTGTAACAATTTAAATAATTTATTGCAACTATTATTATAATTTATTGTAACTATTATTATAATTTATTGTAACAATTTAAATAATTTATTGTAACTATTATCATAATTTATTGTAACAATTTGCTCTCAAAATCTGAATTTGTTAAAAATAACTAATTATTAGCAAAATTGTGGCTTAATTTTTGCCTTAGCAATTAGCAAAAACTAAATAATTATTAGTAAAAAAAATTAATTATTAGTTAATAAATAATTACAAAAATAGTCAAATTTCACTAATTGAATGTCTTACCAAAAATTTCAGTTATTTTGACCTAACGTAATTGTAAATTTAATTAGTTATTACTGACTAATTCAAGTTTAGAGGGTATAAATAATTTATTTAAAAAAATTTTAATAGTTTATTAAGACTATTATAATAATTTATTACAACATTTATAGTAATATATTAAACGCTGGAAAAAATGTATTTGATTCAAATATAATTTATTTGACGTAAATAATAATTATTTGATACAAGTAAATATCTATTTGATAGTAAATAATTGATCGTTTATTTGAATCAAATACAAATTTTTTTCAGTGTAACAATTATAATAATTTATTATAACAATCTTAGTCATTTGTCTATAAAAATTACGACGATTATTATTATATAAATTTTAAAAATAAAATTAATATTCTTCCTCTAATTTGAACTAATCCTGCGAGTAATTCTTGTTTTTAAATTATTCGTCAAGATTAATTATTACATATACAACAATAATAATTTCTAATTAAATATACAATTGACAATTGTTCCTGGAGAGAATATCGATTTCCGATTTAGAAAAAAAAAAGAAATGATTCGATATCAAGGATATCGGTGCGTATGTATATTAAAGTCGTGTCCTGGGTGAAAAAAAATAATTAGAAATATAAAAGGGGGAGTAGTGGGTGAAGGTAAAACGAAAGGAATGGAAACAACCTTGTAGTACTCGGTTATAACCATCTGTCAATTATAGAAAAAAAAAAAGAAGCGTTTATCATCTTTTACGGACAACAATAGCAACAACGATTTATGAATAATCATTAATGCCTTTGGAATCCCGCAGGATCTACTCTATAATATACATACATAATCTCCCATTCCTAATGACTATATGATCTATCACTGAATCTATTATCATCCCGAAAGATGAGGAATTTCTTCTAAATTAAAAACAATAGGCGTATATGATTGTTGATAATTATTTTTTTTCAATTAAGTTATTAAAAAAATAAATAAAGGAATACTTCCTTTTTTATCACTCGCTCAATTTGAATCAGTTAAATTTGTTTCTCTGGACTTTTTATTCAGCAATCAGTCAAAATTAAAAAATATTTATTTCTCACATTTTTTTCACACTATTTTTCTTCCTCGTGAGTGTGTCTAAAGATTGAATTTTCATAAATATTTCGAGAACCTGAAAATCATGGAATTGTTATGGAATTTCATTTTGATTCATGGAATCATGAAAATCTCATGGAATTATTTTAGTTTTTGTTCTAAACCCGTGTAATTGAAATTCGCGCTCCTTTGTTACTCAGAGTGGTCACAAGTTTAAATTTATCAATTTCCCTGACAATTTAGAATTTACAGACATTAAAATTACTTTCCCTAACAAAATTCTTTTAACAGTAGGAAAATATTAATGTTTACAGAAAATGAGTAAAATTTATAAATTTTAATAATTTCTCAAAATTACAATTATAACCCTTCCTGAATTCAATTATTTTCTACAATTTTCAACTAAACTTCATCTCTGAATCAATTAATTTAAATAATTTTTCAAAAGTTCTTCAAGAATTAAATTATTTAAATACATAAACTCAATTTTTTATAATAATTGTGACTCTCCATAGTTTTTTGTCTTAAGTTATTAAGATACAATATATTTAAAAAAATTATAATAAAGAAATTCTTACAATTAATTGTTTAAAAATATTTTAAAATAATTTTTGAACGATAATAGTTTTTCAATTTTGAAAAATTTCCAAACAATTAAAATTTTGTAAAATCTTTTAAAAATAATAATTGAATTTTTCAAAAGTATAAATAAAAATGAACAAATTTTTGAAGAATTTTAATTATAAACAGGACCATGATTTCTCAAAAATTTTAATAAGTCCAAAAATTAAATTTTGAATCTTAAAAAATTATTACAAAACAATTCTAATAATTAGTTTTTAAAAATATTTTATTAATGTAATTTTTCGAAAATAATTGTATTTCTTAAAAAAATTTTTGTATAATTTAAAAAATGAATTTATGAATAACTAATGAATTTTTTGATGAATTTTAATTAAAAATTTTGAACATTATTGTTTTCTCCAAAATGTTAAAAATAATTCTAACATGTTATTATTTTTGGAAATATGTAATTGAAAATATTAAAAATATTGAATTTTAAAAAATTAGAAGCATATTTTCATTTTTAAATTTACCTTTAAAGATTTTTTATTAATATTTTTGATAATTCAATTTTTTTAAAAATTTGCAATTATAATTCTTCAAAAGTTGATTTTCAAAAATTGTAACATACTTGAAATAAATGGATTATTTTCAATTAAATTTTACAAAATTTTAACTATTCAAAAACAATTTTTGAAAAATAAATATTTTTAATATTTAATTTTAAATATTTTTGAACAATAATAGTTTTTTAATTTTGAAAAATTTCCAAACAATTAAAATTTGGTGAAATCTTTTAAAAATAATTGAATTTTTGAAAAGTATACATAAAAATGATCAAATTTTTGAAGAATTTTAATTATAAACAGAACCATGATTTCTCAAAAATTTTAATAAGTCCAAAAAGTAAATTTTGAATTTTAAAAAATTATTACCAATATTTTAAAAAAATTATAATAAAGAAATTCTTACAATTAATTGTTTAAAAATATTTTTAAATAATTTTTGAACATTTATAGTTTTTCAATTTCGAAAAATTTCCAAAAAATTAAAATTTGGTGAAATCTTTTAAAAATAATTGAATTTTTCAAAAGTATAAATAAAAATGATCAAATTTTTGAAGAATTTTAATTATAAACAGGACCATGATTTCTCAAAAATTTTAATAAGTCCAAAAAGTAAATTTTAAATCTTAAAAAATTATTACAAAACAATTCTAATAATTAGTTTTTAAAAATATTTTATTAATGTAATTTTTCGAAAATAATAGTATTTCTTAAAAGAATTTTTGTATATAATTTAAAAAAACTAATGAATTTTTTGATGAATTTTAATTAAAAATTTCAAACATTATTGTTTTCTCCAAAATGTTAAAAAAAATTCTAAAATGTTATTATTTTTGGAAATACCTATGTATCAAACTCATCATTGCAGAATTTCAATTATTTTTAATACAATTTTAATCGAATACCTCGAAAAATGTAATTATTTTTAAAAATTTTATTTAAATTCGTCGAAAGAATTTAATTATTTAAAAATTTGTTCATAGAATTTATTATCAGAATTCAATATTAAAAACATTCCTATATGTAAATTAATTCAATTCAATCAAAAATTTTAGAAATTTCTCCTCAAAATTTCAATTATCTTTATAAATAATAAAATTCTTCGCTGAAATTTAAATGTTTTTAAAAATTTTGAATAAAATATTTGTCAAAATTTCAATTATTTTTATAAATACTTCATTGTTTTAAGTAAAAATGATTTGCTTCAAGTAAATACTTCTCTTTTTGAGTAAAAAAAATTAATTGACTCAAGTAAATAGTTCTTTTTTTAAAGTTTTAAAAAATTTGAATAAAATTCTTGGCAAAATTTCAATTATTTTCATAATTGAATAATTTGCAATAATTCAATTACTTTCTTAAATAATAAAAATTCCACAAAAAATTCAATTATTTACAAAGTTTTTATAAACTTCTTCGCAATATTTCAATTATTTGCATAAATAATAAAAATTTCACCGGAATCCATTTGTTTACAAATTTTCATATATATATAATAAATTTTTTACAGTCATTTAATAATTATTTTCATAAATAATAAAACTCATCGCCAGAATTTCAATTATTTTTAATACAATTTTAATCTTGAAAAATGTTACTATTCTTAAAAAATTTATTAAAAGAATTCAAAAGAATTCAATTATTTAAAAATTTCGTAACACAATTTTTTATAAGAATTAAATTTTAAGAAACATTGAATTATTCAATAAATAATTTACTTTTGTATTTAAATAATTAAATTCTCGTAGAATTTTCTAATAAAAATCGATTTAAAAATGAATTTTAGTTAAAATTTTAGGTAATAATAATTGAATATGAAAATAATTTTAAAGAAGTTACAGTAACCATATTCTTATAATATAAAATAATTATTTTATCTCTCGAACATTTTTAATTATTATAGAAAATGAAAAAATCGATCACGAAATTCGTAAATAAATGTAACACAACATTTTTTTGAGTAAAATTTTTTTCTTTATTTTTAAAAAACTTTGAATTTTATTAAAACAATTGTAATTAAGAAATATAGAAATAGTGTAAATTATTTCCTTATGAAAATTGAAAATTTTCTACAAAAATATTAATGTTTTTTTTTAAAAAAAAAAAATGAGTTTGTGAATAATATTGTTATTGAGAAAATAAAAAAAAATAAATGAATAAATAGAAAAAACTTAAAACTGCGGACAGAATGAATGAAAGAATACGAAGATTAATTAATTAATTAATTAATTAATTAAATTATTGATTAACTATATTAATTACAAATTATATTGTTAATTATATTTGTAATTGTATTTTCAATTCTATATTGTTAATTAATTATTATTCTTTTACTTAATAACTTTATTAATAATTATTATTTAATGTGACTATTTAAAAAAATTTTTAGACAAGTTCTACCGACGGTGAAACCAGGATATATAAAACCATTGTTACCAGACGAAGCTCCTCAAACTCCAGAAAGATGGGAGGATGTTATGGCTGATATTGAAAAAATTATCATGCCAGGTGTAAGTCTCAAATTTGTTGCAAATAATTAATTATAATAAAGAACAAATTTTTCGTGTATTAAACTTATTTTAATTATTTTATAACAAAATAGTTGTCATTATCAGTGCTGATAACTATTATGAAATTACTACTATACTATAATATTATGAACTTGTTAATTAATTCATTGATTAATTAATGAATTCATTTCTTAATTTTCTAATTAATGAATTAATGTATTAATGAATTAATGAATTCATTTCTTAATTAATTAATTCATTCATTTCTTAATTTACTAATTAATGAATTAATGTATTAATGAATTTATTAATTTTTTAATTAATTAATTAATCGCCTATAATTAATAATTACAATATTAACTTTGCAGGTTACTCATTGGGGAAGTCCAAAATTCCACGCCTATTTTCCCACTGCACAATCCTATCCAGCAATTGTTGCTGACATGTTGAGCGGTGCAATTGCTTGCATTGGATTCACGTGGGTAAGAAAAATTTCTCTGCTCTTGAAAGAAAAAATTCTTCTAATTTGAATTACTATTTTTTTTTTGTCTTTTTTCTAGATTGCAAGTCCAGCTTGTACTGAATTGGAAGTTGTGATGCTGGATTGGCTGGGAAAAATGATTGATCTACCAAAGGAATTTTTGGCGTGCAGTGGTGGAAAAGGAGGCGGTGTCATTCAAGTAATAAAAATTATTATAATTAGTCTTCATAATTAATAGTTAATAACTGCATACTAGTATTTAATATTAACTATATGTTAATCCATTTGTTTTAATTTCAAAGTTAATCAATTTTTTTTTTTTTTTTTTGAAATTTAAAAATTAAACAAATTTTATTTTTTAATTTCAAAATTATTTTCAAATACAGGGAACAGCGAGCGAAGCGACTTTAGTTGCACTTTTAGGTGCAAAGGTGAAAAAAATGAAACAAGTCAAGGAACAACATCCCGAATGGTCGGATTATGAAATAATCGAAAAATTAATCGCCTACGCTTCTTGTGAGTATTTTTAATTTCATTTTTAACGTTCAAATTTGATTTAATTTGTAATTTTTATAAAATAAAATTTATTTTACACTGAAAATAATTTATTCGAGTCAAATTACCGATTTAGTTGCATCAAATAAATATTTACTTGAATCGAATAATTTTTGTTCAAACAATTAAATGGCTCTGAGTCATCTCAAATAAATATTTTTCTAGGCAAAGTAAATACATTTTTGTTTTAAATAAAAATTATTTGCTTCAAGTAAATACTTCTTTATTTTAAGTAAAAATTATTTTATTCAAGTAAATACTTCTTTATATAAGTAAAAAAAAATTAATTGACCCAAGTAAATTCTTTTTTAAGTAAAAAAAAAATTATTTGACTCAAGTAAATAGTTGTTTATTTTAAGTATACAAATTATTTGATACAAGTAAATATTTATTTGATAATGAGCAAGTAATTGCTATTAGAGTCAAAAAAAAAATTTTTTTCTGTAATAAATTCCATAATAATAAATAAAAAAAAATAAAAATCGTAAGCGAGAGAAAATTTATTTTCTAAATCTATATGAAAAAAGTACATAAAGGGAGGGAGAGAGAGAGAGAAGAGGAAAAATATGTTTCAGAATTTTCAAAAGATGAAAAATAGTAAAATGCATAATAAATTATTATAGTAGAAAAAAAGAAAAAAAATTGTGATAATTTACAATTGTCGCACGTGTGAGATGTTAAAGGGTTGAAGAGTGTGAGGGGAAAAGCACTTCATCATGGAGCACTTTATCACCATGGAAACGCGTAATAACCACTCGAGTTATTTCAACCCCGCCATTCACTTCTACATCTCCTATCACTAGGACAGTATTAAATCAGAAAGTTAACAAGAGAAGGGGGGAGGGGCAGGATTTATACATCCACTGATTGTCAATGAAGCTTCTATTCAGTCCTGATTTTTTCCTTTTGTTCCTCCTTTTTTTCCTTTTCTTTTTTCTTTTTCTCTTTTCTCTTTTCTTCTTCTTTTTTTCGATATTTAATGATAAAAACGAAACATTTAAGAAATGCTTTCAAACTCCTTCTTTTGAATTTCAAAGGTAGATTTTTTCCTGAGGAACATTTTTCCTGAAACTTTTTTCCTGTAAAACTTTATTTCTTGAATTCTTGAAACTTTCATCTTTTTGATCTTGACAGATTTCTGTATTATTTTCCCCAAAAAACTATTTTGCATTTCTTCTTTTCAATTTTCTCGCTCGAATACTTTTATTTTCTATAATAAAAGTTTTCTTTTATATTAGAAAATAAAATTGTTTCTACTTTTTTTTTTTTAATTTTGTAAATTATTTATTTCTTTATCGAGGGGACAAAGTTATTTTTTGTCACGCCATTCACACACTGGGTCAATACGACCAAAACTTTATCAATAGTCGATCTTTTGGAAAAAAAATTTTTTTTTGGAAAAAAAATTAATAATCGTACTTTCAAGTATTTAATGTTTTAACTTTAAAGTTATAAAGTGTAAAATTTAATTAAGTTTAAAATTCCTTATTTTAATTTTTCTTAAATTAGAAGAAAACGAAAGGTTCCGATTTTTATATTTTAAGTCCCATAAAATTTTCGGTTCATAAATAAAAAATTAGATTTTAATTCATAAATTTTCGAGGTAAATTCTCCGAAATGGTTTAAGGAAATTGAAATTTTGAAATCTTTTTTTTTATCCAGTCGAGAATTTTGAATCTTAAAAAATAATAATCGATTCTTTGCAAATCTGTTCTATTCTCTCCGAGTGTAAAGAAAGATAAATAAAAAATAAATACAATTAAAAATTTTTAAGTTTGAAGCTTTTAATGTTTAATGTCATTTGAATTCAATTAAATTAAAAAATTTAATTAAACTACTTAATGCACGATAAATTAATTGGGGGAAAAATAAAATTTTCAGGCCAGGCTCACAGTTCAGTGGAGAGGGCAGGTCTTCTTGGCGGTGTGAAATTTCGACTTTTGGACACTGACTCAAAGCACAGTCTTAGGGGAGAAACTTTGGAAGAGGCAGTGAAAGCTGACAAAGAAAAGGGCCTTATTCCATTTTATGTGAGAAACATATTTTTTTAATTTTATATTTGTTAAAAATAAATATCAGCGTTTTGGAAAATTTCCATTTTTCTCATCTTTTCTTCATAAATTCAGTTTTTTTTTTTCAAAAATACAGATTTTTAATAATTTAATTTCGAAAATTTTATAAATACGTCAGTCAAAAAAATAATAAATCGCGATGGGTAAATTTTATTTATATAAACAATGGATATGGTTTTTAAAAATATTAAAAATTAATTAATAAAAAATTTTAATTATTTAATAAAAATTTTAAAGACTCACCACTTTTCACCTCATCTTTTTGAAATGTAGAAAAGTAAAGAATTTATCCCCTTTTGCTTTGAAATGAATCCTTTGAGCTGAAACAAAATAAATAACAGAATTATTAAAATTATTCATACAACTAATTTAATTTAATTCAATTATTAATATAATTAATTTAATTTAATATAATTGATAATACAATTAATTTAATTTAAAACAATTAATATAATTAATTAAATTATTTAAAATAATGTTTAAATAATAAACAGTTCAAAGTCAAAAAATTAAGAAAATAGAAAATATTTAATAAAAACAGTTTAAATTCTATTGTTTAAAGAAACAATAGAAACAATTCTGAATATTAATGAGTTTATTAAATTGAAATTGCAAAAGTTCATGAGACAATTTCTTTTAATTCACATCTTAATTTAATTTTCAGGCTGTTGCAACTTTGGGAACAACATCATCCTGTACTTTTGACAGACTTGATGAAATGGGTCGTGTTTGCAATCAAGAAGAAATTTGGCTCCACGTGGATGCTGCATATGCTGGTAAATTAACAGCAAAATTATTTTATTCATCAATTTATTTATTTACTGATAAACATTTATTTCTTTATTTTCAAAAAATGCAATTTTTTGTTTTAATGTTAAATAAATATAATTTTTTGTTTTAATGTTAAATGAATGCAATTTTTGTTTTAATGTTAAACGAATGCAAATTTTTTGTTTTAATGTTAAATAAATGCAATTTTTTGTTTTAATGTTAAACGAATGCAAATTTTTTGTTTTAATGTTAAATAAGTGCAATTTTTTGTTTTAAAGTTAAATGAATGGAATTTAAATGTTAAATAAATCAATTTTCTTTGTTTTAAATTTTTAATGTTAAATAAATGCAATTTTTTGTTTTAATGTTAAATGAATGCAATTTTTTGTTTAAAATTTAAACGAATGTAAACTTTTGTTTTAAAGTTAAATGAATTCAATTATTTACTTTAATGTTAAATTCAAAAAAGAACATTAAGACATTAAGTTTTCTATTGTTTTAATGTTAAATGAATTCAATTTTTTGCTTTAATGTTAAATAAATGCATTTTCTTTGTTTTAATGTTAAATAAATGCAATTTTTTCTTTCAATATTAACTAAATGCAATTTTTCGTTTTAATGTTAAATAAATGCAATTTTCCGTTTTAATGTTAAATAAAATCAATTTTTTGTTTTAAGTTAAATAATTGCAATTTTTTAAAAACATTTTTAAAAATAGGATCAGCTTTCATTTGCCCGGAATTTCGTTATCTGATGAAGGGAATTGAAATGGCTGATTCCTTTAATTTTAACCCGCATAAATGGATGTTGGTGAATTTTGATTGTTCGCCAATGTGGTTAAAGGATCCAACTTACGTTATCAATGCTTTTAACGTGGATCCTTTGTATTTGAAACACGATATGCAAGGATCGGCACCAGATTACAGGGTAATTATTAATTTATTTTTTTTTCTCAAAAACATAAATTAAAAAATAAATAATATTATAGATTTAAAAAAAAATTTTTTAATTACACTAAAAAAAAGTTTATTTGAATCAAATAACTGATTACTTTTCTGTTGTCAAATAAATATATTTGCTTAAGTCAAATAAATATTTACTTGAGTCAAACAAATATTTATTTGAGTCAAATAAATATTCACTTGAGTAAAATAAATATTTACTTGAGTCAAATAAATATTTACTGAGTCAAATAATTTTTATTTGAGTCAAATAAACATTTATTGAGTCAAATAATTTTTATTTGATTAAAATAAATATTTATTGAGTCAAACAAATATTTATTGTGTCAAATAAATTTTATTTGAGTCAAACAAATATTTATTCAGTCAAATAAATATTTATTGAGTCAAATAATTTTTATTTGAGTCAAACGAATATTTACTTGAATCAAAATTATTTTTATTTGAGTCAAACGAATATTTACTTGAATTAAATTAATTTTTATTTGAGTCAATTAAATGGTTCAATTCATATTTGCTTCAAATACTGAAATTATTGATTCAAATACAATTTAATTGATTTAAATAAAATTTTTTTTATTCAAGTAAATATTTCATTGATAATACGACAAGTATTCGATTATTTGAATCAAATAATTTTTTTTTTCAATGTTGCAATAATTTTTGAAAAATAAAAGTAATAAATATTTTCAGCACTGGCAAATTCCATTGGGTCGTCGATTTCGATCATTAAAATTATGGTTCGTTTTACGTCTCTACGGTGTTGAAAATTTACAGAAACATATCAGAAATCACGTGTCGCAAGCTCACGAATTTGAAACTTTAGTTCAATCTGATTCACGTTTTGAAATCGTCGAAGATGTTACCCTCGGATTGGTCTGCTTTCGACTTAAGGTAAAATTTGTTAATTTTTATTAAATTTTAATGAAAGAAAAAAAATTGATATTTTTTCTATTTATTTTTATTTTTATTTTTTGTCTTTATTTAATTTTTTTATTTTTATAGATTTTTTTATTTATTTTTTCTTTTATTTATTCGAATTTGTTTTTTATTTATTTTTTATATTTTCATTTATTCGAATTTGTTTTAATTTAGTTCTTTCCTTTTTATTTATTTTCTATTCTTTTTATGTTTATTTATTTGAATTTGTAATTATTTATTTCTTTCGCATTTGTTTTTTTTTTATTTTTATTTGTTTGACTTTTTTTATTGATTATAATTTTAATATTTTTTTATTTATTTAAGTTATTTATTTTAATTTATTTATTATTTTAATTTTTATTTATTTATTTCGTTTTTGTTATTGATATATTTCGTTTTTGTCTTTTTTTATTTTTTTGTTATTTACCTGAATTCATTTTTATTTTTTTGTTTAGTTTTTATTTATTTTCTAATCTTTTCAATTTCTACTTATTTGAATTCTCGTTTATTTATTTCTCTCCTTTTTGTTTATTTTTATCTTTTTTAATTTTTTGACTTTGTTTTTTATGTTTTTATCTATTTCTAATTTTTCTTTACTGCTGTTACTGATTTTTTTATTTTATTTTATTTTTTTTTATTTGAATTCATTTATTTTCGAAAATTGCGTTTCATTCATTCTTTATTACTCAATTTAACATATAATGAGATTGTACGTGATAGTTTCTAATCCGATAAAATGATCAATTAACTTTTTTAATTTCAACACAAATCCGATTTCATATAATATTGTCTCCAGTGATTACAAGGAATCTGTTAAACAGCACAAGGTCAATTTTGTAATATTTATTCTAACCTTCATAATCACGGTTGAAAATCAGTTCTTCCTATAACATTTTCTCTTTCGAGAATTATTTATAAATAATAATAAAAAAAAATTCGATTTTTTCGCATTAGTAATTTTTTTTTTGTTTAAAAAAAAATATCTATTTTTTATATTAACAGAAATTTGAAATTCAAATTTTTCATTTCAATAATAAATTTACAGTTATAAATAATTACAATGACAAATTATCAAGTTTAAAATAAATTTATTTTGATTTATTATATAAAAAAAAAAGATTAATAAATAATAGGAAATAATTTCACAATTTCATAATTAATTAGATACAAATAAAATTCAGGTGAATTATAAAGAGGATTTTTTATATTTTTAGTAATAAATGAAACACAATATTGAAATTATTAATTTCTAATTATTAATTTTTAATTTTTAATTTTTAATTTTTAATTTATTTTTAATTTATTTTTAATTTTTAATTTTTAAAGTCAGAAATAATTATATCTATAAATTAAAAATTTATTTGATTGTCAACAGGGTTCAAATGATTTGAATGAAAATCTCTTGAAGAGAATCAATGGAGCGGGCAATATTCATCTTGTACCATCGAAAATTAAGGACACTTTCTTCCTGCGATTAGCAATTTGCTCAAGATATAGCGAAAGTAAAGACATTCAATATTCTTGGAAAGAAATTAAACTTCGAGCTGATGAAATACTTGAAGAGCAATCAATTTCAAAGTGATGGCGGGCGCGAATAACTCGTAGTTGCAAAGCCATTGCTCCTGATACTTGCAATCAGTCTTAAAATAAAAAAGGAAATACACAAATAAAAACAAAAATAAAAATAAAAAGGAAAACAAAAAGAAAATTGAAAATAAAAATAAAAACAAAAAGAAAAATAAACAGAAATAAATAAAATTAAAAAAAAATAAATAAATAGAAATAAAAATAAAAATAAAAAAGTGAAAACTAAAAAAGATTCACAGAAAAATTATATTAAAGAAAAAAAAGTTTTCGAAAAATAAAAAAAAGACCAAAAAAAAAACATCTAAACTACTTTCTGCTTCAAAAATGCGGGACGCAAATATTAAAAAATTGGAAAATTTAAACTTGTTTTATATTCAAATTTGTTGAATTCTAATTCGTTTAATTTTTTCCTTTTTCAATATTTTTACATAATCAATTTTATTTACTAAAATAAATTTTTATTACGTTTTGTTTTTAATTTTCCAATTCGAGAAAAAAATACCTTTTTAGTTTTGTAACTTATTTTTTAATTATATAGTAAAAACAGTATTATAATCAATTGTTGTTAAATATTCTCCTCGATATTTATAAAAAATATTTTTTTTCTTTAAGAAAATTATATTTTACGCTAAAAAAATGATTTTCCTCTTGTAAATAATGTATTTGTTTGCTATCGATTTATTATTATTGATTGTGAATTAATTGCAATATACACTGTTAGATTAATTAATTAATTTTAAGAAAAGCAAAAGAAAGCATTAATTTTTTAATCCAACGAAATTGACGCATCGAAATTTATTATTCTTGAAATAAATGAAATAAATTCACAATCAATTAAATCAATTTTAATTTTTAATTATTCTTTTTGAATTAAATAAAAAAATAATTTAGAAATAAAAGTCGACTTGCAATAAAAGTTGCATTATTGCGAATAATAGAAACTAAAATTTGTGCTTTGCAGTTATAATCAAATCGAAATTAGTCTCTTAGATAACGAAATTCGATGTTAGTGAAGAATATATTTCGATTTGTTGTTTAGATCTAATAATCGTATGGAATAATAAAGTGACTAATTATCTTTTTAATTAATTAAATTTTAATTAATTATCTTCTAATTTTTTTTTTTATATATAATTTTCGTATTAAAAATTTTTTTCTTTTGTTGTAGAAATTTTTTTTTTCATATTCAACTGAAAATTCGATTATTATTATTATTTATGAAATAATATTCATAATAAATAATAAGCAACGAATATTATGAAAAATTTAACGAATTTACTAAATATGAATTTTATTATTATTAAAATTCTTTTTTAACATTTTTATTTTTTATTAACAAAATTTTGCGCTCTTTAACAAAATTTATTTTTCTTGAAAAACTTTTCTCTTTTTTTAATTTTTTTCTCCTTGAAAGAAAAGTACTTTGCTCTCTTTCTTTTTTCTATCGATTTTATATTTTTCCCGTTAAGTAAACAATTTTCTATGTGAAAAAATTTAAGTAAACAAATTTTAGAATTATTATAAAATTATAGTTGTAAATGAATGTTGTAAATAAGTCTCAGTTGCGCTACTCTCTTGGGCGCAAATTGTAATCTATCTTATTGAACCAAAAAAAAAAAAAAAAAAAAAAAAAAATACATATATACGTATATATTTATTTATAGAGTACATATCGACTAATCGAGTACTCAACAAAGCGTTAAATACTCGTGCTGCAGCTGAGACAATAATACTTTAAGAAAAATTAGTCCTCACACGTTGAGAAGAAAAAAGGGATCACTAAAATTAATTTCCAAAAAGTGCAAGAAAAATATTTTATTAATTTTTTTTCCAATTAATTTTTTTTTTTCATATACGAATTCTATATTAATTTTCGATATAATTATTTCTTCACCTATTGTTCTTCTGTATTCAAGTAATACAAGAATTTATCTAATTACAACGTTAATTAATTATAAAAAATTAATATTTTTATATTTTTATTTATTATTTGGTGTGATGAAAAAAATTATTAATTATTAATTAATATCTATAATGAAAAAATTATCTATTAATTATATTTAATTATAATAATTATTATCAATTTCAATAATTATAATTATTTTTTAATTTTATTATTATATTTTTTAAATAAATTGTCTTTATTTATTATATTCAATACAATAAAAAAATTTATTTCATTCAAATAACCGATTACTTGTCTATTATCAAATTAATATTTGCTTGAATCAAATAATTTTTATTTTTTAATGAAATAAAGAACCAATAATAATAATTATAAATATTAATTACTATTTTTATTAATTAAAAATTTTGACGAGATTGTTAATTAATTTTAAAAGTGAATTTCCAGTGAATTTTATTATTTAAAAAAATAGTAAAGTAGATTTAATTACAAGTAATGAAACTAGAAACAATGGTAATAATTTTATTATTTAATGTGATTCTTAAACAAACGGACATGATTCGAGTATTATTATAAAGGGACCAACGGGAATAATAAGTACCTGTTGAGCTTATATTAAAGAAAATTGTATTCTATGAAAAAAATGTGTTAAGCTCATGAAATAATAATATATAAAATAATAATTGCTTTATCACTTTGTGTTCATTAATTTAATTGTTTTATATAAAAAAAACATGTATCCTATATCATGAAAGTATTTTAAAAAGAATAAAGTTGTAAGCAATATATTGAAAAAATTGTCTTGTTTTTTCCTAATCAAAAAATTCTTTTTCTGCAATTTTTTCTTTTTTGCTAATTAAAATTATTCTTTGCAACTGTCTTCTCTTTTTGTAATTAAAATTTTATTTATAATTTTCTTTTCCTATTTTCTTCTCTCCTAATTAAAATTATTTTTTTTAATTATTTTTTTCCTAATTAAAATTATTTTTTGTAATTATGTTTTTTCCTAATTAAAATTATTTTTGTAATTATGTTTTTTCCCAATTAAAATTATTTTTGTAATTATGTTTTTTCGTAATTAAAATTATTTTTGTAATTATTTTTTTTTTTTGCTAATTAGCATTATTTTTTGCAACTGTCTTCTCTTTTTGTAATTAACATTTTTTTGCATTTTTTTTGTTTTGTTTTCTTCTTTTCTAATTAATATATTCTTTTTATTTTCTTTTTTCCAATTAACGTAATTTTTTTGCAAAATGATTTCGAAAATTGCGATCAACAATTGACAATAGAAAAACGTCAAACGCAGCGATGTTGTTTTACGGAATTTTGACATCTTGTCTCATCAATTTAACGTTTCGAGAAAAAAAGATTTTTCACAATTTTCCATAAAGAAAACATTACCTGACACTTGTTTTTTTAAAAAAAAGAAAAATTATATTTATGATAAATTCTCTGTTTTACGACACAAAAGACCAAATGAAATGCTCTGTATGAAGACTCGCAGTAATCTCTGGCGATTTCAACACTTTCTCACAAGGTTTGTTATTTCTTTTTTTCGTCTAAAAATTCGAATCCGAAATTATTTCCTTCTACCCATAAGAAATTCTAATTGTAAAATTAATAAAAAAAAAAAAATTGTTCACTCTCTTTTTATTTGTTTTAATAACCAAAAAAATAAATAAACAAAAAAAAGTGAGGTTGGAATTCATATTCTGTCATGTCAAAATATATTTTCATTTTATTAAATGGATAAAAATAAAAAAAGAAATTAAAAATGATAAAATAAGTGGTAAAAATAAATTAAATAAATTATACAATAAATTTCTGTCACTGTGGTGAAATTTATAAATAAATTAATAAAAAAAGAAATAGATGATGCCTCAAATAAATTTGTGGACAATTAATAAATAAGTTAATTAATAGAAAAAAAATTAATAGATAACAAAAATTAAATAAATAACTTATTGTTGCCGTTGGGAAATATACAAAGAAATAAAGCTTTTAATGAATTTAATAAACAAAACAAAAAATTAATTAATTAATTAACAGACAAAAATAAATAGGTAAATGAAAATTAAATAAATAATAAATAAATTATTGCTACTGACAAAAAATGTACAAATCAATAAATAAATAAATGAGGCCTCAAATAAATTAATAAACAAAAAACTGAATTAATAAATAAATTATTACTCCGGAGAAATGAACAAATAATTAAACAACTAAAAAGCAAATTGATGGAAAAATTAAATAAATAAATTAATAATTTATATTGTTGTGACCGCGCGGAATTGTACTTAAATAAATAATTAATTAATTAGTTAATTAATTTATTACCAGATAAATAAATATAAGTAATTTAATGAATAAATTATAATTAAATAAATCAATAAATAAATAAATGATAAAAAAAATAAATAAATAATACAAAGAAAATGCCTAACTAAATAAGTAGATTATATTAATAAATATTAAAGAAAAAAAAAGTAGAAATAAATTTCCAAAAACTCATGAAAATACGAAATAAAAAAATTTTTTTTAAAAAATGATGAATTACGTGAAGATTCTTTTCATCGGACAAAGGAGGAGGAGCAGGAGGAAGAGAAGCTGCACAATGTGCAAAGGTGAAAAAATTCGATTCCTGTTCACTGGATCCCTGCATGCTGGATCCATGCAAACCAGAACCAACGGTTGTGATTATCGGAGGAGGAATGGCCGGTCTTTCGGCTGCACATCGATTAGCTCAATGTGGATTGCAAAATTTCACTGTTCTTGAAGCTACAGACCGGTAAATGAACAAATATTTTTTTAATTTAATCAAATTTGTAACTGTTGCAGCTAAAATATTGTATCTTTCAAATTTAAATAAAACAGGTTTTAAGTATTTTTAAATTTGATTTAAATAAACATTTGGTTCAGTTCAATAAATTTTCCGTTCGAAGAAAGAATTTGGATATCAGCAGTAAATGTTTAGTAATAGTTGAACCAAACAAATTACAGTCCACAGCAATGCGTCCATTTTATTAATTCAACTACAATTTGGTTGTTTCAAACAAAATTTGCTTGTTTCAAACTAAATTTGTTTATTTCAAACGAAATTTGATTGTTCCAAACAACATTTAGTTGTTTCAAACAGAATTTGATTGTTTCAAACAAAATTTGCTTATATCAAACAAAAACTGGTTGTTTCAAACAAAATTCGCTTATTTCAAACGGAATTCAGCTGTTTTAGAAAAAATTTGTTTGTTTCAAACGTAATTTAATTGTTCCTAACAACATTTAGTTATTTCAAACAAAATTCGGCTATTTCAAACAAAATTTTATTGTTTCAAAAGAAATTAGATTGTTCCAAACAACATTTGGTTGTTTCAAACAAAATTCGTCTGTTTGAGACAAAATTTGATTGTTTCAAACGATATTTGATTGTTCCAAACAAAATTCGACTGTTTGAGACAAAATTTGCTTGTTTCAAACGATATTTGTTTGCCTCAAACGAAATTCGATTGTTCCAAACAACATTTAGTTGTTTCAAACAGAATTTGATTGTTTCAAACAAAATTTGCTTATATCAAACAAAAACTGGTTGTTTCAAACAAAATTCGCTTATTTCAAACGAAATTCAGCTGTTTTAGAAAAAATTTGTTTGTTTCGAACGTAATTTAATTGTTCCTAACAACATTTAGTTATTTCAAACAAAATTCGGCTATTTCAAACAAAATTTTATTGTTTCAAACGAAATTACATTGTTCCAAACAACATTTGGTTGTTTCAAACAAAATTCGGCTGTTTGAGACAAAATTTGATTGTTTCAAACGATATTTGATTGTTCCAAACAAAATTCGACTGTTTGAGACAAAATTTGCTTGTTTCAAACGAAATTTAATTGTTTATAACAAAATTTAGTTATTTCAAACAAAATTCGGTTAATTCAAACGAAATTTGATTGTTCCAAACAACATTTAGTTGTCTCAAACAAAATTTGCTTGTTTCAAACGATATTTGCTTGTTTCAAACGAAGTTTGTTTGTTTCAAACAAAATTTGATTGTTCCAAACAACATTTAGTTGTTTCAAACGAAATTTAATTGTTCCTAACAACATTTAGTTATTTCAAACAAAATTCGGTTAGTTCAAACGAAATTTGATTGTTCCAAACAACATTTAGTTGTCTCAAACAAAATTTGCTTGTTTCAAACGAAATTTGATTTTTCCAAACAAAATTCGGCTATTTGAGAAAAAATTTGCTTGTTTCAAACGATATTTGTTTGCTTCAAACGAAATTTGATTGTTTTAAACAAAATTTGCTTATATCAAACAAAAACTGGTTGTTTCAAACAAAATTCGCTTATTTCAAACGAAATTCAGCTGTTTTAGACAAAATTTGTTTGTTTCAAACGTAATTTAATTGTTCCAAACAACATTTAGTTGTTCCAAACAACATTTAGTTGTCTCAAACAAAATTTGCTTGTTTCAAACGAAATTTGATTTTTCCAAACAATATTCGTCTGTTTCAGACAAAATTTGCTTGTTTCAAACGAAATTTAATTGTTTATAACAACATTTAGTTATTTCAAACAAAATTCGATTAATTCAAAGTTCAAACGAAATTTGATTGTTCGAAACAACATTTAGTTGTCTCAAACAAAATTTGCTTGTTTCAAACGAAATTTGATTGTTCCAAACAAAATTCGGCTGTTTGAGACAAAATTTGCTTGTTTCAAACAAAATTTGCTTGTTTCAAACGAAATTTAATTGTTCCAAACGAAATTTAGTTGTTTCCAAGAAATTCTCGTCCATTGTTGCATTTTTCACTTGTGTTCCTAGGCCAGGAGGAAGAATACATTCGTGTTGGCTGGGGGACGTTGTGGCTGAAATGGGAGCAACGTGGATTGAAGGTGGATGCGTGGCAAATCCCGTTTTCTCCCTAGCGGCACAAGAGGGTCTTTTGAAGCCACCGCTCTTCCGTCCGGACGCGAGTCGAGGACTTTTCTGCACCACCGATGGTCGAGCAATTGATCTTCCAGTTAGCATCACCGCCTACCACACATTCAAGCAAATAGAACAGCAAGCGGCAGCATTATTTTCCATTGGATGTGGTAAGGGTCATGGGTCGCTTTTGAATTTCATGGGTGTGCGAATTCAACAGGAGCTTCACAATTTTCCTGAAGAACAAAGGTACTCCTTCTTCTACTTTTCCTCAATCTTCCTCAATTTTCTTCAATCTTTCTCCTCATTCTTTTTTCAATCTTTTTCTTTTTTCTATCTCTTAATTTTTTTTTCAATTCTACCTTCTCCTTTCCTTCTGTTCCATTATATTCCTCTATTCCATTGTTCATCTCTTTTACTTTTTCTTTTTTTTTTACTTTTTCCTTCCCTTATTTTCCTATTCTTGTCTTTTCCCTATTTTCTTGATAGTCTTCCTTTTTCATCCCTTTTTAATTGTTTACACTTCCTTTTCTTTATTCTCTTCGTCCCTCTCATTATTCTTCTTTAAATCGATTATTTTTAGTAATTTTCGAAAATTTTAATTGTCCTTTGACAATTTTCAAATCCATTTGTTTACAATATTCAATTTTACGAAATTTCAATTATTCGTAAATTCTTCAATTAAATATATATTAGAAACTGAAAGCTTCAAATAATAAAGAAAAATTCAATTAAACTTTTTCAAAAAAAATTAATTTCAAAATTTAATTATAATTTTTTTTAAATTCATGGTATAATGATTTTAATATTCAATTATTATCTAAAATTTTAACTGAAACTAATACTTAAATCAATTTTTGTTTAGAAAATTCTACGAGAATTCAATTATTTAACTACAAACAGAGATAATTTATTAAATAATAGAATGTTTTTTAAAAAATTCCTTAAAAAAGTTTATTATTCATAAAAATGATTGAATTCTTACGAAGATTTTTACAAAAACTTCTTTTTTAATAATTGAATTCTATTTACAATTTTTATAAAAATAGTAGGGGAACATAGTCTAGGTCGGCCACCTTTTTGACTTTTGTTTATAACTTTTTTTTAAAAATGAATTTGGACAATTGAAGTATATGGTTGGAAAGTCCTGTTTAATAGGAACATTTTTTCTGTACAAAGTAAATTGACAGGTTTAAAAATGAAAAAGTTATAAAGATTTAAAAAAAAAAAAATTTGTAGTCCAGGTTGGCCATTACAGTCAAGGTCGGCCATGTTTAAAATTCAAAGGGCATTAATCGTTAAAAAATAAAATAACATGTTTGGAGTTACGGAAAATTCATTCTTTATTGTTTACAGTTTGTAACTTAATGAAATAACAAAATAATAACAATAAACAATATAAAAAAATAAATATAAATAAAAAAAAGTTTTGCACTAAAATATTAATAAAATTAAATAAAAATATTAATAAGATGATCAATTATAATATGAGTTATTCAGAATTGCAGCTTTTGCAAATGAAGTAGCTCGTCCTCAACTTTGCGCATTTTAAACACATAGTGGCCGACCTTGACAGTAAGTAACATTACCGAATTGTTGTAACCATAAAGAAATACGTTTCGGGATTCGATTTTTTACTTTGTTTTCCTTTCAACCATGAGTCCCACAAATTTTCTGCATACTTGCCTTGACGATTCAATTTGTTTTTTATCTTTTATTAATGGTTTTTCACATTATGCACAAAACTTTTTTTGAGCTTTTTTTGTACCGACGTCACAGAAAACACAATTTTCGATTTTCCGAAAATGTAATTGAACAAAAAGTTAGGTTTCACTAAGACAAGCTTCGACAAAAATGCGCGTAGGTGGCGCTAGTGAACTTGACAAAAAAACGCGAGTGGCCTACCTAGACAGTAGGCCAACCTTGACTACATTCCCCTAGATATTGAAAATCTTTGAATTGCAAAAAATTTTTTAAATAAATTTTACAAAGAATTCTATTAAAATTTTTATCAATAATTGAATATCTGTGTGGTATTTTATTAAATTCTTTTGAAAATAATTGAATTCCTAAAAAGCATTTTATTATTTTTACTTTTAAAAATAATTGAATACTTGTGATGAATATTGTTATTTTTGAAAATAATTGAATATTTTCGAGAATAATTTTGTTATTTATCGACATAATTGAATACTTTTAAAGAATTATTTATGTAAATAATTGAATTCTTCGGAAGAATTTTAATAAAATCTAAAAGAATTATTGAATTATTTTTAAAAAAAATTTAATTAAAATTGTATTTAAAATAATTAATTAAATTTCTTTCGAACAAATCTATTAAAATATTTGAAAATAATTGAATTCCTGTGGAAAAATTCTAATATTTTTGTAAATAATTGAATTCTTCCAAAGAATTAAAAAAAAAAACATTTTTTTAAATAATTGATTTTTTCGGGAAACTGAAATTAAATTTTTAAGAATAATTATTACATTTCTTGAGCAATTCCTGTAAAATTGTATTAAAAATAATTGAAATCCTATGATGAATTTTATTATTTATGAAAATAATTGAATTTCTGAGAAGAATTTTATTATTTGCAAAAATAATTGAATTCATGAGAAGAATTTTATTATTTATGAAAATAATTAAATTCCTGAAAAGAATTTTATTACTTATGGAAATAATTGAATTCTTGAGAAGAATTTTATTATTTATGAAAATAATTGAATTTCTGAGAAGAATTTTATTATTTGCAAAAATAATTAAATTTCTGAGAAGAATTTAATTATTTATGAAAATAATTAAATTTCTGAGAAGAATTTAATTATTTATGAAAATAATTAAATTCCTGAAAAGAATTTTATTATTTATGGAAATAATTGAATTCTTGAGAAGAATTTTATTATTTGCAAAAATAATTGAATTCCTGAGAAGAATTTTATTATTTATGGAAATAATTGAATTCCTGAGAAGAATTTTATTATTTATGAAAATAATTGAATGCCTGAGAAGAATTTTATTAAAATCTAAAAGAATTATTGAATTATTTAAAAAAAATTTAAAATTGTATTTAAAATAATTGATTCCTTTTGAACAATTTTATTAAAATATTTTAAAATAATTGAATTCTTGTGGAATAAGTCTAATATTTTTGTAAAATAATTGAATTTTTGTGCAAAATTTTGTTTTTATTGAAAATAATTGAATTCTTCATAAGAATTTTATAGACATTATTTAAAATAATTAATTTTTTCGAAATATAATAAATATTATAAAAATTTTGATTTGAAATATAATTGAATTTGTGTGAAAAATTTTATTTGTGAAAATAATAGAATTTTTCGATTAATTAAATTGAAATAGTATTAAAAATAATTGAAATTCTTCGATGAGTTTTATTATTTATGAAAATAATTCAATTTTTGCTTAGAATTTTATCAAACATTTGTTTTAAAAAAATTAAATTTACATGAAAAATGTTTTTATTAGTTAAAGTAATTGAATATTATTGTAAAGAATTGTATAAAAATTTTGTTAAATAATTGATTTTTTTGAAAATGCTTTTCTAAATTAATTGAATTCCAGTGGACATTTTATTATTTATGAAAGTAATTGAATTTTGGATGAATTTTATCAATTTTTTTTTTTAAATAATTGAATTCTTTTGCGAAATTTTATAAAAATTCTAGATTATTGAAAATAATTGAATTTTGAATATTTATAAAATTAATTGAAATTTTACCAAGAATTTTATTAAAATTTTTGAAAATAATTGAAATTTGGAGAAGAATTTAATTATTTCTAAAGATAATTGAAATTTTGACGAGAATTGTTTAAAATTTTTGAACATAATGGAATTTTTACGAAGAATTTTATTATTTTTGAAAATAATTGAATTTCTGAAATCAATTGTAACTTTTCTAAAATTCTTCCAATTATATCGTAAAATTTACGAACTTCAATTAACGAAATTCAATTATTTATTTGTAATTGTAATTTTTCTCAAATTGCACCAATTATATCGTAAAATTTACGAACTTCAATTAATCAAAATTCAATTATTTTGAATATACTTAAATTCGGATTTTACGGACCTTTTTTCAGAAAAACTGACTTTCACGGTCTTTTCCGGAATTTACGGACCTAGTTCGAGCCCTGTGATGACATAAAAAGAAAGAATCAAAAAGAGAAAAGAAATACAGTGAAATAATTCTAATCCTTTTTTTCCAGATACGACGCAGCCCGTGTTATGTACGGCTTGACAAATTGCGTGCGCTGTCGATGTGGCGATGATCTGTCACTAGTGTCAGCGGACAATTTTGGCAGTTACATTGAAATTCCCGGCGGCAATGTGAGAGTTCCCTTGGGCTATGTGGGCGTTCTGGCCCCATTGCTCAGGGATCTGCCAAGTTGTGCAATAAAGTACTGCAAACCAGTGAGTTGCATTAGATGGGGCGCTGTCAATGATTCCTGTCCAAGGGCAGTGGTTAAGACATGTGACGGCGAGGAATTTCCCGCCGATTATGTTATTGTCACAGTGTCGCTCGGCGTTCTCAAGCATCAGCACGATAAACTCTTTTGTCCCGCATTGCCCGCGGAGAAAGTTGAGGCAATATGCAAATTGGGCTATGGCTATGTGAATAAAATTTTCCTCGAGTACGCTAAACCATTTTGGGTGTGGCGCGAGGGAGGAATTCGCTTTGCATGGTCTGCTGATGAATTGTCCGATCGAAGTGATTGGGTTAAAGGTGAATTCATTTCAATATTCATTAATTTACTCAATTAATAATTATACTTAATAATTATATTGTCCGCGGTTTACTTCTTACTACCTTTTTTTTTTAAATAAAATTAGCAATTTTAAAAATAATAGAATTTGAAAATTTTCTAATTTAAATTATTTGTTGAAAACCCTAAAAAAATTCAATTTTGAAGAAATTACAAATGCATAAATTCAATTACTTTAAAAAAAAAAAAAAATAATAAAATTCTTATAAAATTCAACTATGTTCAAAATTTGAAAAACATTCTCTTAAAAATCCCAATTATCTTTATAAATAACAAAATTCTTCTCCAAAGTTCAATTATATTTTCATAAATGTCAAAAAAAATTCTTGTCCTAATTTCAATTATTTTCAAAAATAAAATGCATTTTTCTAATTTCTATGATTTTCAATAATCTACTATTTTAATAAAATTCTCCAAAAAAGAATTCAATTATTTAAAAAATTTTTTTAAATAAAATTGTATGTAAACATTTAATTATTTTCATAAATAATTAAAATTTTTTTTAAGGAATTCAATTATTTTCATAAAAAATAATTTAAAATTCTAGAAAATAATAATTTAATTAAAATGATGAAAATAATTTTGATGAAGTTACAGTAACAATATTCTTATAATTAATAATGATTTTTATTACTTGGTCATCTTTAATTATTAGAAAACATGAAGAAATCGATTACTCCGAGTCGAAGACTCGGAGCAATCGATATCATCATGTTTTATAATAATTTAAATTTCCATAAATAAGATTAAAAATATAAATTGTGCAAATATTTTTCTTCTTTTTCTAAAACAAAATAATAATGTTGTTAAAAAAATTGTGATTCACAAAACAAAAATAATGCAAAATAAATAAATTTTCTATTTCTTAATCATAGTTGTTTAACAAATTTCTAATTTTCCTTAGAAGTAAAGAACAAAAATCTGCGTAATTTCAATTTGACGAAACATAATATTTAACAATATTTTAGTCTTTTAATGAAAAGAAGTAAAAATATTATAAAATATTTTTCAAATATTTTCAATTTTAAAATTAATGTATTGAAAATCATTGAATTGTTGCAAAGAATTTTATCAAAAATATTTGATAATAATAGAATTTCTCCAAAGAATTTTTTTATTTAGGAAAATAACTGAATTCTCGCAAAGAATTTTATTAAAATTTTTTAAAAATTCTAATTAAATTCTTTTGAAGAATTTAATTTAATTTTTTTTTTAATTTCTGGAGTTTCTCTAATAATTTTAATTACAAATTTTGAAAACAATTGAATTTTATGAAGAAGAATTTAATTAAAAGTGAATTGAAAATAATTGAAATATTTAAAAATATTTGAATTCATCAGAGGAATTCAATTAAAATTGTTTTCAACATAATTGAATTCCTCCAATGGATTTTACAATATTTATAAAAATAATTGAATTATTGCGAAGAATTTTACTATTTAGAAAAATAATTGAAATGTTTTGAAGAATTTATTAAAATTTTAAGAAATAATTAAATTTTTATGAAGAATTTTATAGAAATATTTAAAATAATGAAATTTTTTTCGAGAAATTCAATTAAAGTTGTTTCGAAAATAATTGAATTTCTTTAAAGAATTTTATTAAAATTAAGTATATTCAAAATAATTGAATTCATCACAAGAATTTTATTATTTTTTGATAATAATTGAATTCTTTCAACTTCTTTGACGAATATATTTAAAAATTGCATTGAAAGTAATTTAATTTTTATATATTAGAATTTTTTAAAAATATTTTGAGACTAATTGAATTATTTTTAAAGAATTTTAAATTCTTTTTGAAATTCTTGTGGAAATTTTTGAAAATAATTAAATTCTTTCATGTAATTTTATTTAACTTTGATTAAAAATAATTTAATTCCTGAAAAGAATTTTAGTATATTTATAAAAATAGTTGAATTGTTTAGAAGAATTTATTCAAATTTTAGGTAATAATTGAAATTTATGGAAATATTTAAATATATTTGAATTCATCCGAGGAATTCAATTAAGATTGTTTTGAATATATATATTGAATTTTTGCAAAGAATTTTACTATTTATAAATAAAGTTATAAATAATATTTATAATTATATTTATAAATAAAGTTTTATTTTTTTTGAAAATAATTGAACTCTGCAATTATTTGCAATTTCTTTAAAATTGAATTTTTTTAGTCGTGTTTTTAACAAAACTTTAAATTAGAAAATTTTTAAATTCTATTACTTTTAAAATTGCTAATTTTATTTAAAAAAGTCAGTAAGAAGATAGCAGCGCGCGAATTGTTGCTATTTAAAATTAATTTCCATTTTATTGCCTATGGTGCAATTAATTATTTTCGATTTTTCTTACACAGTTTTTCTAATGGTATTAAATTGAGACAAAAAATGTATCAAAATGGTTGCGAGGCAACGTTTTGATACATTATTTGTCTTAATTTAATATCCTTAGAAAAACTGTTATATGAATGGGGAATCAAATGATTTTTATTAATAAATATTTCGCTTAGGAATATGAAATGATTTTTATGAAATATTTCGCTTAGGAATATCAAATGTGGAGGAAATTGCGAGTTCGCAGCACGTTCTTTGCGCGTGGGTTTGTGGAAAGGAAGCGGCGGATATGGAATTATGTTCAGACGAGCAGGTGGTGAATTCGTTAACGCAAGTGCTGAGAAAATTCACTGGAGATCCAACCCTTCCGTATCCGACTAATCTTCTCAGGAGTAGATGGTGTATGGACCAACATTTTGCCGGATCGTACAGTTATATGGCATTGGACAGCAAAGTCGGACATCAATGTGATCTCGCTTCTCCTCTCCCAGGTTTTACTTTTTTTTTTTTTTTGCAAATAATTTTTTTATTTTAGAAAATAATTGAATTCTTTCGAGGATTTTATTTGAAATTGTTTTGAAAATAATTCAATTCCTATACGAAGAATTCTACATTTTCGAAAATAATTGAATTCTTTCGAGAAATTTAATTGAAATTTATTTGAAAATAATTGAATTCCTATAAGAAGAATTTTTTTATTTTCGAAAAAAATTTGATTCTTACGAGAAATTTAATTGAAATTTAATTGAAAATAATTGAATTCCTATAGGAAGAATTTTTTTAGCTATGAAAATAATTGAATACTTCCGAGGATTTTATTTAAAATTTAATTTAAAATAATTGAATTCCTTCGAGGAATTTAATTGAAATTGTTCTGAAAATAATTGAATTCCTATACGAGGAATTTTTTTATTTTAGAAAATAATTGAATTCTTTCGAGGAATTTAATTGAAATTGTTCTGAAAATCATTGAATTCCTATTCAATTTCAATTCAATTTCTCGAAAGAATTCAATTATTTTCTAAAATAAAAATGTTCTTCGTATAGGAATTCAATTATTTTCAAAACAAGTTCAATGAAATTCCTCGAAAGAATTCAATTATTTACAATTTTTTATTCATGAAAAAAATTGAATTCTTTCGAGAAATTTAATTGAAATTGAATTTAAAATAATTGAATTTCTTTACAAAGAATTTTTTTATCCATGAAAATAATTGAATTCTTTTAAAGAATTTAATTGAAATTGAATTCAAAATAATTAAATTCCTATACGAAGAATTTTTTATTCATGAAAATAATTGAATTCTTTCGAGATATTTAATTGAAACTGTTCTGAAATTAATTGAATTTCTATACGAAGAATTTTTTATTTATGAAAATAATTGAATTCTTTCGAGGAATTTAATCGAAATTAAATTAAATTTTTTTGAGGAATTTAATTGAAATTGAATTCAAAATAATTCAATTCCTATATGAAGAATTTTTTTATCCAGGAAAATAATTAAATTCTTTCGTGGAATTTAATTGAAATTTAATTGTCAATAATTGAATTCTTTCGAGAAATTTAATTGAACTTGTTTTGAATATAATTGAATTCTTATACGAAGAAAATTTTTATTTTAGAAAATAATTGAATTCTTTTGTGGAATTGAATTGAAATTGTTTTGAAAATAATTCAATTCCTATAAGGAGAATTTTTTTATTTTCGAAAATAATTGAATTCTTTCGAGAAATTTAATTGTAATTGAATTGAAAATAATTTAATTCCTATACGAAGAATTTTTTATTTATATTAAAATAATTGAATTTTTTCGAGAAATTTATTTGAACTTGTTTTGAAAATAATTGAATTCCTATACGAAGGACATTTTTATATTAGAAAGTAATTGAATTCTTTTGAAAAATTTAATTGAAATTCAATTGAACATAGTTAAATTCTTTCGAAAAATTGAATTGAAATTGAATTTAAAATAACTGAATTCCTATAAGAATTTTTTTATTTTCGAAAATAATTTAATTCTTTCGAGAAATTTAATTAAAATTTAATTGAAAATAATTAAATTTTTATAAAGAATTCCAATAATATTTTTAAAATACTATAATTCTTTCGACTTAGAATAGAAGAGAATAGATTTTTTATTTTATTGATGTTTTAATTTTGTTTTACATCTTTGTCAGCCGTATTCCAAAATTCTTTCGAGAAATTGAATTGAAATTGTATTGAAAATGATTAAATTCCTTAGAGTAATTTTGTTAAATAATTGTATTAAAAATAATTAAATGTTTTTAAAGAATTTTTCAAAATTATTGGAATTTTTCGCAGATTTTTGTTATAATTTGATTGAAAATAATTGAATTGCAGTTAAAAAAAATTAATATTTTTAAGAATAACTGAATTCTTTTGTGGAATTTAATTAAAATTGTATATACAAAATAATTGAATTCTTATAAAAAATGTCATCAAAATTTATTTTGATTTTTTATTTATATTTATATTTATATTAATTTTATTTTCAAAATCGAAGTTGATATTTAAAAATAAATTTATAATTTTCCCAATAATAAAAAATTAATTATACAAAAAACAAGGTTTTTTTCAACATATTTGAACTTTTTTTTTGTATTTAAAGGAGCTTGCGAGCCAGTTGCTCCAATTTTGCTGTTTGCCGGGGAAGCAACAATTCCAGGACACTATAGCACAGTGCATGGGGCGAGATTAAGTGGTATTCGTGAAGCAGAAAGAATAGTTCAATTAACGAAACGTTATGGTGGTCCACCGGGAAATTTAGCCGAAGCAACAGCATCAACTTGTTCTTAAAAATCCACGAAATTTCAATAATATTATGTAATTATTTCTCCTTCCTCTGAATTTATTGCTAAAAAAAAATTTGTTGTTACAAATATTTTTCGACATAAATATTTTTATTCTTTTAACCTACTTTTTTTCTGAACTAAACATTTAATTCAAAACACGTTTATTATTCTAAAAAATTTCGAATTACAGAAATTAAACAGTAAATAATTTATAAATAGATATAATTAGTCATAGAGTGAATAATAAATTAATTTATTCAAATAATAATGAAAGGGAATTAAGAGGGAAATTTAACAAGAAACCCCAAAAGGGATTTTTTTTCTAATGTTATTTTTTTTTTTTTTTTGCTACAAAGAATCATTTTTCCTTTGATTTGCTAATAAATATTTCAATCTACAATTAATATATATAAAAAATAAAAATAGTATAAAATAAAGTTTTTTTTTTATATTCCACAAGTGAGATTTCACTTTTCTATAGATAATCTCAACGGCATCTTTTGGGAATTTTTTTTCTCTTTTGTTTCTCATTGAATTTGATGGCAATTTCATCATCTGCCTGATCAAACGATTCACTTTCACAAATTTGAATTTTTATCGCGAGCGATTTCATTGGAAGTAGTTCCGTTGTCAATTCACTGATTTCATTCCAAGCAAAATGTATGTCATCCTCACGTGAAAATTCACTGCATATGACGAATCTTATTACCATTCTTTTGTGACACGTTGCGGCAGTTACGTAAATATTTCTTCTTTGTATTAATCGATCGAATAGTTGTTTCGTCAAAGAATCATCGCCCTGTAAATAAATCGCAATTAATGAAAAGAAATTAATGAAAAAAAATTTTTAAAAAGAAATTTAAAAGAAAAATTAATAAAAAAAATTTTTTTTTAAAATTAATAAATAAATTAATAAAAAAAATTTCAAAAAAGAAATTTAAAAGAAAAATTAATAAAAAAAATTAAAAAAAGAAATTTAAAAGAAAAATTAATAAATAAAAAAAGTAAACAAAAAATTGAATAAACAAATAAATAAAAAGTAAATAAAAAATAAAAATAAAATAAACAAAGTAAAGAAAAAGAAATAAATAAAATAAAAAGAAAATAAACAAGTAAATAAAATAAACAAAAAGAAAATAAACAAAATAAGTAAATTAGTAAGTAAAATAAAGAAACAATAAATAAACAAAATAGATAAAAAAATAAACAAAATTAAAAAGAAAACGAATAAACAAAATAAATAAAAAAAATGAAATAAATAAAATTCCTATAAAAATTAAATCATAAAATAATTAATTTCATATAAAATCAATAAATTTTGCATAAAAATAAAGATTTTTTACCTTTATTCTAAAGCAAACAATTGCCATAACAGCTTCAGTGACAACTTCAAATCTATCGTCCGATTTGACCTGCTCTTCAAAAAGTTGAGCCAATTTTATCGAATTACGAATATATTTTTGAAGTCCCTCGACTCCATACAATCGTAAAACGAACCACAATTTCAGTGATCGAAAACGACGAGAGAGCTGAATTTGCCAATGCTATAAAAAAAAGATTATTACTATTATTAATAAAATTTTATTTTATGAAGGAAAAAAAAATGTTCCAAAAAAGATTATTATTATTAATAAAATTTTATTTTATGAAGGAAAAAAAAATTTTCCAATTACCCTATAATCAGGAACTAATCCTTCATTTTCGTGAGCCAAATAAATTCTATCCACATTGAATGTATCAGTGAGCCACTTTGAATCCTTAATCCTAAAAAATTACCAAAAATTAATTTTTGTCGTAAAAAAATGAATTTTTAAAATTTAAATTAAAATCGTTTTTCGTAGACACATTTTTTTTTTATTAAATTAAAAATGATAAATTACCACAGGGCAGAACAATCGAAATTAACGAGAAGCCATTTGTGTGGATTAAAATCAAATGAATCTGCGTACTGTACACCGGACATTAAGTAACGATATTCGGGACAAACAAATGAAGCGCCTGTAATTTAAATTATTTTCATTAAATTATATGTGAACAAATTTTCTAGAATTGGAAATACTTTTTTAAATAATGAATAAAAAATAAATAAAAAGTAAATAAATAGTAAAAAAAAAGTAAATAATAAATTGAACTATAAATAAAAAATTAAGAAATTAATAAAAAGAAATAAAAAAGAAATAAAAAAGAAATAAAAAATAGAAGAAGTCAATAAAATATAAATAAATAAAAAATACATAAACATTAATAAAAAATAAATAAAAAATAGAACTAAAATTTTTTTTAAATAAATGAAAAGTAAATGAAGCTATAAAAAAAAATAAAAAAAATAAATGGAAAATAAATAAAAGTAAGTAAATAAAATATAGATAAATAAAAAAGACACAAACATGAATCAAAAATAAATAAAAAGTAAACAAAAATTAATTAATAAATAAAAATCAATGAAAATATGAATTAAAGATTAAGAAAAATAAAAATAAATAAAAATACAAATAAAAAATCAAAAACATAAATAAAAATAAATAAAAATAAATAAAAATAAATAATAAATATATTATAAATAATAATACAAAACAAAAATAAAGAAAATAAATAAAAATAAGTAATAAACAAATAATAATACAAATAAAAAATAAAAAAAATAAAAAAAATAAATAGAAAATAAATAATAATAAGTAAATAAAATATAAATACATAGACGAAAAATACACAAACATGAATAAAAAATTTTTAAAAAATAAATAAATAAATAAATAAAAATATCTTGCACTTGTTGAAGAGGAATTAATTTTTTTGGTAAATACCCGCGTAAGCAGCATCAATATGCAGCCAAATATGATGTTCATTGCAGATTGGTCCAATTTCGTCTAAATTATCGAAAGCACATGTGCCAGTCGTGCCTAAAGTGGCAATCACGTAACATGGAATTAAACCATCGTTTATATCTTTTTCAATGGCTTGCAATAATGTTTCTCCTCGTAAACTACATTTTTCATCAGTTGGCAATAATCTCATTGGCATTGCTCCTAAAAGTCCACTTTTCTCTGTTGAGGAATTCGACTGATCTATTGTGCGAGAATCACGAAAAAACAGTTAACCCTTTTTTTCACTCCAAATATTATTTTTCAATTTTCTATCATTTTACTTTCATTCATCCGGATAAAAAAATCCCCCGAAAAACAATTTGAAATTTATTAAATTTAATTAATTAAATTGCAATTTTAAATTAAATGAATTTAATTTTAATTGAAAAAATAATTGTAATTAAATTATAATTTTAAATTGTAATTATAATTATATATTTTTTTTTTATAATTTTACTTGAAAATGTAATTCTAATCAAATTGCAAATTTTATAATCAAACGAATTTGATTTTAATGAAATTGTAATTCTAATCAAAATTGTAAATTTCATAATACCTAAAATGAATTTGATTTTAATTTAAATGATTAATTTTAAAAATTATAATTCCAATAAATTTGCAATTTTAACGAAAAAAAAATTGATTTTCAATTAAATTTGAAAAAATCTTCTTTTCCTTACCGGAAGTGTAGGCAATTAATTTCGATCTAATTAGTCCCTCGTCCCAATCGGGATGCAATAATTTCATTCGTCGTACTGTCCGCTCACGTGCTGCCAATAAAACGACAAATATTGTTTCACTGGCGGATGTCTAAAAAAAACATAAAAAAAATTAATTAAAAAAAATATTTGAAAAAAATAACTAATTTATATAAAAATAAATAAAAACCGTAAAAATTAATTTACCTGAATGACACCGCCCCCGGGTCCTTCACTGCAATTTAAAAATTCCTTTGGCAAATCTAACAATTTTCCTAACCAATTCATAGTGACGACTTCAAGTTCCGTGCAAGCCGGCGAGGAAATCCAGGAAAATCCTATACAACCAATTCCTGCGCTCAGCATTTCGCCCACTATTGAAGGATACGAACTTCCGGCGGGATAAAATGCGTGAAATTGTGGCGAGTGCCAGTGTGTCACCTATATTTTTTTTTCAATTGATATTTTGTTAATTAATTTTCTAATTTGGAAAAGTTAATTTTTCAATTTAGAACAATAAATGAATTTTTTAATTTGGAATGATTAATTAATTTTTCAATTTAAAAAAATTGATTAATTTTCCAATGTAAATCAATTAATCAATTTTTTAATTTGGAAAAATTAATTTTCAATTTGGAACAATCAATTAATTTTTCAATTTAGACGAATTTATTAATTTTGCTTCTGTTAATTAATTTTCCAATTTGGAAAAATTAATTTTTCAATTTAGAACAATAAATTAATTTTTTAATTTGGAATAATTAATTAACTTTTCAATTTAAAATAGGTAATTGATTAAGTTTTCACCTTAAATGAATGAATTAATTTTCTAATTTGGAAAAATTATTTTTTCAATTTAGAACAATAAATAAATTTTTTAATTTGGAATAATTAATTAATTTTTCAATTTAAAAAAACTAATTAATTTTTCAGTTTTAAACAATTAATTAATTTTCAATTTTGAACAATCAATTCAATTTTCAATTTTGCTTCTTAATGATGAAGCATTGTATTTTAATTTTAAATAATTAATTTTTTTTTTTTAATTTAGAACAATTAATTAATTTTTCAATTTAGAATAATTCATGAATTATTTCATTTGGAACGATTAATTAATTTTTAATTTAGAACAACTAATTAATTTTCTAATTTGAAACAATTAATTAAATAAACTAATTTTTCAATTTAATACAAATAATTAATTTTCTAATGTGAAAAAATTAATTAATTTTTCAATTTAAAACAAATAATTAATTTTCTAATGTGAAAAAATTAATTAATTTTCTAATTTAAAACAATTAATTAATTTTCTAATGTAAAAAATTCTAATTAATTTTCTAATGTAAAAAAATTAATTAATTTTTTAATTTAGACAATTTTTTTTCAAAATATTTATAATTAAAGTTTAAAAAACCTACACCTGGCATAATGACCCTCTCGATGTCCTTAAGGACATCCTGCCAGGATTCTGGTTCACTTGGCGCCTCTGCCGGTACCAATCGACTCAAATATCCTGGCTTGACACACGGAAGGACATTTCGATCCCTCAGGGTTTCGTTATAATTTATTATATAATCTATCACAGCTCTACTGAAGTCCCGAAATCCCTGACTGTCCATTTTCAAAAATAATTGCCCTTTTTATCAAAAATCTAACAAAGAAAAAATTTATTTCATTATTTTAATTCCTGAAATTTATCGAAGGTTAACAATTTTCCGATTAATGTTTTTTTAATTTTTATTTTACTCCTTACATTATATATTTATTAATAAATTACTATTATTTATTAAATTATTTATTAACTATTGTTATTATTATTATTATTAATATTTTTTATATTTGTACAAAATACATAAAAAAAATTATACGTTATAACTATTTTTTATAATTCAATAGTTTAAAGCACAATAATTCAAAGTCAATAAATTATTGACAGTAAAAACAAAAAGTTATAAACAATTTTGGTATGTTCTTTCCTTTAAGTAATTGATATATAATAGATAAAATTAATTTAATTGTAATTAATAATTAATAATCAATTAATAAATAATCAATTAATAAATAAGAGTAAAAAATAATAGTGATAAGTTTTTAATAATAAGGAGTAGATAACAATAACAAATTTTATTTATTTAACTGTATATTATTTAACAGTAATTATTTGCTTATTTATTAATTTGTTATTTATTATTTTTTAAATTGTTATTCATTATTTTTTAATTTATTAGTTAGAAATAAAAATAGAAGAAAATAAAAAAATACTAACAATTATATTAATAACTAATAAATTAAAAAATAATTATTATACACTTAATAATTATTACTATTATTTAATGACATTATAAATTTATAAAATTTATTTAAAAATTATCTGTACAAGTATATTTTCATCAAAAGACTATAATTACCTTCAATAGAAACAATTTGTCATTCGGAAAAATATCTTCACTGAATTCCAATTTTTTCAAAAAATTTTATTTCAACACAAAAAATTAACAAAACATTTTAATCACTTTTCCTAAAAGTTTCTTATCCATTTCACCAAATAATTTCCGTTCATTAATTTATTAATCACACAAAAAAAATGCAATTTAAAAAAAAATCTATTTCCAAAATATTCTCGGTTCCGGAAAATTGTTTAATATTCAAAATAAAAATAATAACAAATTGTATTTAAAAATATTAATAATAATAAATAAGAAAAAAAATTAGTTTATTAAATAAAAGAGCGGAAAAAGAAATAAAACAACAGTTCTCGACTTTGAAAAACAAAAAAAAAAAAACAAAAAATGCTAACTAAGGCGCAACATTGTGAAAATCAAATGCCAACAAAATTTCTTTTCAAATGGAGAGAAATGACGATCTGAACACTGACAAGTGATCGAGAAGACTGTGAAGAAGTCTTCTTAAAATCTAAATAATTAACAGCTTCCATTTGAGACTTTCTTTCCTGAGGAAGGCGGTTACTCAATAAATTTAAATATAAGCCTTGGTCCCTTATAGGAAGAATGTGCCAAAAAAGTCGAAAGTAAATGAAAGTCAAGAATTCTCCTAAATTATGTGTCATTGGGTCATTACTTTCGAAAGCAGTTTAAAAAAACCACTAATTACACAAATGTGGATAGAACACTGCAAAAAAAAAAATAAATAAATAAATAATAAAAATTATTTCATATTTATTTTTTACTCTTTCACCTGGAATGTTATTGTTTCACTAATTGCGCGAGTATATTCAATTTCCCTCCCCGCAGAATCAATAAAAGAAAACAAAAACAATAATAAAATAAATAAACGAATACTTGCCTTTTTTAAACTTTCTAATTATTTAAACACTCTTGTTGATTATGCAACAATCAGGATGCACATTTAGAATTTAACTTTGGGGATAAATTTCTTCAATTGCTTCCTTCCTTAATTCAATCATTCACTATTTTTTTCTTAACTTTTACGATCGAAAGTGAATAATTCAAAATAATTCAAAACAATGTTCAATTTATAAGCGATTAGTACCAATTTACTAATTTATATTTAAAATAATGAATACTAATTTTTATTACAAATTGCTAATTAATTATTAATTAAATTAATTAAATTAATTAAATTACTAATCAAAATAAAAAATTATTAATTATATTAATTAAATTATTAATCAAAATCGTTACTATACAAATTTGAAATATCAATTATTTTAATTGCAGACTTCGCACTCGATAATTAATTTTAAAAAAGTTGCAAAAAGTAGCTTTCAAACTAAAAAAAAATAGTAAAAAGGTAGCTATTGAAAAATTAAACTTGACGACCAAAAAAAACTCGATTTAGACACTTTACGAAATTGACAAGAATTACATTCTATATTTTATTTTCCTGACTTTTTTCTAATTTTCATTAAAAATTTTTACTTCTTTCTTATTCTGCTAAAAATTGAATTGCTAAAATTGCTAAAAAAATTCATAAAAGATTTAATTTAAATAATTGAAATCCTGAGAAATTTTTATTATTCATGAAAAAAATTGAATTCTTCCGAAGATTTTTACAAAAAAATTCTTAAATAATTGAATTATGTTTGGAAATTTTATGAAAATAGTAGATATTGAAAATCATTGAATTGCGAAAAGTTTTTAAATAAATTAAATTTTACAAAGAATTCTATTAAAATTTTTGAGAAAAATTGAATGTCTGTGAAAAATTTTGTTATTTTTGAAAATAATTGAAATTTTGCAAATAATTGTACTTTTTCAAATATAATAGAATTTTTCCGAAGAATTTATTAAAATTTCAGAAAATAATTGAATCCTTTGAAAGTTTTTGTAACGAATTAGGAAAGAAAATTGAATTCTTTCGTGAAATTAAATTCCTGTAAAGTTGTATTAAAAATTACTAAAATCTTGCGATGAGTTTTAATATTTACAAAAATAATTGAATAGTTGCAAAGAATTTTATTGAAATTTTCAAAAATAATTGAATTTCTGAAAAGAATTTTATTATTTATGAAATAAATTAAATTTTTGTGAATAAGTTTATTAAAATGTTTTAAAAAAAATTGAATTTCTGTGAAAAATTTTGTTATTTTTGAAAATAATTGAAATTTTGCAAATAATTGTACTTTTTCAAATATAATAGAATTTTTCCGAAGAATTTATTAAAATTTCAGAAAATAATTGAATCCTTTGAAAGTTTTTGTAACGAATAAGGAAAGAAAATTGAATTCTTTCGTGAAATTGTTTTGAATATAATTGAATTTTTGCAAGGAATTTTACTATTTGCAAATATCATTGAATTTTTCGAAGAATTTATTAAAATTTTAGAAAATAATGGATTTTTTTCGAAAAATATTAAAAATAAAAAAAAATGGAATTCTTTCATGAAATGTTATTAAAATTGTATTAAAAATAAATAAATAATTGAATTTTTGCAAAGAATTTTACTATTTACAAATAATAAATAAAATAATAATAATAAAGAAAAAAAAATAAAGAAAACGACTCAAATACATTTTTTTTAGTGTCACTCTTAATAACGGTAATTCCAAATTGAAATTTGAAAACAGAAAAGTCATTGACTTATTCATTTTTGGTGATTAAAATGATTTTCCTCAATTTTTAATTTTCGATAAAAGTTAACGGGACATTTTCACATGAATATCAAATTTTCAAATGCATCACTTTCTATTCAGGTAAATTTACGAAAAAAAATCTGACGAAATAATTTTTTAATTACATTCGATAATGAACGTTAGTTTTAAATTAAATGTCAACAAATTATAAACAAGTAAAATCCAACGGTAATCATTTAAATACAATTATTATAACACTATTGTTATAAAATTTTTTATAACATTTCTGTTTTATTTTTTGTTCTAATTTATTAAAAATTATTTATACTTATTATTTATTTCCATAATTTCTTTTAATTTATTATAATCAATAATGTTGGTTGTTTCGTTCGTCAATGGAAAATATTAAAAACATACTCAGAATTCTTGAATTTTATATACAAATTATTTTATTTTCGAAACTATTTATAAACTACTTACATATTATTAAATAACAAAAAAAAAAGATTTTTTGCACTAAAAATACTACTACTTAATTATCACAAAAAGCTTTACAATGTCGAGAATATAATAACTTATTTATTCTCAATAATAAAGTAAAAAAAACTTTTTAGTACAAAAAAAAAACTTTTTTCATACTAAAAAGTTTTTTTCTTTCCGAAAAATTAAAAAAACTGATTCGTTTTTTAATAACAAAAAAAAATTAATACTTCATTTTGTCAATTATTATTTGCTCTGAAAAATTTTCATTTTAAAAAAATTAATACTTCAATTTGTCACAATTATTATTACGCTGGGAAAATTTTGTTTCCATTTATTCAGGAAATTGTTGGCGGCTCTTTTTCAGAATCAATTTTAAGGCCCTCGAATTTTGTCACTCTGTCCCCATTTTCTTTGGTCATTGGTTCATCATCTAAAATTGAAATCTTCAAAGTGGGTTTAAAATTCTGTACAATTTCTGAGGCCTCACTGATAATTTCATTCCAGGCAAAGTGAATGTCTTCCTCTTTACTAAATCGACTGCACACCACAAATCTCACTATTAATTTTTCCCTATATGTCGCTGCAACAATGTAAATTTTCTTCCTTGCCGATAAACGATCCAATAGTTGTCTCGTTAAATTATTGTCGCCCTTAAGGAAAATAAATTGCAAATTTTACTTATTTTCAAGGAAAATAAAAATCATTTTTTTTGTTGAAAATAATTTCAAAAATAAGAACTTAATTTAATTAATTAATTAAAAACTGAAGTCAAACTTAATTTTTTTTGTTGAGAATAATTTCAACAAAGAAAATAAGAATTTAATTCAATTAATTAATTTAAAATTGAAGTCAAACTTAATTTTTTTGTCGAGAATCATTTCAACAACAAAAAATAAGAAATTGTTTGGAATTATTTTCCATGAAAAAAAAAAGAATTCAAAAGAGAGTAATTTTTCATTTTAATTTACCTTCATTCTGAAGCAAATAAGACCCATTGATACTTCAGTAACAATTTCAAAACGACTATCTGATTTGACAAGATTTTCAAAAATTTTTGCTAATTTTATCGTGTGACGAATGTGTTTTTGAAGACCCTCAACTCCATATAGTCGCAGAACAAACCAAAGTTTCAGGGCTCGAAAACGTCGTCCAAGGGGAATTTGCCAATGCTGTAAGATTTATTTTTCAATACAATAAGTAGAATTAAAAAAAAAATAATTCGAATTCAAATTATACTCGAAAAAAAAAATTTATTCTCTTCAAATTTAACCATTTTCAGCTCTATATTATCAAATTTAATTTCAATTCAGAAATTTATTTCAATCAAATAATTTTTCTTTAAATAAAATCAATAAAATAATTCGAATTTGTCTGAAATTATTTTTTCATTAAACCAAAGAAAATGTATTTGAAATTTCAGTATTTGCAGCAAAGACAATATTACTATTATTTTTTAATGAATAAACATAATTAATTAATTGCCATGAACAAAAATTAATTAACACAGAAAGAAATCTATTATTTGATAATAGACAAAATAATAGTTTTATTTGAATAAAAATAATAAAATTAATTTTTTCCCAGTGTAGTTATATTTTTGAAAAAATACCCTATAGTCTGGAGCCAATCCTTGTTTATCGTGGGCCAAATAAATCCTGTCCACATTGAAGGCGTCAATCAGACAATTTGAATTTTTCACCCTTAAAAAATAATGCAGGTAAATTTACGATGAAAAATATTTAAATTCTTAAAGAATCATTAAAACTATTTACCACATGGCCGAGCAATCAAAATTAACAAGCATCCACTTATGGGGATTGAAATTAAAAGAATCTGCATATTGTACACCTGACATCAAATATCTATATTCTGGACATACGAAAGCTGCACCTATAATTACAAAACTAAAATTAATAATTAAAAATACCACCGACAAAATTATCAATTATAATTTAATTAAAAATACCGCACCGACAAAATTATCGATTATGATATATAATGAAAGAAAGAGGAAAAAAAAGCATCGATTAAAAATACCAGGAAAATATAATTATCAATTCGAGGTATGATATATGGTGAAAAGAAGAACAAAAATGCAAATTATGATGAATAATTTTTAAGAAGAGGTGATAGTGATTAGAATTATTAAAAATTCAAGTATTTATTTGTTCCACTTGTCCAAGTAAAATAAGAGGACATTTTATGCTTAAAACTATGAGTTAAATTTTTATAACTACAAAACATGAAGATATCGATAATTATATTGCTTTCAAATTTCAATATTCAATTATTATCTAAAATATTAACTGACAATTATTTTTAAATCAATTTTTATTAGAAAATTCCACGAGGATGCAATAATTTAAATTAAAAAATCAATAATTTATTGAATAATTGAATGTTTCTTAAAATTTAATTTCCATAAAGAATTTTATGAAAAAATTTCTAAATAATTGAATTCTTTCGACGATTTTTAATAAAATTTTTAAGAATAATTACATTTTTCGAGAAATTTAATTAAAATAATTGTATTAAAAATAATTGAAATTCTGCGATGAGTTTCATTATTTGTGAAAATAATTGAATCCCTATAAGAAGAATTATATTATTTTTGGAACAATATTTAATTTTTGCGAAGAATATTATTACTTTTGAAAATAATTGAATTTCTGCAATAATTTCTAACTTTTTCAAAATATTAAATTTTTTTTCGTGCTTTTAACTAAAATTCTTCTACAAATGCATTATTTTTAATAATTTTTTAACTCTACTCAATTATTCATTTTTGAAAAAGTTCTTTGAGAATTTTCAAATTCATTTGTTTACTATTCAATTTTACCAAATTTCAATTATTCGTAAATGCTTCAATAAAATATACATATATTAGAAAATAAAAACTTTAAATAATTTCAACAAAAAATTCAGATTTTCAAAAATTTTAATTTGAAACCTTGTCAAAATTTAATTATTTCTAAAGATTCACGCTCCAATGCTTTCAATATTCAATTATAATTTAAAATTTTAACTGAAATAAATTTTTAAATCAATTTTTATTAGAAAATTCTACTAGAATTCAATTATTTAAATACAAAAAACAATCTATTTTTTTTTTAATAATTAAAGTTTTGCGTACAATTTTATTAAATTTTTTCTAAATAATTGAATTTTTTTTGAAAATTTTATTAAAATAGTATATTTAAAAATCATTGAATTGAGGAAAATTTTTGAAAATAATTGAAATTTTGCCAAGAATTTTATAAAAAATTTTTGAAAATAATTGAATTTCTGAGAAGAATTTAATTATTTTTAAAAATAATGGAAATTTTGACGAGAATTTAAAAAAATTTTTGAACATTTTTACGGACTTTAAGAAAATTTTCGGTCCGTTCGAAACCAAAAATTAAAAGTTGAAATATTTATTTCATCAAAAAGCCAAAAATTCGATTAATAAATTCGTACTTTTGCTTTTTGAGAAAATTAACATTTGAACTTTTAATTATTATTGAATAAAATTTTTATTTAAAACAAATAAAAAGTCTAGTTGGTTCTGAGACAAATATACATTTATTTAACTCAAATAAAATATATTTGATTTAAATAATATTTTTCTCTGGGTGTAATGTTATACCATTATTTCTACAATGCTGTTGTGCAATATTTAATGGCCTTTTGTGATAATTTTGCTGTACGTAAAAAAGAAAAAAACGATTGATAATAACAAACAAAATTTTCAAGATGATTATAAACAAAAGTGCAAAAATGATAACAAAAAAGGTGATAATAATTATTATGGCTATGATGTTTAACAAAAGGTACCAAAAGTGTAGTGTTTATTCACAACAGTGAATCCATATTATCAATTAAAAAGAAGTAATCAGGGAGATGATAATAAGAAGATGATAATGATTATGGTGTTAATGATGATAATGATTATGATGATAAAACGAAAAACAAAAATGCTGCAAATTATGATTACTATATTTTTGAAAAAGCTGATAGTGCGATAATGATCTTGATGATGATGATGATGATAAAAAGGAAGAACAAAAATGCTGCAAATTATAATTACTATTTTTGATGAAGATGATAATGGCAATGATGATAAATGAACAAAAATGCTGCAAATTATGCTAATATTATTTTTAAAGAAGGTGATAATGATTATGATGATGAAAAGAAGAACAAAAATGCTGCAAATTATAATTACTATTTTTGAAGAAGATGATAGTGATAATGATGATTATGATGCTGAATCATGAAGATGGTACATAATCATCAAAATTTGCTGCTGATGATGACGATAATTATTATTATTCCAAATTTTCTCTAATTTTCAAAGAATAAAAGAAGAAACTAACCAGCATAGGCGGCGTCAACATGCAACCATAAATAATTATCATTACAAATTGGACCAAGTTCATTGAGATTATCGAAAGCACAAGTGCCGGTAGTTCCTAAAGTAGCGACAACATAACAGGGAATGAGTCCAGCATTCGTGTCGTTCTTGATAGCATCCAATAAAGTGGATCCACGTAAACTGCACTTATCATCCGTTGGTAGTAACCTCATGGGCATTGCTCCCAAAAGACCGCTCTTCTCCACCGAGGAATTCGATTGATCTGCATATTTTAAATTAATTACACTTTCCTCCTTTACCATATAACCTTACAATTAATAATTGCAACCAAAAACTCTACAATACCACACCAAATGCATAAATACAAATTTACACAATTCTCAAGAACAAAAATTCGAATTTAAATTTAATTTAATTTTCAAGAAATTTAATTCAAAATTTATTTTTAAAATTTATTTCTAAAATTTATTTCTAAAATTTATTTTTAGTCCAGAATTGATTTTCCTTTTGAAAATAGAGTGTATACAAGCGGCGGGTAAATGAACGAGGTAGAGAGAGAGAATATGAATAAGTTACCGGATGTGTATGCCACCAGCTTGGATCTTATAGTACCCTCGTCCCACTCTGGATGCAAACTTTTAACACGTCTTACGGTTCTCTCTCTGGCAGCTAATAATCCGACTAAAGTAGCTTCACTCGCAGATCCCTACGATTATTAGTTAATTATTTCACTAATTAATGAGAATAATTAAATATAAATATTCACCAGAGTATACTTCGAATTTTAGTGATTGTATATATATAGCGGCTCGTTGGTCTAGGGGTATGATTCTCGCTTAGGGTGCGAGAGGTCCCGGGTTCAAATCCCGGACGAGCCCATTTTTTACCACTATTTCTTATTGCTTTTTTTTCTATTTTTTGCTATTTTATCTTTCTATTCTTTATTAATATTTACTTTACATCATTTACTCATTTTAATATTTATTATTTTTTTTAATATTATTCAATCCTTTCAATATTTATTAATATTTCTTTAATTTTTTGCTATTTTCTCTTTTTATTCTTTATTAATATTCATTTTACATTATTTACCCATTTTAATATTTATTATTTTTTTTAATATTATTCAATCCTTTCAATATTTATTAATTATCATTAACTATATTAATTTCCGTTTTTATTCATTCTGTCCCGTTTCTTAATATTTCTGTAGAAAATTCTCAATTTTCATTTATTGTTTTATTATTTTTATTTATTTTTTATTATTTTCATAATTTGCATCAATTCTATTTCTTAATTTCAATTGTTTTAATAAAATTCAAAGTTTAGTAAAAATAAAGGAAAAAAATGTTTATAAATTATATTTGTCAATTAGAAAATTTAACTGAAAATTAAACTGAAAATTTTTGAATTTTTAGAAAATAAAGGAAAAAGTTTTATTGAAAAAAAAAGTTCTGTTAAATTTGTTTACGAATATCTTTAATTGTAAAATTATTCGAAAACAATAATTTCTTTTTTCAATGTTTTAAATATTTAATTATTATTATTTTTCCATAGGAATTAAAATTCTTCCAAACATTCAAATTCAAACCTTTTTGAAATTAATGAACTTTAAAAATATTGTTGTAAAACATAAAGAAAACGATTACTCCGAGTCGAAGACTCGGAGTGATCGTTTTCTTTATGTTTTATAATAATTAAAAATGATCGAGTGTTAAAATCATTATTTTATATTATAAGAATATTGTTACTGTAACGTCTTAAACATTATTTTCATATTCTATTATTTAAAATTTTAAATAAAATTCATTTTCAAATCAATTATTTATTGAATAATTGAACATTTCTTAAAATTTAATTCTTATAAAGAATTTAATTAGCAAATTTTTAAATATGACAATAAACAATTTTAATTTAATTTCAATTTAATTATCAATAATTTAGTTTTTTTTCATTTTAATATTTTCCAATTTAATTTTGTAAATTTATTTATTTTCTATTTTTTGTCGATTTTTATTCTCATTTAATTTACGATTAAATATCAATTTTTCAATATCAAATTATATCTACATTGATTTTATTTATTTTTAAGTTAATTCAATTAAATGAAATAAATAAAATTTACTGTTTCACATATTTTTAAACTTTAATTTAATTTTTCAAATTTAATTTAATTTTACTTCAATTCTCAATTAAATTTTTTTTAATTTCCATTAAAAATGATTTAAATATTAAAGTAAATTTAAAATTCAATTTAATTCAATTTAATTAATATTTATTCATTTATTTATTTATTTAATTAATATTAAACAAAATTCAATATAAATTGTATGAAATTTAATGAAATTTAAACAAAATTCGAATTGAATTAGAACTGACAATGAGATGAACAGAAAGAATAAAAAGAAATTAAAATTATAAATACATATCGTGAATCATAAAAATGATTGTCGGAGAGAAAAAAAATTTTTATGTAAAACAATTACGTAACTTTGCAGCCGATACTTGACGATAGAAAAAAATGATAATCTGCGATTTTTAAATAGTCAATAGATTTTTTAGTCATTACAATTATTTTTTTTTTTGTACTTTTAAACAAAGTTTTCAGCGCACCTGTCTTTATATATATATATATTTTTTAAATTATTTTACACGTGAAACATTTTACAACGGCAAAAAAAAACAACACTCGTTTCTTTAAGACTTTTTTAAAAATTTTATTTGTAAATTTAATTTCTTTTTTTTTATAGTAAAAATTTATTGGATAATTAAACAACTTTTTTTTATTCTTATATTGTAAACAATGCGCGGTATTGTTAAAAAACAAACATTATTTTCCTTCAAATTAAACATAATTAATCAATTAGCTTAATTTTCAATTAATTAGCATTTTTTATTTATATTTAATATATACAATATTCAGTGTATTAAATAAATAAACAAATTACAAAAAATTACAAAAAATTACAAAAAATTACAAAAATTACAAAAAAAATTTACAAAAAATAAATTACATAAAATAAATTACAAAATCCATGTTTGAAGTATTAAATTGCGACAAATTGTTGACATTATTTGGATCTAATCATAATTTAATCCAAATTTTGGTATTAATTTTGTTCAATTATTATTCATTTATTTTATATTTATTTATATTATTATTTATATTTATTTTTATTATTGTTCATATTTTATTTTTTACAACTTTTTTTTACTATTATACTATTATATTATTTTTACTCTTATTATTTTCTTTATTTATTATAATTTCTATTATTTGGATCCAAATTATGGTATTTAATTTAGTTCAATTATTATTCAATTATTTATTATTATTGTTAATTTATTTTTTACAACTATTTTACAAATTTTACTACTTTATTATTTTTTTACTTATTAATTATTATTACTATTATTATTTTTTATATTTATATTTTTTTTTAATTTCTTTATACCAATTTTGACAATTTTTAAGAAAGAAGTCCTTTAATACGAATTCAACAAACTTGAAAAATTGTTTCAAATACGCTGAAAAAAAATTGATTTGATTCAAATAACCGATTATTTATTATTAAATAAATATTTATTGGAATCAAATAATTGTTATTTTAATCAAATAAATTTGAATCAATAATTTGAATTTTAGCCAATAATTTCAGTATTTAAATTTTTGTATTATTTTTATTAATAATATTATAAAATATTAATTAAAATAATATTGAATTTAATTCAAAAAAATTAAAAATTATTTGATACAAAGTAAATATTTATTTGATAATAAATAATCGGTTATTTGAATCAAATAAATTTTTTTCTCAGTGTAAAATGAAATTTCAAAAACAAAATGAATTTTCAAAGTGGGAAATATTTTTATAAAAGAGAAGAAGAATTTTTTCGACAGAATGTTTTCGATGGAAAATATTTCGACTTGGAAAATATTTCGTCCAAGTTAAAAGCAAATTAGACAAAAGTAATTTTATTGATTTTTAATTACCTGAATGACACCGCCACCTGGACCTTCACTAGAATTTAAATATTCCTCAGGTAAACCCAATAATTTCCCCAACCAATTCATTGTAATCACTTCGAGTTCCGTACAAGCCGGCGATGAAATCCAGGAAAATCCAATGCAACCAATACCTGCACTCAACATTTCTCCAACAATTCCAGGATATGAATTTGCGGTTGGATAATAAGCGTGAAATCGCGGCGAATTCCAATGTGTAATCTATTGCGGAAAAAAAATTATTTTTTTCCATTCTTTTTCAAGAAAAAAAAAAAAACTATATAATAAATTAATAACAAGGGAATAATATTTTGAAGAAAAGAATAATTATTAAAAATAATTTTTTCTACATTGCTCACAATTTTTTTTTCCTCCATTAATAATAATTATAGTAACTTTACTGAGTTACGTTTACGTACGTTTTAAAAATAAATTGCATACGGATTAATTAAAATGATATAAAAATCAATAAAGCAATTAGAAGAAGCAGGTAAATAAATTAATGTAATTACACCAGGCATAATGACACGTTCAACATCCTTGAGAACATCCTGCCAGGATTCTGCTCTACGTGGCGCTTCATTTGGTATCATTTCACTCAAATATCCTGGCTCTACTTTTGGCAATACATTTCTCTCTCGCAAATTTTCATTATAGTCGGCAATATAATCGACCATGGCTTTGGCAAACTCACGAAACTCCTGATCGTCCATTGCTTAAGGAAAATGTCTGAAAATTTTTTTTTTAATTTTAATTTTTGTCAAATTTTAATAGAAAAAAGCCATTTTCTCCAAAGAAAAATTTTTTTTAACACGAGACAATTTTATCAAAAAGCAAAAATGTTTTTTTTATTGAAATTGAAATAAAAAAAGCCATTTTTGGCTTTTTTCAAAATGGTTTTATTTTAATTGAAATTGAAATAAAAAAACCATTTTGGCTTTTTTTTTATTCAAATTGAAATAAAAAACAACCATCTTGGCTTTTTTGATTGAAATTTTAATAAAATTAATAAAAAAAAAGCCAAAATGGCGATAAAATTGTCATGGGAATGATTATTTTTTTTTTAAAAAGGAAGAATTTTGAAAAGAGAAAAAATAATCTCATTATGTTAATTAAACTGATGACTATCCTCATTTTTTCTAAAATGATTACGTGAAAGAAAATTATCAGTTTTAACTAATGAACATATACTATAACGGAAGACTTGTTGATTCCAGAAGCATTATTCACTAATAAATAAAATAAATATTCATGAGATGTTATGGATTTTGCCAATTATTATACGAGAGACAAAGAGAGGTCTAGCCGATTAATTGCATAAACATTTTCAAATTGTTATTAATGTTTACCGCACTTTTTCTATTTCTAATCTAATTCAAGATTTTTTTTTTTTTAAAGTCAGAGAATTATATAATTTATGTTAAACTCTTTTTTTTTTTACAAAAGTTGTACTGGATGAGAAATTTACTTAATTTTAATAATCGATCATTTTGCTATTGTCAAATAAATATTTGGTTGAATCAAATAAATATTTGCTTGAATCAAATAAATATTTGCTGGAGTCAAATAAATATCTACTTGAAACAAATAAAAAACTACTTCAAACAAATATTTTCTTGAATCAAATTGAAAAATTACTAGAAACAAATAAATATTTGCTTGAATAAAGTAAATATTTGCTTGAATCAAATAAAAAAGTATTTGAAACAAATATTTGCTTGAATCAAATAAAAAAGTACTTGAAACAAATATTTGCTTGAATCAAATAAAAAAGTACTTGAAACAATTATTTGCTTGAATTAAATAAAAAAAACCACTTAAAACAAATATTTCCTTAAATCAAATAAATATTTGCTTGAATCAAATAAATATTTGCTTGAATAAAGTAAATATTTGCTTGAATCAAATAAAAAAGTACTTGAAACAAATATTTCCTTGAATCAAACAAATATTTAATTGAATCAAATAATTTTTATTAAAATCAAATAAATTCCATTTGCGAACCAATAACTTCAGTATTTGAAGTAAATTCAATTTAATTGATTTAAATAAAAATTATTCCATTCAGGTGAATATTTATTTGAAAATAGATAACTAATCGGTAATTTGAATAAAATAAAATATTTTTCAATGTAATAATAATTTCCTATAACTTAATTAACCGACAATTTAAATATTAACTAACAAACTAATTTTATCCGAAAATCGTTCAAATCGACTCCTTATAATTTTCAAAAATATTTATTTTCGAAACTGTCAATTAAATTGAATTTAAAAATTATGTAGTTGTTAAAAAAATTAATTAATTCTTCTTAAACAAATTAATAATTTGTACAAAAAATTAATAAATAATTATTAAAGAAATTAATTAACAATTTTTCAACTAATTATTTAATAATCAGTAAAAAATTAACTAATAATTGTTAAGTAATAATTTTTAAGAAATAAATATGTTACAAAAAAGAAGCAATTCTTAAAAAAAATATGTATCGTTAAAAATATTAAAGAATAATTTGTAAAAACATAATAAATGGTGAAAAAATCAATAATAATTAAAAAATATGTTAAAAAAGTAATTAATTGTTAAAAAAAATTAATCAATAATTAATAATAATAAGTAAATGAATTAATTAATCCCTCTTTCATATTTTGCCAAATTTTTCGATCCAATAATTAATAAATAATTTGTGAAAAAAATTAATAGTTGTTAAAAAATTCCTCTTCCATATTTGCAAAAATTTTTTGATCCAAAAATTAATTAACAATTTGTGAAAATAATTAATAGTTGTTAAAAAATTCCTCTTTCTTATTTGCAAACATTTTTTGATCAAAAAATTAATTAACAATTTGCGAAAAAAATTAATAAGTGGTAAAGAAAATCATAACTGTTAAAAAATATATTAAAAAACTAGTTGTTGAAAAAGTCAACCAATAATTAATTAATAAATAAAATAAATTAATTAATTCTATTTCCATGTTTATACCAAATTTTTCGATAAAAAAATTAATTAATGATTTGTAGAAAAAATTAATAATTGTTCAAAAAAAATTAATAAAAAAATATTTTAAAAAAAAATATTCAAAAATATTTTCCAAAATTAATTAATTGTTAAACAAAATTAATCAATAATTATTAATAAATAAATTCTTCTTCCACATTTGCCAAATTTTTTGATCCTACAAAATTAACAAAATAAAAAAAATGTTTTACTTTTGCATTTCAATGATTAATGTGATTCTTTCTGGAAGATGATTGCGACGGGAAATTTAATGCGAATTCATAGAAAACTTTCTCCTACTTTCACTAGGAATCATAATCAAATTTCAAATATTACCATTATTATGATAATAATACCCGTACAATAAATATACGATTCTCTTTAAAATAATAATAATAATAATAATAATAATAATAATAATAATTTTTTTCTTTTTGCAAAGAAAAAATTCTAATTCTATTATTACATGACGATCAATTATTTCTTTATTTTCTCATTTAAATTGTGATATTCGCTAGAAAACAAATCGATAAATATTAACATTTTACTGATTGTTAACGCCTGCCAACTATAATTTATTAAATTTTTTCTCTTTCATTTAATTTCTCTTTTATCTCACATTAATTAATTTATTCATTTATATAATTTTATTCATTGTAATTAATATTTATTTTTATTAATTTTCTTTTTATTAATTTTCTTTTTATTAATTTTTGTAATATTAATTTCTGTGATATTAATTTTCGTAATATTAATTTCTGTAATATTAATTTTCGCAATAAAATAATTGTTAATAATAATTTTTGCAGTATTAATTTTTTTTTAATATTCAATTTTTCCTAATATTTATTTTTTTTTAATATTTATTTTATCCAATACTCATTTTTTCAATAAAAATTTTATTTTTTACTTCATTTTGCTTCTTCATGAGGAAGCTTTGAATTAAAAACTTTCTTGTCCGGCACTAATTATCAAAATTCCCCCTTCATCAAACACAAATAATCAAAATTCATTAATTAATTCTAAAAAAATAAAAGTGACCAAAAACTCACCAAATCCGTTATTAAAAATGAAACTTTTGGAAATATTTCTCACAAACACGCGTAAGAGAACAAAACCAAAGGCAAAATACGGAAATGAATGAAGACAATGAAAGAAAAAAAAAAAGAAAAAATATTTCGTTCACATTAGGATATGAGTAGAGCAGAAGTAACAATGTAATTCCACAGCATGCAACCCTTTCCTTTATATATCCCCTACTTGTTGGTACATTCATCTTCTATCTTTTATTATATATATTTATCGTCACAAAGTCGACCTTGAAAAAAATCTAGACAAGAGCGGAAAACAAAGATTTTTTCGGCCCCTCCAATATATAAGCTACCATATTTCGCAATCTATCGACAATTCGTTATGTTAATTTGAATTTATTTTTCCAACAACGGGAAATAAAAATTATTCATCCTCAGTGCACTGTGCAATTATTCAGATAAAACAGGTAAATCGAACATCAGCCTTCATATGCGAGTGTGTCTCCATTACAATTTTCCCGCTCTTTTTAGTCAATTTTTATTAAATAATACACATTTTTTTAAATATGCAACAAAAAAGGGGGAAAAAAGATCATTAATCACTGGTATTATTAAACATCAACTATTTTTAGATCGTGAAACTTTAAAATAAATGTTGAAAAGAGTAAATAAAATTGTTATCATGATGTCCATTCATGTTTGTCGACATTGCTAATAGTTGCCAAAAATGGTTACTGCTGGGAATATTTATAACATTGGTGACTGTAATCATTAGTATGCAGCAATATTTGTACATTTACCAAAATTACTGTTACTTTTGGTACCATTAATTTTAGCTACTATTAATTTTGGTACCATTAATTTTGCTGCCATTAATTTTTCCTACTGTTACTTTTGGTACCATTAATTTTAGCTACTATAAATTTTGATGCTATTAATTTTTGCTCTCATCAATTTTTCCTGCTGTTACTTTTGGTACCATTAAATTTAGCTACTATTAATTTTGGTACCATTAATTTTAGCTACTATATTAATTTTGGTACCATTAATTTTGATGCTATTAATTTTTGCTACTATTAATTTTAGCTATTATCTTTGCTGCCATTCATTTTTCCTACTGTTACCTTTGGTACCATTCATTTTAACTACTATTAATTTTGGTACCATTAATTTTGTTGCTATTAATTTTTGCTACCATCAATTTTTCCTACTGTTACTTTTGGCACCATTAATTTTAGCCACTATTAATTTTGGTACCATTAATTTTGATGCTATTAATTTTTGCTACCATCAATTTTTCCTAATGTTACCTTTGGTACCATTAATTTTAGCTACTATATTAATTTTGGTATCATTAATTTTGATGCTATTAATTTTTGCTACTATTAATTTTAGCTATTATCTTTGCTGCCATTCATTTTTCCTACTGTTACCTTTGGTACCATTCATTTTAACTACTATTAATTTTGGTAGGGGAATGTAGTCAAGGTTGGCCTACTGTCTAGGTAGGCCACTCGCGTTTTTTTGTCAAGTTCACTAGCGCCACCTACGCGCATTTTTGTCGAAGCTTGTCTTAGTGAAACCTAACTTTTTGTTCAATTACATTTTCGGAAAATCGAAAATTGTGTTTTCTGTGACGTCGGTACAAAAAAAGCTCAAAAAAAGTTTTGTGCATAATGTGAAAAACCATTAATAAAAG